GCCTTTTACACTCTTCGATGTCCTTTCCGCTCACAAGTCAGGGATGGGCTGCTCCACGATCATTAGCGAAGTGACAATTTGTCATGCGATGGGGTAAACAGTGCTACGCAATATGAGTCAACTGTACGGAGGCAATGAATGATAGCCGATGTAGGTCTTCTTCATAGTTTAGAAGAACATCGCGATGGCCAGGTCGAGGTCGCACTTCTAATATCCTCCGGAGACACGATGAGCTACAGAAGCCCGAGTTCTAACAGACTCGCAACCGATTGGCCCATTTGACTCCGAAGCGTTCTTGCAAACCTTGAGTTGTGAAGATCAAGTCCCATGAAGTCGGTCGCGTGGATTCAACTGGCCTAATGCCCCTCGGAAGGTTCAGGACTCGAGCCTTCAGAATGCTACACAGTCAAGCATTTCCTCTAATTTCTCTAGCGCATGGACGAGGATGGCTGAAGCCAGATATTTTTGTTTCTGGTGCAATTCTAGCCGAAATGATCAGACTGGACATGCTCAGTGATGCATTATATGCTCGGCGACACCCCGGGGGGTATATCGCGCCATCATAGTATCCGGACCTGTACCCCATGAACATCGCGGCTGGATGGCATGGAAGAACTGCATGCTAAACGGGGAGAAAAAAAATTCTAATCTGGTGTGTGCTCTCCAGACCTGGAAAGGAAGTTCTCCTGAAGACAGGCAGACCGATGCGATGTAGTGGTATAGTACCCATAAAATGTGATCAGAGGACAACAGGTAACAAAGTGCTACATTTACAAAGCCCGAGAGCTGCGCATAGTGAGTCACCTACGCTGTCTTCAAAAGTGTGGTAGTCTCCGGATTTCTCTACTGAGTGCATGTTAGAGACGAGAATCAACACTATCTTCCAATACTTGGCATGAGATAGACACTGTAATGGAGTTTGCAAGTCATTAAGCGTAGGGTCGTGCCAACCGTTGACAAGTAGAGGATGATTATGATGCTACGGCGCGAGTAATCGAGCTCCTGGCCTAGAGGCAAGCTGCAATCCACTAGAGGTACAGCGAACTACCAGTATGTGGTCTCAACCATGAGGGAGCTTGCAAGAGTAAGCATTCAATAATACATGGGAAGAAATTCTAAACCGCAGCACGTCTTGCATCCCTCATGGAAGTCATGACAGAAGAGATGAGTCTGGGCTTCCGGTCCATCTGCAGCAATTTAAAAGGCTCTGTTCAAAATCATCTCAAGCCGTAATGTTATCATTGGTGAGTGCATCCGAGCCGTCCGCGCCAGCACGCCTTATCACTACCATTTGACAGGAGTATTGCACCTTATATGTCGAATGAAGCTGAATAGAATATGTGGGCTCGACAGCATTGAAGCAGGAAACCTGTCACCCGGACATATCTGGCAAGACAGCTTATCTGCCGTAGCGGTTCTTTTGGAGCCGGGAGGAGGATCAAATTGGAAGAGTGACTGATACCGGCAAGGTATCGGCAACCATCCGAGGTATTTTCTGCTGCGTTGCCGGCATAGAGTCAAAAGAGTCTGGCATTACAGCCAGCGGATGGTTGTGGCTATCTGGTGGCTATCTGGATCATGCGGGTTAGAGACGTGGGCAGGGATCAGTCAGCTACCTAGGCAGCACTACCGGCGATTATTACAGTGACGAGGACTTGTAGTAAAGTACAGATTCTTGAACAGTAGGAAATACTATACTACAAACAGGAGGCTATCCCAAACGGTTCGATCGTCACCTCAAGCGAGTATACTCTGGTAGACTATGCCAGCATAGCCTAAAAACAGCAACATGTCGTTGCCACCCGGGGGGGACACAGCCACAGGAGAGGTCCACCTTTCTATTTGTAGCTGATCGTCGTGCCTTTGGGATAACGACGAGAACTGACGAAGCTGCACGCGTTATAGAATCACCGATCTCGGAGCAGGGTTCTTGTCAGCCCCTCCCCCGCCAATTGATTCGCATCCCCAATGCCGGCAGTCGAATGATCCCGGGGATAGAAGGGCGTGGCAGTTTTGTTGATGTTCCAATTCATCCGGCCCTGCACCGGCCCGGTCGGTGGCTGGCAGTGGGAGTGAGCAGTGGGGGGCGGACACCGCCTCGATAATTGCCCGTTACAGTAGTTTGACAGGGTTAGGGCCAGAAGCATCACGCGTCGGGCAACCTGTTCTGTTTGTAGGGCGGAGTGAGGTTTGCCGGGCGGTGTGAGTTTCCCGGCCAGATCTCCGCCTGACCACGTGCCGCTTAACCTGATTGAGGAAAAAAGGGCAAACACGCGCGCGCGCACCCGCCCCTCCCCGCGCCGGAAACACGACTCACTTCCCCCTCTTCACCGAGTCATCGCCGAACTCGGTCGCAGAATCCCGATTGTTTGTTTGTGGTTGTCACAGTCCAGGTTCCTATGATGACTGTCCAATTGAGTCATTCAGGGATTGGATTTTGCATGCTTAGTGGTTGAGATAGACAAGGCCATCCGAAGTGGTTGGGATTGTTTCACTCCTCACCGGACAGCCGCAGTTGCTCATGGAGATAGGCCCGCCCCTCGGTATTGGCAAACCCACCGATACCGAAGGCGGGAATGATGCGACACATCCGCGTCAGCGACGCCCCGATCCAATCCCGACTCACCCGCGCCATTCGGTCTGCGGCCGGAATCGCCATCCGTCGGTTGTAGAGGTCCAACCCCAGCAGGTGGATCGGGGTACTGATGAGTTGGATCGAGGCTGGGATGGCCAATTGCGCAAGAAGGATCTTGGCGTACTCGCTCGAAGCCACCGAGTCTGGGATTGAGGCGGAGACCATTGCCGGGAGGCTGAAGGAGCCGAAAATCGTCAGGGCGTCGCGGATGAGGAAGGCGGAGTAGGTAGCGAAGGGAATAGAGCGGGTGACAGAGCGGAGGATCTTGCTTTGGGATGCCGCGGCGGCTGCAGCAGCGGTTGGTTTGGTAGCTGCTGCTGCTGCTGCTGCCGCCGGAGTTGATGCCGCTGCCGGGGGTGGGGGTGTGGTTGTCCCCGCGGTGCTGGTGTTGTGGTTGTGGCCGAAAAGTTGAGCGAACTTGACGTCCTTCCAGATACCAACGGAGGAGTTGACCACGAACGTGGTTAAAAAGGTCGACGTCGTGGCAAGGGCGTGGTCGATGTGTGGATAGACCTCGCTGAGGACGGTCTCGGTGGCATTAGCCGCGGCAAAGGTTGCGGTGTAGAGGGACCAGACGAGCAGACTGGGTCGCGAGGTAAGGAAGGTCGCAGGTTGCGTGATAGAGAGCCACAGATGTCGACGAAATGCCGGCAGAAGAGGTTGATTGTGAGAGGACTTTTCCACTACCAGTCTAATTTGAAGTCAATAGGTGCATTCGCTCTCGAGAAGCCAGTTGAGCTGTACCTATCCAGAATCATCACGGCCGGAGTGACCAAAGCTGCTGAGCCTGCAGCAACCGTGAAATCCGCCGTCAGAAGTTCTGCCAACCGATTGCGCTGTAAGCTCCACGGGAGCGTTTGCTGGAGAACGAAATCATGATCCATGGTGACGTTGAGTAGAAGGGCACCCCTGGCCCTAGAAAGGTGACGGTGGGGGTTTCAACAAAAGAGATATTCTCAGGCTATCCTATGAACAAAGGAGAGGCGTGGAAAGAATGGTGTAGTAGTAAGGGTATCTGATATCCAATCAGTCAGACATGCACACGGGCAATGTAGAGCATAGGGCAGTACTCACCTATGGATGCATACAAATCGCTAGAACGTAACGCTGAACTGGATATGAAAGGAATGAAAGTAGCAGGCGGGCGACAAAACGGAGAGGGTCACCGCGGGGGCCCAGCGTGATAATAAAATAATAAAGCCGAACAAAATAAGGTAATGGGCGTATCCCAAGGTTGAGCAACGTCAAGAATTCCCACAGTGCACGATACCTAAGCACTGACACTGGCTGGCAACAAGGAACAATATCCGTTCGGAGCGAGGGCATCTTCGGCGGGTGTGACCAATGGAAGCCAACCGGGCCGGGACCCGGGTAGCCTCGGGCATAAAAAATGATAGGCAGCCCCAGGCCGATGCTGCTACATAATGGAAACTGAGGCTGTTGGTTGTGGGTGTGGATCGTGTTCTAGAAGACGAACACGACTTGGGTGAAGTGCAGGTGAGGAAGAGGGGGGAGGGGCAGTCCTCAGGGGGTGGAGTTCGCTATTAGGCCATGACCAGACGAGGGGCGTGAGGCTGGCCTCAGGGCTGCTTAGTCGGACTCTTTTTTCACCGCTGATTGACTGGCAAGAAGTCTGCAGTCAGAAAAGTTAGCTTGTATAGATTGGATCTTTCGCAACTGTACTCACACAGTAGTCTAGCTTACTACCCAGCACTTTCCACTGCCCAAAATCACCTCCACGGTAGAAGAATTGGCCGAAATGTAGCCATTCCCAACTCCTAGGCGGGAACCACGGGTAAGGCCCGACTGGGGGATCAGTGGGTTCGTAACCCTGATAATCACCCACTAATTTGCAATAAATAAGTCTAATACTTGTGAGCTTGAACCTACCACCAATCACCACCGCCAGCATCGCCCTTCCTCAATAGATAAGGATGGTCCGTCGATATGCCCCTCTTCCCGGTCCACCGCCATAACCAAAACAGCGAAACGAGCAAAAATAGAGGGGGATGAGTGCGGAGATAATTACGGCGGCGGTACGTTCCAGTTGAGTCGCTACGCTGTCCTTCTCGGTACAGCGGCGTCAAATCATCAAAGCCCACACTGCATTGACTGCTGCTCTTCGGCCCTAAAGCAAATAAGAATGCCTATTCTAAACCCCCTCCCCGCCTTTCTCTCCCGTAATTCGAAGCACCCGGGTGTTCCCATCCCTATTCATGAATCAAGCAATACTGGTCCAGAACTGCAAACGAATGCCCTGTAGCAAACAAAAAACGCTCTCAAAACGAAGTCATGATAATCGGTCGCTGGTGTATTTCCGCCGGGGTTGTACTGGCGACTCGAGTCGGGGTCATCCCATGCGCCCTCACATGATCACACAGCAGGAGTTCTGCTTCTTCGCCGAGGTGTAAAACATCTTCGACTGTGCACTCAGACCCTCCGACTTGGATACCAAATCATCGATCTTCTCGCCGCGTTCGAGGACCTAGTTTAGAGTCAGCCCTGTCACCTGACTAGCCACCTGCTGCAACCCAGGACCATCCACTCACACTCTCGATGGTCTTGTGAAGTACGATTTTCGTCTCATCCAGCTCCTTCTGGATCTTGAGGATGCTGTCCACCTGGTGAGGGTCCTGGTAGGCTTGGATGTAGGTCTTCAGCGAGGGGAAGGAGATCGGTTCCCGCGAGGAACCAGCGTTCGGATGGAGGGTGAGGAATTCGTCAAGAGTCTTGGAAAGGACCTGGTGAGCGGCGAGAGAAGGGTACTCGTTATCACTGATGATGACACCGGCGATACCCTGGGTGCGCGCGTATACGTGGAATGTGAAGTCTGCGGTCTGGCGGTCAGGGGCTGATGGTCGAATAGGAATAGATGGATAAAGATCTCGATGTAGCGGGCGGAAGACTTGCCTTGCTCTTGGATATCCTGTCGTTGGCCTTGTTTCGTGCGTTCGGCGACAGTCTTGCTGAACATAGTCATGAACTCGCTAATGCTACCCCTGGTAAAGCGCGAGTAGCTGCTAAGCTCACGCTCTGCGCAGAGCTCCACCGCGGGAGCCTGGCCATTCTGGAGGATCTAAATCGGCGTAGGCGTTAGAGACAGTCGTAACAAAAGGAGAAAGAGATGAGGAGCACTCACTCCGATGTAAACGATCTTCATGTTGACGACGACGGGGGGTTCTGTGAGGCTGACGTCGATGACCAGCCGAAAGCTTGCGGGGAGGCGGTTGAGGTTGCGCTTCTCACCGCCTTGGCGCCTGGGGCATCCGTGACTTTTATGATCATCATCACGCGGCTCTTTCTCAATCTATCGTTATGGACTATATCTGGGAAGATACTGGGCATGTTGAAGTAATTCTATTATGCAGAGTTCTTAACAAGTTATCCTTCATCGGTACACTTTTCTTCTAGACGAAAGGAAATATCCATAATCCAAGATCCCATCACCTGAATAGTCCACATGCATGTGGCTTGATCGATATATATTTACTTCGTACCACGACCACCATGTGTCGACACAACAAGCCGGTAGCATGCTTCACCCCAGCGATCAGTTGCCGCCATACTTTATTTTGATCACGCAATAACTATATCTTCAGGTACAAGGCGCAGTCCTTCAAAGTTAGATGGATGACTACTTTATTATTTTAGGAACACGAGTCTTGGCCGGATTTTCTATCGGATCCGACCCAGTATACATTGAGAGAAACGCACTATGAGTGACTACGCATGATTGGACGATATAACTTAATTTGCGGAACCCATAGAAGGGGGTACCATTGTATGGACGCTTGAGATTCAGACGAGCAAAGCGACCGATCAAAGTCTTGCGGAGCGCCCAAATCACCAAGCATCGATTTTACTTACTGTTGGTGCGGCCTTGGCTACGGAAGCCACTGATGCGAGTGTGCAACTACATACTATGCCTCCACAATGACAAAGTACTTCTTAGAGTGGTTACAGCGCACATGTGTGCAGACTTCTCCATCGTTCACATTGTCAGGGTAAAGTAGGTCGATACTGAGCCATCGAGCATAACGTCGCAAAGTAAATTCTCCGGTCCGCACGCACTCCACCCTGCACTCCATTGTTGAGCTTAACAATATAGTCTTTTTTGGGCAAGTTCCCCCAGCAGGTAGTAAAATGCAAATGCAGGTCAACCGAGATGCATAAACTCGCTCTAGAGGAATTGAGCTAGTCCTGCATCACCCGCAGATCCTCATAAGAAGAGTCCGAATCACTTGCGCGTACGAAGGGGCAATCGAAGGCTAGGATTGGAAGGAGAGGACGAGACACAGATTGAGTCTATGAGGATAACCATGTGAGGGATTTTCCTCCCAGCATACAAAGTTTTTCTTTCTCCGCTAACATGCACGTTCTTGCTCAGTATATTGGGGCTAGAATACTTGTTGTTGTTTTCTATGACTCGTTCTCTTCCCTCCCTTGTTGGAACAATCAAAGACCCGCGATAAGGAGTGGAATGCCAGTCAGAATGAAAAGTCAATGCCACTGTTTCCGGGACAAGATGTGCTCACGAATACCCCTTCACGAACTCTAAATAAGCATTTGAACCAGGGACCAAGGGGATCAATGAAAGGAAAGGGCTCTGGACAGCGTCACATTCGGTCGCAATCATGATGTCCGAGATCTTGGGTGCCGTGCAACGCCGTCCCGTCATTGTAACGCGCCCCAGCGCCGCAACCGGAAAGCTTCCCTTGCTAGGAATGCAACGGAGAATTGGAATGCCCTAACCAACATCCTGTCTACCAAACAATGAAAGGGTTGGGGCAGAGGTAAACATCAATCACAGACAGACCTTCTGAAAAAGCATATATACCGTCTTTTGCTCCGTCGTTTTCGATACCTTCTCATCATCATCATCATCTCTCACTCTCTCACTCCAATCAAACAATCTATCAATTCTCCAAAAACCCAACCCTCTTCAATTCAAACCACCACCATGCGTTTCTTCGCCATCCTCGCTGCTGCCACTCTGGCCACCGCCACCGCTGCCGTCGGTGGTCCCTCCGCCCGCAACCTTGAGGTCCGCGCTGCTGAGGGCGACAAGGGCGACAAGCCCCGTTACTCCGTCCCCGATGACTGGACCATCGAGCAGGGTTCTGCCAAGTGTGGTAACCAGGCTCAGCTCTCCTGCTGCAACAAGGCCACCTACGCCGGCGACACCACCACCATCGACGACGGTGCTCTGGCTGGTCTCCTCGGCAACATTGCCGGTACTGGATCTGGCTCTGAGGGTGTTGGTCTCTTCGACCAGTGCTCCAAGCTCGATCTCCAGAGTATGTCTTCCGCCAGGACGATCCTATCATCTGCTGGAGCCAGAAACGAAACCCAAGACACGAGTAATGCTAACATTGACCTTTCTCCTTTCAGTCCCCATCATCGGCATCTCCGCTCAGGATATCCTCAACCAGCAGTGCAAGCAGAACATTGCCTGCTGCCAATACAGCGGTGCCGATGCTGTGAGTGTCACCCCCAGAACTCCTCATGCCCGAAGAGCTTCTAAACTAACACATCGAACAGTCCGACGACCTTCTCGGTGTCGCTCTTCCCTGCGTTGCTCTCGGTTCCATCATCTAAGCGAGTCTCTGGATGGTTGGATGCAAGGGTGGCCGAAATTGCTCTTTTCCTCTTCTGTTCTTTTTGGCAAGAGTAGGCCCATTTCCGGACTTTCTTCGTTTCACTAGACTGCCTTTTTTTTTTTTAAAAAAAGTGATTTCTAGTCTACATAATCACGCCTTAATAAATACCACCGCTTTTTACCCACAATGCTTTTCAAGCTGTAGTCTATACAATAGAGGAGACTGCCTAGGTATTCCAATCGTGCGGGTGTCATTGTTTCATTGATTCAGTCACCAGCGTAGTTCTCAGTTCGAAACTGATATTCATGGCTCAGCCGATACTCGCTAGTGGCACACTTGACACCCATCCGACAAGCCCGCCTAAAAAGCTCGGATCTTTCGGAAGACATGAGCCACCGAATCTTCACTGACCTGAGAATAAGCATAACAAGAACACTAGAGCTTTGGAAGTATTACGCACAACCCCCTCCCATGCCAGCAACTACCTACCCATCCTGCAAAGGTTTCACAAAATATGAGGTTACTACTGGTCTAGTACCATATTTCCATGGGCTTGATCCTTGAACCAGATTGAAAAGAGGTATATCCAAGCAGTGTACTACCGCGAGGGCTCCATACTTAATTTGGTAGATGGCGAGGCTCACAAAAAGCTCGTCAGCGAATTCAACTGCTGCTTCTCGACCACCATACCCGAAATACCCTAGAGAATCTCCCGTCATAGTGGTACCTCTGAAGGGATTTTCTCGGTACCACGCAGGACAGCCCATCAGCAAAGTGCCCAGTGCCAATGCGATAACCTTTTCAATGCGGCCCTGTTCTTTTCTCTCTTACAAGGGTCATACTGCGTATGCAGGCAGTTCACCATGCCCCAAACCGAATCCTGCCAACGCCAACGGGACTGTGGTGTACACCATAGTTCAAAGGGCTATGGTAATTAAGCTGACTGCTGGACTCCTCGCTAGGGCTGACTTCCACCTTCTATATTGCCTTTCTGGCCAGCGAAGCTCCTGGCAACTACACTCTTCAGCGCAGCGGTCTCCCCCTTCTATTCTTCGCTATTAGCACCGTGATTTGTATGTGTGACTCGAACATCAATTTCTGGAAATCGTCGGCATTAGTGATCTGGACCCTTTTCCCATCCAACGTCGCCGGCCGCAACAAGAAATCCAGCACCGGCACCGTCCTTTGCATCGCCTATTGCCGCAGCAACTGTATCGGCGCCTAGGTCTTTCGTAATAAGGACGCGTCCCGCTACGTCCCGGCTATCGTGGTGTGTTCGGTCATGTATGCGCTCGTGACTGTGTTGATGGTCGTACTTTGAGGATATTTTCTTTCCTCTTCTTTGTATTATTTCTTGATCCTTTTTTCGCGGTTCTTAAAAGTGTGTTTTCGGAGGCTGTCCCGATTGGGCTGAATTATGGGGGCGACCGGGCGGAGGAGAGATGGACATGCTCTTGCGTGTCGTGAAATTGACTTGAAGGATGATCTGGTAGATATCTGGCAGAATACCCGAAGCGATAGGGTGATTGCGGAGATGTGGTTGACGAAGGGACAGTCGTTGCATCTGAAGCGGTTGAATGCGGAGGAGGATATGACGGATTCGGAGAATGTGCATTTTTGGTACAGTGTTTAAGAAGCCCGTGGGTTTTGTGCGAGTCAATGCCATTGAGAAATCGATTAAAGGAGGCTGCGAATTATTCTCCCTGGTGGGGAAGGGGCTTGAAGTGTCGCTACAAAGAAGTAGGCGTGAACAGCGGTTCAATTGCTTCATGTGTTCAATAAGTACTTGGGTAAATGTCGCATGGGGGATTCTTTCCGCCGCATCTAGATCTGGTTCTACTTTAGCGACTCGTGCCGTTACTAGTGCTGAACATGAACCTCTCCCCGTCGCCAAATCTTCATGGGTATAGGTCCCAGCCCTGTATTCGTGGTTTCATGTCGCGTGGGCTCCCAGGTCGGATGAGGCAAGGCGAACTCGTAGCGGTGCACCAGCGAAGCGATCAACACAGTCTGCTCCAGATAGCTGATGTTGCGACCGATACACCCCCGAGCGCCGGTGCTGAAGGCCACAAAGTACGGCTGCAGGTCCTTGCCCTTCTCGCCCAGCCAGCGGTCCGGCTTGAAGGCGTCCGGCTCGGGGAAGACGGTCTCGTTGCGATGCACGACATACGCCGAGATCCCGACCGTCGTGTTCCCGGGCACAAACTCTCCCAGGATCGTGGTCCCCTCCGGGGGCGTGCGGCGCGGCAGCGCAAACGAGACCGGCGGGTACAGCCGCATCGACTCATCCAGGCAGGCGCGCAGGTACGGGAGATGTTTGACCTTGTCGTACGGCGCGACGACCTCATCCTCCTCCAAGACCTCAGCCACCTCCTCGCGCAGTTTCTGGCGGCAGTGCGGGTGGCGCAGAAGCAGGAACATGACGTTGCTCAGCGCGATGGCCGTGGTGTCGGACCCGGCGTTGATCATGATACTCACCTCGGCGACCACCTCGCCCCATTCCAGGTTATGCGGCACCCCGTTCTTATCCGCCATCATGGCGGCGAAGAAATCGTCCAGCTGCTCCCCGTTCTGGTACCGTTTCCACCGGTTATGCGCGCGGCTGTAGACGATCCCGTCCCAGTCCCGGCTGAGCTGCCACTTCCGGCGGAACGTGGCGGACAGCAGCTTGCTGGCTTTGATGAGGGTGTGATACCACTCATAGCACCAGATCAGCGTCGAGGTGGCCGACCCGCTCGCGAAATGGCATTCTCGGAAACTCACGCGCTTGATGGTCCCGTCCATGGACTCGGACGTGATCTGGTCGTTGCCTTGGTCCAGAAAGCGGATGTCTTCGCTTAGGCCGATGTTTGCGATAGCCGCAATGGTGAACAGGTTCGTCCACAGACGGTAGTCGACCGTCAGATCCTCTTCCTTCGGGCGGTAGCCGCTGGGGAGGGGATCAGTGCATCGGGCATCGAACGCTGTGATGACGCGCCGCGTCATGTCAGCGACCTTGTACTCCCAGGATTCGAGGTTCTGAAGCGCGTAGGCACTAGACAGGACCTTGCGCTTGCGGGCGTGCTCGCTCTTGTCTACAACATCGGCGAGGTGGAAATGAGAGCCGCTTGTGATGGAATAGAACAGGTCTTTGGTGCATTTCGTGCTGTGACCGTAGATATCTTTGATGGCATTGGGGTCTGCGTAGGATAACATGTTGGGGCCGGTGCGGAGCACTGGGTGGTTTTTATGTGCTTCGAAAAGTCGCTTGTATCGCGTGCCTCTGTGGGACTCGATTACAAGAGGAAGACTCGAGATTCCCGACCAGAAAGAGAGTTTGGGGTACTTGCGGAGACCCTTGGGGTCTCGGAAGTAGTTGACGACGGGAAGGATGCCATAGTAGGAAAACAGAAGATAGCAGAGGATGAGGAGGACTAAAGCATACATATTTGTGAAGATGAGGCTGGCTCAGTTGAATTGTGAGAATGTCCTGTGGTCATCGCGAGCAGCACTTGATTGATATATGTCGATGCAGCTGTATACTTACCCCGGATTATGCGCAAGCGAGGACAAAAGCGGTTAGCGCCGGCGAGAATCTCTGAAAAGACCAAGATGGTAAATGTCGGCGAACATGCTACCTAGTATCCACTGCATGATTGTCTTTTCCTATGCTGGCTGATCCATGCAAAAGCAGCCGACACCGCATGGGGCTGCACGAGAGGAGAAAATTCGATAAGGCTCTGTCCAGGAATAAGTCCACAATGCATCATTCATAAGTGGTGGCATAGCCCGGGAGCAGCGCAACTGGAGGTCTCCGCAACACCAGAAGCCTGGATAACAAAACGAAATGGCCTGTACTGAACATCCTAGCTCAAACTCTGTTGACCCTCACTCCTATGCGGCGATAGAGCTGCCACAAGGTTTGGCGCAGAACGGTGGTCGCATTGACGTTGACAATCTTGGTTTGCTGCGACCCTCTGCACCTTGGCTTCCATTGGACGAACTGCGCCGTCGATTCGAAGAGGATGGATACCTCTTTGTAAAAGGACTTTTACCCCGTGAGGATGTTCTAGACGCTAGGGAGAAGTAAGTGCGCTGCCTGCATGTGAATCTTCGGGGTTTCTTTCCGTTACTGACTGTGGTCAAGCTACTTCAAAGCCTACGCCAACACATCTCTTCTGCAAGCGGGGTCTTCCCCGCGGGATGGTATCTTCAACAGCTCGTCTCACCCCGATCTACACAAGGGTATTGGTGGTCAAGGCCTGCCAGCTGATCCTGTCGAGGCTAAAATTCTTATTGACGCCCACTCCGACTCCAAGTACCGTGCCTTTGTCGAGCATCCCGCTTTGACGCAATTCATCCGGCTATTGATGGGCTGGAAACATCATGTCCTGTTGGACCGAACAATGCTGCGTCATAATGTTCCTTTTGGGATGGGTACTGGCATTCACTATGATAAGCTTTTTCTGCGCGGAGGCGATGGATACTGCCTCACTGCGTGGGTCCCATTTGGTGAGTCAAGGATATTCTCGAATTGGAGCGTTATGCTAACTCATCAAGGCGATATCTCAATCAATGGTGGAGGGTTGTGCTATCTGGAGAAATCTGTAGCTCTGGGAAATGAGATTGAGGAGGATTTTACCACTCGCGCTGCTGGGTTCACGACCGAGCAGCGCCTTTCCGCCTATAACGTCAACATGATGGCTGGTGGAATGCTGGCGAAGTCGCCCGACGAGTTCGTGTTAGTTCATCCGACCTCCAGGTCTCAGAAGTGGCTGGCCACTAGTTATGAGGCGGGCGACGTGGTGTTCCACCATCCGTATACCATCCATGCGAGTGGGCGAAACGAGGATGCGCAGGGGCGCATTCGGTTGAGTACGGACTTGCGTTTCTATGAGGAAGGAGATGCGGAAATGGATAAGCGGTGGTTCAAGATCTGGGATCCCAATGATGGGCTGTAAACTTTGAAGTAGATTCGGTTGAATCGTTGGAAGTACCGTACGTTAGTTGATTTAGTTGAACCGTGGATGGGCGGGGTTGCCGGCACTCAGTTAGATGGAGTAGCCGAAAAGGCAACCGTCGCCGAACCCCTCCAAATTTGTGAGATCCTTCTCCTCCACTCCATCAACTACTCCTTCCCACCCGATTCTCTGCCTTGCATGCCAGCAAGGCGTCAACCTTGGTAAGCTCCGCTAGGTATCTTCTTTCTATGGACACTACTCATTGGCTTTAGTGAACATTGCCGAAGTAGGTGCTCAACTTTTGTCCCTTGTGGGCAGCTCGCTTAAACATTGAACCCAGGACACCACCTGCGATGTAGGCATCTTCCTCAGAATAATCACGTCGCATTCGATGCTAAACTCACTTCATCTGCCTCATAGGTGATGACTCTCGCCCCAAATGCGAACGATGCCAAAATGCTGGGAGAGAATGCATTCGTTCCAGCCCACAGTTGCAGTTCCTGATTACAACCAGCGCAGAATATGCGCAGGATGTTTCTGATGCGTCAAATACACTAACTACCAGTATGGCTCTTTTCCTTATTACAATCGCAGCTAACCTTTCAATAGGCAACCGTGCAGTCGAATACGTTGATGAGACCCCGGCCTTGGCGGCCCTATACGCAGCAGAGAATGACGCGTTTCCCTCTCATCCCACCTGCGAGATCGAACATGGTGGCATTCGCAGCTCAGAACGAATATGGGATGAATCGAGATTATCTGCAATCACTACTCCCCTCTCCGCTGATCTACCGTCACCACAGTCACAAACTCAGGCCACGCAGGCACAATTGAGCCTAGAGGGGGCTTGTCTTATCCGTTATTTTGTCGAGAGCCTGGGGTTATGGGTACGTTGTCTGCGATAAGGTTGTGCGGCTACTGCTCACACCATCAGTTCGACCTGTGTGACCCGGAAAGGCACTTTGCCATCGTTGTTCCACAAAGAGCGCGCATCTGCGCTCCTCTCCTGGACGCGATGCTCTCTGCATCCGCCCGACACTTCAGCACTCTCCCTCAACAACGTCAGCTCGCAACAACACAACAATATGGGTTGAAAGAAGGCCTTGCTATTGGCGAGGAGTCCATGCTCGCCTACCACAGTCGATCTATCGCCGGCCTACGTGCCGCCAGCCAGGAACCCAACGCGATCATGGACGAGAACTTGCTTGCCGCGGTTGTGATTCTCCGGTTCTATGAAGAACTTGACAGTATGGCTTTTCTCAATCTCTTCTATTCCTAGCCCCTTGGGAGAGCAACTCAGCTGATTCATCAGGTCCCTTCACCGATCCCCCCTCTGACACCGCCGTCCGCGGCCTCCAAGTCTTTCTCGAAGCGCAAGCCTCTTCCGCAATTCAGACGTGTCATGGCCTCCGCTCCTCGGCCTTCTGGGTCGGCTTCCGGCAGGAATTCCACATGGCCATCTCTCAGCGTCGATCCTTCCGCATACCCCTCTCCACTGTGGCTCACTACCTCCCCACCCGAACCTCTCCAGACCATGTCTGGACGAACCATTTGCTCATCATTGGGGCGCATATCATCCAATACTGTTTCCCGCCAGTGCATTCTCCAGAACAATCTCCGGGCCAGAGATCCACCCTCTATGAACACCTTCTCAACCTCCGCCAAAGTTGGGCGGCTCGCGCACCCTCGAGCTTCACCTCCATCTACACCACTTCTGCCTCACCCTCCGAAGGACTCTTCTTCCCACAGCAATGGTTCCTCAATGACACCCACATCGTGGCCACGCAATCCCTCGGGCTCATCGACCTGTTACTTGCCACGCACGACCCCCACGTTGACTGGCTCCGTCCCCGCATGTCGCACCGTCGGGCCCTTGCCGTGCTGGACGAAGAGATTCGTACCACAGTGCGGGAAATCTGCGGGGTGGCGGTGGCCAACCGGCAGAGTCCAACGGCAGCGTTGACAGCGAGTCTGGCGGTGGTGCTAGGGGCGGAGGCGTTTCGGGAGGCGTCACAAGCGGAGAAAGACGCGCTACTTGCTGTGGTGCGGGGTATCAGGGCGGAAAGCTATTATTTCCCTGGAGAGGGAATGGAGGGGGTGATTTTGGGGGTGTGGGGGGAGAGAAAGTGTCTTTCCTGAGCCTGTGGAGTCAAGAGCATGAGCACTTTTTCATGATTGGACGTGACAAGATACGAGATTGAACCTGCCGGTCTTTGTCAATCTGAAACAACATGAAATCACCATCAATAGCTATAAGACAGTAGTCGAATTGACAAGAACGGCAGATAGGTATAATCTAGAAAGCATATAGACAAGTTCAGAACGCCAGCCCCTCAGCACCGCTGGAAAATCAGACCCAGCAGAAGTGGTAGTATAAAACCCCGAATGGTTTGAGCAAATCAAAGAAAAGAACCCCCATAATCGTCAATTCATACAATATCCACGCGCTTCACAAATAGCTTTTTTCCTTGAGGGACTCGCAAAATGGTATCGTATCGTCCTCATCGAAGCGAGATCCGGAACCCTCCGGAAAAGTGGTGCCAACAAAAGACGGAAACTAGTAATGCGACGAATCATTCTCCGAATCTGCAAGTTCCACGAAAAATTAGCCTCTACCCTCTTGATTCAAAACCGACTGAAGGGAAGTTCCGGGGGGGGGGGGAGGAAAACATACATCCCGACTCCACATCCCGGACGACCGACGCCGCAGGGCCCTTCCCACCACCACCACCACCACCGCCACCAGCCCCGGGGTACCCCATCATGGACTCGCGCTGGAAGAAGCCCAGATTCTTTAAGCGCACGGAGCGCATGTAGGATTCCTGCTCGCGGGAGAAGTTGTAGGGCCGCTCCTTCTCGGGCCCGCCGTAGGTCTTGAAGAGGGCGGCGCCCAACGCGACGACGGCGAGACAGGCGACGATGACGATGACGATGATGGCGGATCTACTGAGGGTGCCCATTTTGATTGATTTGTGTATAGGTTTGTGGTTTGTGGGAGGTTTAGAGGTGACACCCGATGGTTGTCGTTTGCGATTCTGGGGGTTTCTGGGCTGGAAAATTCCCTGCTGTACTGTAGTGTTGAGATATATAGTAGTGGGCACGGCCGTTGCGATGCGTGGTGGGCTTGATTGCGATCGGGGAGGTTGGTGGTCCGAGTCACCCTCGATGGAGACTGACTAGAATTGGGACTAGTCTAGTGTCGTTGATTTATTTTTGGGAGAGGAGGAGGGAAAACTAGGCGGAAGTGTGTGCGGATTTATAATCGCATGCTCGATCGAATGGTTTGTTCTTTTTTTCGGTGTGAGACACAGACTGATTCGATGGTGATGAGTGGTGTGAGCGAGTGAGTGAGGGGAAGGGAAGTAAGTAGGAGGAGAAGGAGTCCGACCGAGAGTCAGAGAGAGAGAGAGCGAAGAGTACAATATTTAATCGGAGAATCGGAGCGAAGATAATAGCACCACCACTCAGCAAGCAATCCAAGCAATCCAAGGATAAAGAGGGGAAAAAAAAATCGACCACTTCTGATTCGGACGCGTGAAGGGGGCCCACTGTTATTTATAAATCAGATTGGAACAAGATGAATGAGAGAGGCAGAAATCGAAGGAAGAGTGACATGGGTCTTCGGGTCAGGGCAGTCAGTCATGGATGGATGGACTCGATGGTTGCCCACGCGGCCTGCTGGCTGTGTTCCAAGCTGGCTGACGGCCGTCTTTCATTGCCATTGGGTGAGCCTCTGCTCGGTCGGCGCGTCTCCACTGTTGTGCGCTTCGAGTCCTTGGGGTGCCTGCCTCTGGTTTGCAATTGAATAAGCCCATTCTTTTCTTCACTTTGTTATTGACCGGATAGGTAGATTGTTTACAGATTGAGTGTGTTTTATTCACAACCTGAATCAACTCATTGGCGACAATTCTATTGCACTCAGTCTTTGCTATCTCTCATTCTCATCTTATCGACCCCCTCTTCCCATTCCACCACTCCGCCCTTGCCGAAAGCTTGACCAAGCGACCAAGCGGAGATGGCTTCATCATTGGCTGGAGATGATGTTGCTGCGGACTCCGATGACTCCTCGGTCTAGAATTGTCCACCTCAATTCACTGACACTTGTCCCATACCACCACACTGACTGACTGACTGACTGACTGACATAAGAATTGCGTTCACTCCCTTCTCATCTTATTGTATTTTGTCATCAACTTGAGCACTTGGCTCAGCCCGGCTTCGGATTCCAACAGCCGTATTCGGCTTTTCCAACCTGAAACAGCGTGGGGCCCTGAAACGGCAACGTTTCTGCCACCCATCGGGCCAACGACGTAATTTGTCCGCACGATCGACAGTATCGGCCCTCGCCCTAAACTCACCATGGTGCCGATAAGCACTAACACCGCGCGGACTGTCGCGGTCTCGCACAGGTGAAGCTTTTTGTCTCTGCCCATGCGACAATCACAATTCCCACGTCATACTTTCCGACACTGCTCCCCCCACTCAATAAACTCACTATCATGCGTTTAGTCGATTCGACACTAGACTCGACAATCATGCTGCCTGCCTGCCTGCACCACCCAGCCGGATATAATTAGTCCAGTCCCTGGTGGGGATCGTCGGCGGTAACTTAGCGGCCCGGCCTGAGGCGGATACGCCGGGACTGCTCGCAGGAACAGACTTTTTACTCGCCCTGCTCGATTGCAAAATATTTCTTGATTTTGGGGTGCAGGGTCAAAATGAAGCTACGTTATTGGATGCTGTGCCACCTACTTCTGCCTACTGGGCGGAGCGAATATCCTGACGGAGTGCTATACTACTGCTCGCAACAGGATTCTTCCGCATCTCCTGACCCCCGAGTTATCCCAACTCATCAACTCATAACTACTGACCGCACAGTCACATGACAGTCAGCGGACGGAAGTTTCAAGGACCCTCCGGCAGATCCTCCAGCCCCCTCCAGCCTGAACCAGAATCAATTAAACTGACCAGGGGTCCAGATTCCGTGAAACCTTGATGATACGCAGCAGGCCTGTTCCGCCCGATGCATGCATGAGTGCTTGTTGGTGCGCTTTGATCTAGCTTATTGGTGTGTCTCTGATGGAGGGAGTCCAGATCTCGGCCACGATTTGCTGGCTTCAAGCTCATGTTCTCCATTCTCTGGGCATGAAATTGATTGAGATAACTCAGGCGCAGTCGGCTCCAGCTTCGTGTCGCTATTGGCGGGCTGTAATGCTGTAAGCACGTACATATAATGATGGTTTGCCATCTCATTATGGGATATTTCAACTGCTCTCAGACCACGTCACTGTGTTTGTCACGGCATTCTAGCGAGCGAGATAGTCTACAGCACTGCATGCCCCATTGAACTTGCCTAGCCTGAGCATATGAACACAGCCTGCAACTCCGCTTGGCGGTGGTACATTTCTTTGTTGGGCCACAAAAGACAGCCAGCATCCAAACGCCTAGTCACCGTCGATCTTGTACCCATCGATAGATATAGGTTAACTTTAACCTTGCAAAAATGCAAAACCAGCCTAAAGATAGACTCACCAGGCCTTGGCCAATGAAAGGTCCATTTCACCACTATTCATAGGTGCCTTTGACCTTCAGCGACAATTTGAAAAGCAGGCACATTCGTTGAGGGGAAAGCGTGCCGACTGCGCTTGGGAATCATGCTGTGAATTAATAGCTTGTAAGCTGTTGTATGTAATCCGGTGTCTTCAGTATTGGGGATATACAAATCTTAGACTGCAATATTCGTTAGTATTTGTTCAATAGCCGCGTTACCTGTTAACCTAATCAACGAGCACATACTCCGTACTGCCCTTCGTAATTCCGGACTTATCCAATTGTGTACGTTCGACGTCAACCCGGGGATAATTCCCGAGGCTCTGACCCTACAACTTCCCCACTTGTCTTGTCCTGTACAGTACTCTCCACTATCTTGCTCAAGGTCGCAGTATCGCCCTACTCGTGTCAACTACTTTCGTGGCACGGTTACCTCAAAATGGACTACAGGTTCCCATCCGGATGTATGCTGGAAACCCAAATCGGACGAGCAATAACCGTCAACAACCACGAATACACGATCATGGATGTGCTATCCGAGAAGTCCAACATGGAGCTCCACGAGCGATGGGTGGTCTACGAAGCCACAGTCCCCCACGACACGCGACGATACGCTCTGAAAGTCCGCTACCAGTACGTGGCTCATCCTCGAACATTTTCGATCCGCATTCACATCTAACCAGCGCCCATCGCTCATCAGAATGGCAGCCAAAGGAGATAGTGAACGCGACCTCATCTCCGAGGAGATCATGGCGCGGAGGTGCTTCGAAGACGAATGCCAGGCTTTGCAAGACTGTCGGAAATCCGTCTACTTTCCAAACTACTACGGGTGCGCCGAGCTGCCTGATGCCGAGAATCCACTCAAAGATGGTGGGCATGTTTGGGTGATTGCGATGGGGCTCGCTGGCGGCACCAGCGTCGTGGGGATGCCCGGCCTCGGGTATCTCGAGAACCGGATCATTCGGGATCAGGTTGTTGATGCGTTGGAGTGAGGCTTCTTTCTTGGGGTTTGTCGGCTGTTCGGGGAGGTGTACTGACCAGGGATTGAACCTTGTGCGAATAGGCATATGCGTCTGAAGGGGTGGGGCTTCTTCATGCAGGAGACGGAGCAGATCTTTTTTGATCCTGAGCGACGGTTGATGTACGTTCACCAGCTATCTTCCGTCTTAGGAGCTAATTGATTATGCAGATGTATTGTTGGGCTATCGAGGGCAGGGAGGGATGGCGTCTTTTCTCCGCCGCCAGAAAACCGGATTACTAGGAACCATCGGGATGTTCTGGCCTTTGGATTGGGGTGGTGGCGGAAGTGAGTTTTCTCGGCTGCTGTCTCGAGATGGTCGTTGTTTAGACTGAGAAGGGGGCAAAAAGGGTAGATTCTCGGGTTCTCTTGTTGAAATCGTCTACCTTCCCCCCTCGTCTTCACGACCAGTGACCAACATATCGGTTCTTACTGCTGAGCGGTAATATACATGTCTTTGTCGTCAATGTTGCCATGTTTACAAGTTTTGAGGACCCACTTTTTGCACAATGTTGGCGAGTTCGGATGGGAGAAGATGGGGAGATGAGAGTGGCGTACGTCTTCCCCGAGATCTGCGACTGTCTTTGCGAGTGAGGCTTGTAGACGAGTCTTGTCGGGCGTGGAGACAATTTGAGAGAACTATTCTTGTGACATGGTTTGATGAAGGCTGTGTAGGTAGAGGGTATGCTCAGAAAGGTATGATGGTGGTGATGGTGGTGGTGGTGGTGGTTGTGGTGCTATATGCCTCTTTCGGATCGGATCTCGAGCCGGTGCCGAAACTCATTCTTCCTTTCTTCAATCTTCTCCTCCGGATATGCCTACCAGAGCACCATGACTCGAACAACATCTACTAATGACTGTATCATCTCGAGCAAAAGTCCGTCTTTCACTTTCTCGCACCATGTGCCTTCACGCATATGCCTTCCGACCTTATGCCGTACCGTGGCTTGTGCTCATTGCCTCTCGTTGAATTGATTTGGTAGGTGGTCTGCGATGTGGGAAAGACCTGCCACTAGCCACGATGCCACTTCTATAGAAGTGACTTATTATAAGTGGGTCTTGCTCGTCCTTCTCGAGGCCATTGGCGGGATATGAGGGGGAGAGACTAGATATGATCACCTCCTATGACAATTGATCAGAACAGTTGACGTCTCATCGGAGTCTTGAACATTGCTTCCTTCCCTCACCCCCCCCTCCGATACACTAACTGCCCCAGCAGCAAACAGACAAATGGCATCCTCGACCAAGAAACCCGATGGACGAGTCTAGAAGGCATGCTTCTCCTGCAGGCGGAAGAAGTTACGTGTCAGATATGCAATGCACGACTCATATCATCTGCTGATTCAAACAAAAAGATCAAATGCGGCGGAGAACAGCCATGCTTCATGTGCGAGTCTCGCAACCATCTTTGCGAGTACCCCGAGTCTAACGATCATGCTGTGACGAGTCGACTGTAAATTATATGGATGACCTGGAATGGCAACCCCACTGACTCTGGTCTAATTATGCAACATCACTGGAGGAACGGTGCCAGCACATGGATATGTTGTGCCTCCGCTTGGAGCGCCTAGCCCAAATACTTTCCCAGTACATCACTCGGGCGCAGGCAGTAAATCATTCGTGCAATGCTTCCGACCAGATCGGGCAATAGGCTATTCTTATGAACTTACACCGGGAGGGCGGTTTCTTTTCCACGTCTTGCACACTTCTGGCCGAGTTATAGGCCCTTGCTGGGTTGCAAACGCCCGGAGTCACATCCACTTCTTCGCGATTCATCTTCCGAATGCCTTGGAGCTGCACAAAGCTGTACCCAGGCAGCTGAACTGGGTCATGGCTGCAAACCACCGTCGCACTATCTAGCCTTTTGTGTTCAATATCTAAACATATCTGGGTTATTTGTGTATGGCATCCTACCCTCACATATAACTTCGTAAACTGACGAGATACGGATTGAAGATGACCGAGTCCGTTGATTCAGAGCAGATCTCGCAAGGACGTACGGCTCTTGCCCTTCTCACCGAGATTGAGCGAGTCTGGCCGGGTGCTAGTCACAGCCGTGCAATCCTGGAACGACTGCTTCAGGATCCGGGTGGGTTTGACAGCGCTAGTCGACCCACGCCCTTAACTATATTTTGGCGGCCTCTCATGGGAGGACTTCCCGGGAGCTGATATGATCGACGACGTTCTGCGGAATGAGCTGTGAGGTCTGACTTCATCTATCGCTACTCGGTATGCACAATACAGTACAAACATCAAGACCATGTTAGGGATATTGACACGGTCTTACTCCGTTTCCACCTCAACCACCAACTTCTCCCCACTAAGTTTCCCCTGTCTCATAATCTCGAATCCCTGCTCCGCCAGCCCCTTCAAGCCCCCTTCGACAACCCTCACCGGATGAGGCTTGATCTTACCATCCTGCAGGAATGGCCAGAGCTTCCTCATCCACTCCACAGCAAAGTCATAATCCTCCTTCCGAGCCGGGATTCTATGTCCACCCAACTCCAACTCCTCCCCCATCGCCGTATACGCCACGGTGATCCGCGTCCGCACATTCTCTCGCGGGATGACGGTGTCCGTCAGCAAGGTCGCAAACTCCCCGCCCTCAGCCGACATGGCCCGGTCACAAAACGCCACCGCCTCCTCCCCGCCAATCGTATCCATCACCAGCCGCAGTCGGTTCCCGGTCTTTTCGTTAATAAGCGCCGCGGCATCTGGGTCTCGATAGTCGAAGACCTCGTCCGCGCCGTACGACCGCACCAGCTCGAAGTTCCGCGGCGAGCAGGTCGTGAAGACCCGGTAGCCGGAGAGCTTGGCGAACTGGATGGCCATGGTGCCCATCGCGGACGAGCCGCCGTAGATTAGGATGGGGAGGGGTTCGGAGAGGGGCGTGTCTGGCGGGGCGAGGTTGAGCGTCTGGTAGAGGGACTGGCCGATGGTCGTGAGGGCAATGCCAAAGGTGGCGGCTTCGGCGAAGGACAGATGCGCGGGGATGGGGAGTTGGAGCGCGGCAACGGCGGGCGTGGCGGTGGAGAAGGCCCCGTCCGTGGGGTGGAGCGGGTTGCAGCCGGAGACGAAGCCGAAGATGCGGTCGCCCGGTTGGAAGTCAGTTGTTGTGTCCGGGTGGATGGAAAGGACGGTGCCGGCGTAGTCGCAGCCCAGGGGCAGATTGAGCGGGGTGTTGGGGGAGCTGGCTTTCTTGAGGTCGGTGGGGTTGAGGGCTACGGCTTTGGGCTGGACGAGGAGGGTCCCCGGGCGGAGGGTGGGTGGGGGGATGGTGGTTAGGGTTGGAGTGTGCGGGGAGGTGAGGGTTATGGCGAGAGGCATGGTGATGGTTTTGGACTCTTGGTTACGGTGGGCTTTGATGGGAGCTGGGGTGGATCTGGGGCAAATCTAGGCTGGATCTGGGGATGTACTGTACTATACTTGCTCTTTTCTTTTATATGGAAATGGGATTGCGCAGCTGCTGACACATAGAATGATGTTGCTTATTAATTGATGAGATGCTGACAGATGGTGGCTTGTTGATGATTAATGCTATACAGCTTCTAGTCGAGCTAGTATGCTAGAGGCATAGCTGGTCTACCTAGTCTCTCACCACGGTATCATGATCGTTTGTTGTCCCTTGCTGGACTACATGGGCGACAACTGACCAGCCAGCATTAACATACCATCCAAAAGACAGAGGTATCGGAGTATCTATCCATGGTGGTAGCCCACACCAACCCGAAATAGGTGAGTCTTAGCATAGTCCATTGTGACACAGGGGTTTTCCACATCTCGGAACGCAAGTGGTAAGGCAATAGAATAGCAAGAAATTGACTTCAGGCTCGAACGATGCTGTCATCTATAACACTGTGGTCCTTCAGATTAAGCTAAGCTATTAATGAGAAACTGGCGGCAAAAGCAACCAGTCACGTATCTACCACAATCCAACAGCCACGGCCCACGCTCCGGTGTCAACGCAGCCAAGATCCTGGACCCTGAGGTGGATGAACGACCAAGGTTGCCCCTCGATCAGCCTCGCGCCATGTGGCACAGATAAACTTCTCCGGCTGTTTCAATTTGCCAACGACCAATATGCAAGCAGTGCTACGCGCCGGTCAGGACCAGCGTCGGGAGCTCCGGGGCGGCGAGCGACGGGCGGCTAGGGCTGAGCGGGGATATAAGCCCTATAACAACCTCACCAGCCCGAAGACTGTAGCTACGCTACGAATTCAACGAATGCAGGCAGCTAGATAGCCATCAATGCCATCGTCCAGCCCCACCTGACCAGTCCCCGGGACAGAGCACCTCATCTTCCTCCTGCTGCTGCTCCCGACGACGCTGAGCATCCTCCTCCTCCTCCTCTCCGACAGCCTCGACCGGACGATCGCAGACGGATCCATCTACGGGCTGATCAACGGCTACCGCACCTCGGTGCAGACGGGCGTGCAAGCGCTCGCCACGCTGCTCAGCACGGTGCAGCTCCTCATCATCTGCCGGCTGATCAACCAAGCGACGCGCATCCGGTTCGCCCACCGCCACGCGACGCAAAAGACCCAACTCACGACCCTCAGCTTCTGGGCCTCGCTCTCCCCCCCGGCCGCGAACTGGACCCTGCCCCCGCTCCTCGTGTGTGTGACCTTCCTGCTGGCCAACCTCTCCGCCGTGCTCTCCGCCCTCTGGACGGGCGCCCTCACCCCGACCACCACGACCACCACCCACCTCTACCCGCTGCCGATCCCCTCCTACCGCAACACAAGCTTCATCCTCGAATACCTGTCGCAGATCGACCGCACCGGCCCCACCGCCCGCACCCCGCAGGGCTACTTCACCTACTCCGTGGGGCTCGCGCAGCTGACCGCGCTGATCTCCTCGGCCAGCATGGCCACCCCGCTGCTCGCCAACGCCAGCCGCGTGCACCCCAAGCTCGACAACACGGGGTACAGCTACACGGGGCGCTCGTACGGGGTCGGCGCCGCGGTCGGGCTCACCGATTCCGCCCTGCGGGCCACTTACCCGCACGCCACGGGCTACACCTACCGCGAACCGGGGTACGTCGCCACCGTCGAGTGCACCTACAACCGCTCCACCGCCTTCCGGCTGGAGGAGCTGGGCGAGTACGCGCTGTACGCGGCCCGCGGGCCCTTGCCGGATACTGTCAACGCGAGTCAGCGGAGCGGCGGCGAGTACTCCGTGTATACCGGGTATAGCACACGGACGATCGTGGCGGTGGGCGTGGCGGCGCAGCCGGTCGCGTACACGCGCCACCGGTATGTGGCTGTCGCGGCGGGCGGGTATTATGTCGGGTTGAATGCGAGTCAGTGTGTGCTGGTGTTTGAGCCGGAGTGGTTTGAGGTGGTGGTTGGGGTTGCCGGGAAGGAGATACGGGTTGGGCGGGCGGCGGCAGGGGATGGTTCTGCTGTTGCGGATACCACTGCTGCTGCTGCTGCTGCTAGTGCTACAGCTACTGCTACTGCAGCTGTAGGACTAGCTAAGCGCGATGATGATGCAGCAACAACCTCGGGAGAAGGCAACGCGACAGCCGACATCGACCCCACCAACAAGACCATCCACGTCGCCATGCGCCAGCTGGAACTCATCTCCAACGATCTGACGAGCTTCTACCGCTCCACCCTGGGCGACGCCTTCAACACCAGTATCGCCGATTATCGCACGTCCGTGACCACCACCACCACCACCACCACCATATCCGAAGACGCCGGCGACGGTGACGGTCGAGGCGTTCCGCGTCGGGTCGCACCCGTACATCGTCTGTGTGTTCGGGACCTCGCTGGCGCTGCTGCTGGTCGTGGCGGCGGAGATGGGGCGCACGCGGCTGTGGCGGGGTCTGCCGCGGTGGGATTACATGGAGATGAAGATGGTCGTGGCGGCGGCGTCGAACGGGGGCCGCGGGATCGCGGAGCGCGCGGCGGAGAAAGGGTGGGCCGCGGACGAGGTGGGCAGGATTCCCGTGCGGTTGGTGGGCGGGGAGCAGGTCGCGGGCGGCTGGCGGTTGGTGGTGGAGGATGGCGTGGATAAGGAAATGTTGCTTCTAGAAAGGGGTGGGGATAGGGATGGGCGGTGGATTTAGTTGATATTGGTTTAGAAAAATAGGGAAATATATGGATGTGATTGTTAACGAGTTATTTGATGTGAATATGTGAATAAGACTACTCCTACTTCTTCCCCACCATCCCCCGCAACGCCTCCGTCTCCCCCTCCAGCTTGCTCACGCGCATCCGCAGCTCGTCCCGCTCCCGCTTCACGGCCTCCAGCTCCGCCTCCAGCTCGTTCACCCGGTCCAGCTTGCGCTGTCGGTACCGCCGCGCCGCGAGCGTGTTCAGCTGCCGCTTGCTCACTTTGCTGAGCGGTTCTTTGGTGGTGGTTGCCACCCGGGTGACGGTGAAGGTTGGTTTGGTCGAGGGGTGGTCCGTCGTCACGGCGGGCATTGGTTGCTGGGGTTGTTGCTGCGGCTGTGAGATTGGGGGTGGGGTTTGGGTTTGCGGGTCTATTGTCCTGCAATTAGTACGCTTGATTTGCTGATTCGGAGATGGGATGGGGCAGCAAACGTACCAGGTAGAGACTGCACGCTTGGCGATTCGAAGAGGTAGGATTCACTGAGACTATCCGGGGAGCTGAGCAGCGAGTTAATCGCGGAGTCTGATACGGGGTCTGCGAGGTCGCCCAGGGTGTTGATGTCGAAGTCGAAGTCGAAGTTCAAGTCCAAGTGGTTGTGGGTAGTAGTGGTGGTGGTTGTAGTGAGATCGGAGTAGTAGGTTTGATTGAGAGGATCGGTCGCAAAGAAGAATGGGTCAAAGTCAACGGGAGGGAAGGCCGTTGCAGGAGGCAAGAGAGAGAGATCGAGATAGGGATGGAGGTCGGAGTTATAGTAGTCGGGGTACTGGGGCGAATGGTGAAATTGATTAAGCGGTTTGCCCTGCCGTGTAGTCGGCCGGGGTGAGCTGCCTGACGGCGTGCGTAGCGTTGATTGCTGCGACTGCCATCCTTGTATACTTAGGACCCGGGTCGCGGACCCGGAAGACCGGAGGGAGAGAAGAAAGAAGGGGGGGTAGCTTGTTCGCCGAGGCGATGGGTTGGTGAAGAGGAGAGGAGAATGCGGGAGAGGGAGGGGGGATTCTTATACCTTATCGGTCGGTGCCGGGGGATCAAATCATGGGCCGTTCAGGGAGGCGGGTTCCATTTTGGGAGATTGTTGTGGGGCGGTGGGGTGGCCTCTATCGGAGTTATTTTAGCTGGGTGTGACTTATACGGCTGTTGGTGATGGCATTTGCCGAGGAATAATGGTGGTGATATTACTGCCTTGCAGGCTTGGGACAGTATTTAGTATGCTCTGGAACTCAGTGTGAGTAGAGATATATGCTATTGTTCATATGTCAAAGAGCATAGTAGTAATGTGGCTAAAACTCCTATCATCCTCATTAGTAGTATCCCATCAACATCACATCTCCGAAACAACAAGCAACAACAAAAGCAATCAGATGATGTCGGCCCTGGAACCTTGGAGAGGTTCTTCCTATATTGTGTTCTCTCCAAGCGCCTCAGTAATGCGAAGCATGTCAGCTGTAGGGGGGGTTCTTCATGGTGCTAGAATGGGTAGAAATACAGTACAGTAAATAGACGCACTTACTCAGGTACACTCATGATGCATATCATTGATCATTATAGTCTATACCGCTCTACCATGGTTCACCTACAATCTTATAGCTACATATCTGACTTCAAGGTAATATTTCCCTACCATCCATCATCATGAGTCGAAGTGATGGAGGATGAGACGAGATGAGGCCAGGCTGAAACCGCCATCTAAAGCGCACCCGCCGAGCCGGAGAAGAAGGAATTGACCCCGGATGAGCCAGCATGACTCATTCTTACTCATGCCTATTTGGGAGGGGAAGGCCCCCACTCTTAGTATCCAACAATAGCACCGAAGCCGCGAGGATTGACCATTCGGTGACGAAATCAGCTCATTATCGCTCGAGCATGCATTGCCCAGACCGTTGTTATCATCCCATAGCTTATCTGCCCTTGCACTACAGTACCAACCCAGGATTCATAGTTGAGATGATGACCTCCGGCCTCATCCAAGCCATAGTAAAAAATTAGGTTTGGTGATTACACACTTCATGGACTGAAACAGCCATTCGTGATGGATATCTTGCCCCACGTGCCAGCCATTACCCCGGAACAACCTGCCTGCCTAAGTATCAATCCTCAGTTCATTGTTTCGCCGTTGATACTGCACATAAGATGACAGAGATCATTTGGAAGAAAAAAGCGTCTTAACCAATAAACCATGCATTTGAATCTCTATCTATTATCATAACTACCATTAACATCATTAAGCCTGTACATTATCTATAATCCCCACCAAACGACCGCAGATTCTCACTCTATAATCATATCTCCTGCGAACACAACTCCCACTTTTCTCCCCTCTAGTTCTTATTGAGCTTGGCTCTCAACCTCGCCCCAAACCAGTAGAAGACGTAAGGGATAAACACCATCCCCACCCCAATGAACGCCAACAGCCACGACGCCCACTGCAGCCCCAGACGATCGTACATCTGCGTGATGAACAGCGGGAACGCCGCACCGCCGCCAGACCGCAGGAAGACCTTGGCCGCCAGCGCAGACGCCGCATACTTCTGGTAGCTGTCGATGATGTAGTTGTTCACGGCATAGTAGCAGAGCACCATGCCGAACCCGAAGGCAATCCCGGAGGAGGCGGGCCCCACCCAGATGATGCCCTTGTAGGAGGTGGCGCCGAGGATGAACAGCGCGATGGGGACGAAGGGCGCGCCGATGAGGGCGCCGATGAGTCGGTCCTCCGGGGTCGGGGCACGGCGGCTGCAGATCTGGTGGAATTGCTTCTCGAGCAGCGGCGTGAAGATCAGCGAGAAGCCGGCACCGATGAGAATCGGGATGAACATCAGCCCGATCTGGCCGTCGTTGTAGCCGTACAGCTTGCCGAAGATGACCGGGTAGGCGAAGAAGAAGGCGTACAGCATGGAGTAGATCAGCACGATGTACATGCACATCAGGTCGAGCACGGGCTCGGTGAGGATCATGGTAATCGGGCGGATCAGCGAGGTGCGCACGATCTCCTTGAGGGAAGGCTTGTGCTGCTCCTGCTCCGTGATGATGTGCGGATTGCCCGTCTCGGAGCGGAGGCGCGCCGCGCGCCGCTTGAGGATCACGGGCGCATACGTCTCCGGGACGAGGCCGACGAGGATGCCCACGGCCCCGGCGAAGGCCAGATTGGTCCAGAAGAAGAGATCCAGCCGGCCTGAGCCCACCGTGATCCAGCCGCAGACGATGGGCCCGATCACGGGGCCGCAGTACGGGGCTGCCGCGAAGAAGGCGATCGCCATGCCCCGCTCCTCGATGGACCAGATGTCCGCGATGGTGCCGCCCGCAAGCGAGAGGCCGGAGCTGGAGAAGACACCGCAGAGGAAGCGGCATGCCAGCAGTCCGCCGATGTTGGGCGACAGGGCGCAAGGGATGTTGAAGATCGTGTACAGCACCAGGGAAATAATGTAGACCGGCCGCCGGCCGATAATCTCCGATAGGGGGGACCAGAGAAGGGGACCGACAGCGAAGCCGCAGACCATGATACTGCAGGTAAGGGTGGCCACTTCGAGAGAGACGTGGTACTTCTCTTCAATAAGGCCCAGACCGCCCGTTACGATTGCGGAACCGTAGGCGACGCAGACCACGAGGAGGGAGGCGACCATGGTGACGTACCAGCGATAGGCACGGGACCAGTTGTAAGGGTTCTCGGGATCGTTGATGGTGAAGGTGACAAACTCGGTAGGCTGGTCATCGCCCTTTTCGAGGTCCGAGGAGGAGGAGCTCGACGACGGTTGCCGGTCTTGACGCGAGCGGATCTGTTCGAGCGTGCGTTTGGGAACGAGGCCGGTGCTGGTCTCGATGGTATATTCCTCCGGGAACACAGGGTCGGCAGGCCGACCGACGTCTGGATAGTTGTAGTCGACTGGCGGAGGGCTGGGCGAGATTCCGCGGTTTGTTAAGGACTCTCGAGTTTCTGTGCGAAGAAGATGTGGTTGTTCTGATGCATTGCTCATAGCCCGTTGGGGCTCGGACATAGGTGGTGCCATGGTTGTATGGAATGAGATGGCTGGAGCTTTGGTAGACTGTGGACTTGAGATGCCTTTCTGTGTGCTATTGTAAGAGAGACAAGCAGATTATGTATAGGAAAGGAGTTGATTTATATCTTTGGATGTTGGATTCGTATAGTTCAGGCACGCAGCGAGGCCGACGCATCGCCGATCCATCACCGAGACGCACCGAGCTTGAACCGTTCGACACTCTACCCGGTTTGAAGCCAACACACGCCATCTGGGTGACTCAGAGCCGGTTCGGTCTTAGATCGTCCCTGTTTCGTGGCTTCGGGTTGCATCTTGCATCAGATTGGATTGCAGCTGAGATTTGGTCAGATCAAATGATCCCTGCCGCGTCGACCAGATGCCGTGATTGTTTGTGCAATAAGTTGATCTTCATGACGAATCTTCATATAAACATGAAGACAACAGTGCTCAAGAAGCTTTAGCCGGCGAAGATCGAATGCAAGTGCCTCAAAATGTGAAATCAATCCTTGGGAGCATAGCTTCAGGTCGGAGATGTGTTGTCATCCAGCTCGTGTAAGCTGCAGAGATTTGTGATCATGAAAACTCTGCTCCTGCAAGCTGCAACTAGCCCAATCAGGACTACTAATCTATGACGCAAGATTAAAGCCCACAGCTGCGCGATATGTTGTGGTACATTCTTTCATGAAGTAAGTAGAGATGTCGATGAGAGTCTGGAAGGGACGATGGGCAAAGATAAGGGCGCAAGCTCGGCGATGGTTCGGTGCCGAACTTTCTCCGGAGCAACTCCGAACAATAATATGATAACATCGACGCTGTCGAGCTTCAGGGAGAACGAGAAATCCCCGAAGCATTTGAATCCGACACAAATTTCCCTGAAACATGCGTCATTTAAATCTCTGCAGGAACCGTTATTTTTTCCAATCGAGTGGTTGAGAGCATGGACCGGTTGATCTGATTTAACCAAGCCCGTTCAATCCATACCGAAGATCCGATAAAAGAAAAACTTGATGCTATCCCCTAAGCTATAGCATAACCATAGACAAGACTCCCTCCCAAGCCATCCCTCCACTTTCTTTCTGCAGAATCACCTTCGTGAGCCAAGACAGCCCCCCCCCCTCCTAATCGCTAGCCCGGTACTTAGCCCGGTACTCTTCCAGCCGGCGCATATCCTCGCCCGCGCCCTTCTCCTGCATCAACCGGATCAGATCATCCAGGGTGACGATGCTCGTGGTGGGCACGCCGTACTCCTTGCGGATCTGGCCCATGGCGCTCATGCGCGGCGCGTCGTCCTCCACGCCGCTGGAGTCCTTGGGACCCGGCATCTTCTCCTGGCGGTCCAGCGCGACGGCGAAGCCGACCACCTTGCCGCCTTCCTGGGCGACCAGGTCGAGAGTCTCGCGCATCGCCGTGCCGGCGGTGATCACGTCGTCGATCACCAGCACGTTCTTGCCCTTCAGGCCGGCGCCCACGATGCTGCCGCCCTCGCCGTGGTCCTTCTTCTCCTTGCGGTTGTAGCTGTAGGACACCTCGGCCCAGGCGTCGGGCTGCAGGCGGTGGAGCTCGAGCAGGGTGGCGCAGGCGAGTGGGATGCCTTTGTATGCAGGGCTGTTTGGAAGGGATGGGGGTTAGAGATTGGGATCAAGAGAAGAAGACGTGGGTGTATGCGGCGGAGTGGTTTGTGTTTGGGGGATGGATTGTGCGGTGTTCAACTCACCCGAAGATCACGTCGGGCTTGGGGATGGATGGGTTCTCAGCGAGGAAGGTGATGATGGTGTGGGCGTAGGCGGTTGAGAGAGCAGAGAGGAGCGAAGCCGTGTGGAAGGTACCGGCGTTGAAGAAGTAGGGGGAATCTATTTAGGATCCTCGATTAGCAAGGGACGGGTCACCGATAGTGGTATCACGGAGAGGGGAAGCGTACGACGGCCCGACTTGAGGGTGAAAGTGCCAAAGGTCAGGACCTTGGCGGAGATGGAGGACTCCAGGAAGGTGGTCTTGTAAGCGGGGAGGGCCATGGCGAAGTGAATTGGCGTGACTTGAGGATTTGCAGGGGCTGTTGGCGGGGAATACTCTTAATCTCCTAAAAGAAAAAGATTGAAACCATCTCCAGATGATGAGGTAAGCCGTACCCCGCACTATTCCCGTTTAGACCACACGCAGGGGTCCGTGTCCCGAGTTCGGTGCTTTCTTATCTTATCGCTTATCGGCTTCAATCGTCGACCATGATTATGAACTCGGAGGTATATATGTACAGTACATTGAAGAAACCATCATCCAAACGCCTATCCTATAATCGTACACCTCACTCCCATCAGGCCAAGTTCTGCAAGTTGACCATCTCATAGTACCTTCCTCGTCGACGCAACAGTTCCTTATGCGTGCCCCACTCGACGACCTCTCCCTGATCGAGGAAATAGATCATGTCCGCCCGCTGGATCGTGCTCAATCGATGAGCCACCGCGATCGTCGTGCGGCCCTTCGCCGCTGCATCCAAAGCCGCCTGGACCACCTTCTCCGACTCCGAGTCCAAGGCCGATGTGGCCTCATCCAGCAGAAGAATGCGAGGGTTACGAATCAGCGCCCGAGCGATGGCGATCCGCTGCTTCTGCCCACCAGACAACATGCCGCCTTTGCTGCCGACGAGCGTGTTGAAACCTTGTCTAGAGAGATGTTAGCTGACTGAGCTTCCAAGTCGAGACGATGCCATGTGCAAGTTTGGGAATGGGTAAGGGACAAGGGATCACCTACGGTAACGACATGATAAAGTCGTAGATGTTCGCATCTCTGCACGCTTGGACCAACGTGTCCTCCGCCACCGCTTCCTTGTGCGTACATCCCAGCAGGATGTTCTCTCGGATCGTGCCCTGGAAGAGAGCAGGCTCCTGACTGACCAGAGCCAAGTGGCTGCGGTAGGACTTCTTCTCGAGCGTTGCGATGTCCCGCCCGTCGACATACACCTCGCCCAACACCGGCTCGTAGAAGCGTTCCAACAAGGAAATGATCGTGCTTTTGCCACTACCACTCGACCCTACCAGTGCAATATTCTGTCCTGGCTTGACCGTGAGGTTGACATGCCGTAGCACAGACTGCTCCAGCCGGGTCGGGTACCGGAAAGACACGTCCCGGAATTCCACCGACCCTTGCATGGAGGACACATGGATAGCTTTGCTCTCAGCATGTTTAGTGATCGACCGATTGCTGAACAGCTTCTTGAACTCCGCGGCCGCATGCTTCGCTTTGCCCATATCTGGCGCGTTCGAGAAGATAGTCCCGGCCGCCTGAGCGCCGAAGATGACCTCGCTGAAGCACACGTAGAATTGAAAGAGTGTGTACTCTCCGTGCCCGAGGAGAGTTCCTCCATACCAGAAGCCCAGAGCCATGCACATAAACGGCAACGCTTGGGAGCTGGCATAGAGGGCGGAGGACTTGAAGATGGGGAGGATGTCCTCCTTGAGCTGCGCTTGTACTTGTTTCTCATAGGAACTGACAACTTGCTTCTCCATCGTAAGAGAAGCAACAGTCCGGATGGCAGAGGCCGCCTCGCAGGCTGAGCTCGCAGACTGTTGATACGCAGCTTTCGCTCGACGCTGGAATCGATCCAGCATCCACACGCGAAGAAAGCCGCACATCAAGAGGACTGGCACAGCTGAGATGCATACTAAAGCAAGCTTCCAGCCCATGACCAGAGCTACGACAAGGGAAGCTGAAAGATTGACAGTGACAATGAGCAGGGTACCGAGAGTGACGCCGCTGATTCCGGCCAGCTGTTTAGTTTCGGCTCCCAAGGTCGACGTCAGAGCGCCTGTGGTGTTCTCTTCCTTGTCAAAGAATGAGATCTCCTTGTTCAGCATGACCCGGAATGCCTGGCTTCGGGCTCGGAAGATCAGTTTCTCGGAGCTATACGCGAACAGGGTCCCTTGGGTGGCATAGATAACCAGTGTCACCAAGCCCATCATGAGGAACATCAAGCACCAGAAGTTCGCATCGTGGCGTAGCTTGTGGTATTCGAACGGAGGCAAGCTCAGCGTGTTGACTGCCTTGGCAAACAACACCGCCTGAGATGGCTGAATGCCCCCGGCCAGGGTCGATGCACAGAGACCCAGAATCATGATCGGCCACTCCGGTCGGTTGAACGAGGCAAGGAACTTGAACAATGCCCATAGTGACAGGTTCTCCTTGTGCTTGGATGGTAAGGGCGGAATGAACATGGACATCCTGGTCCTACGTCTCTGCCTCGCCCCGGTCTTCAGCACAATATCCGAGGCGTTGTCACTAAAGTCGTCTTCGTCGTCCATGGGGATTCCGCCGCCAATATAATCCTCATCGAGGAAGAACGTCATCGACTCGTGTCGCTTCGCGGCCTCCTTCTGCTTGATCTGCTGCGCCTGCACCATGTCATAGTACACTCCCTCCCGGCCCATGAGATCAAAATGCGACCCTTGCTCCACGATGTGCCCATGGACCAGGACAACGATATTATGCGCCTCCTTGATCGTAGAGAGTCGGTGGGCGATGGCAATCGTCGTCCGCCCCTTTGAGGCGTTGTCCAACGCCGCCTGCACGATCTCTTCCGACTTCGCGTCCAGCGCCGAAGTCGCTTCGTCAAGCAACAAGATCTTCGGGTCGCTCACCACGGCCCTCGCGATCGCGATCCGCTGCTTCTGGCCTCCTGACAGTGAGAATCCACCGATGTTCGTCTCGTACTTCTTCGGCAACGCCATGATAAAATCATGTGCGTTGGCCATCTTCGCGGCGTCGTGAATGCGCATGGTGATGCTGGCTTCGGGCGCATTCTCGTACTCCGATCCGATCAGCCCGAACCGGATATTCTCGTAGATCGTGGTCGCGAAGAGTCTAGGCTCTTGCGAGACCAAAGAGATCTGTTGACGCACCCATCGCAGGTTTAACGTATAGAGATCGTGTCCGTCGATCGAGATATGGCCGGCGACGGGGTTGTAGAACCGCTCCAGCAGACCGATGACCGTACTCTTGCCCGACCCTGACGGCCCCACAAACGCTGTGGTCTTTCCAGCAGGAATATAGACGCTGAGGTCATTTGTCACAACAACCTCCGGTCGCGAAGGATACACGTGCCGGACATTCTGCAGCACGATGTTGCCCTTGACATGGCCGAGGATCTTGCCGCTCTCGGAGGAGGCATCCAACGGCGACGCCCGGTCAATCGTGCTGTAGAGCTTGGATGCAGCGGCGACGGCATTCGACAGCGCCTGCACGTTGGGGGCGACGTTGCCCAGGTTGTAGGAACCCAGCATGATCGACATGAGAATGGTGAGGACATCGCCGACCTTGACGTGTTCGCGGGCATCGACGAGGAAGCGCGAGCCCATCCAGAAGCCCATCCCATAGTTCAGGTACATGACGCCCAGCATCGCGCCGACCATGACGGCGAAGGTGATCTGGGACTTCCGGGCGGGCGCCTCGGACTCCCGCAGCTGCGCCTCGTACTTGGCGGCGAGCACGTTCTGGGCGTCGAAGGCGACGACCGTGCGGACCGAGTCAAGGATGTCCTCGGCGAAGCTGCCGGAGCGGCCCTGACACTCCAGCGCGCGCTTGCTGTGGACCATCATGACGATCGACCCGCCGCCCATGATCAGGAGCAAGGCGATCAGCGTGGCGCTGCAGATCAACGCCAGCTTCCAGTACTTGATGTAGGCGATGATGAACGCCGTGACGAAGGTCGACAGCCCCGTCAGGGCCAGGCCGACCTTTTCGGAGATCCCGTCCTGGATCAGGTTGGTGTCCGCCGTGATCCGCGTCGTGATCTCGCCGGCCCCCAGGCTGTCGAAGAAGGCAATGTTCTGGCGCAGGATCGCCCGCAGGTACTCCACGCGGATGCGCTGCACCACATGGTCGCCCGTGTAGATGAAGCCGACCGTCGCGATGTATATGGTGATGAACTCCGCCGCGGCAAGGTAGATAAAGTAGACCACGTATTTGTTGAGCTCGTGGTGGAAGTGGTCGTACGTGATGCGCCCGGCCGCAATGTCTTGGAAGGTCGATGTGAGGTTACCAAAGAGGACCTGTTCCACGAGGTTAGTCGTTATGAGTGAGCTTCACAGGAGATAGCGTCGTTAACTGACGGTGAATAGCGGCAAGGCAGCGCCTCCGATTATCGAAGCGACCGAGCTAAGCAGCAGGAAGACTAGATCCCACCGGCTGGCATAGCGATAAATGCCAAAGAACCCGGGCTTGGATACAGGGACACGGATCTGCTGCTCGAGGATGCTCTTCTCGACCTCCGACAGGGCGATGACGGTGCTGTCTGTGGCAGGAGTCTGTTTGCGACCGTGGTCAGTGGGTTTGATTGTGGCAATGAAGCAAGACGCTGAGGTTTTCTGACCGTGGGTATTGACTCCAAGCAGATGTCTTCTTCTTTCCACTTCATCATGCAGATGGTTTTATTCTCGCTCAGTCTGTCCCTATCACCAAGCTGCCCAGCAGCAGCATCTCACACGGTCGGAACGGAGGAGCAAAGCGAGCTCGGTTGGTAGGGTGGCTTGATTGAGCCAAGACAGATAGTCGAAAGACAGCGAGGACAATGGGCGCAGTGGAGGAGTGGTGCGAACTGGAAGTGAAACTAGCCATCACATGAAATGACACTGGGGACGTGACAGGACCCCTATAATCGAAACCTCGGAGGCCCAACTGGCTGGACTTTTTCGTACCACGGAAAGTGGGTTGATCGTGCCTATCGTCATTCATTGTGTGACCGGCTGGACCAATTTCTTAATTATGATTCTGTCGACGAGTCCAGTTGAAGACGGGGCCAAAAGGCACCAAAGGGACTGAAAGATGAGAATCGGTGCCAGTTGTGTTAAACCAGTGTTTCACGTGGATGGGCAGAAGGAGACGATCAGGGACCGGAAAGCCAAATGGCCCTGGTTCCAATTATTAGGGCTGGTAGATAGGTCAACTTCAGCCAACTTCAGTCACCAATCACCCCAGCCTTGCGGCTGAAACACAACGGTGTCCGAACCAGATCGACAGATCGGATATTACAGCCTGTTTAAGAGATGGAGGTAGACGGACGGGGATCTCAGGCTGGTCCGGGCTGGGTTTCAAACTCTTCATTCATGGTTGAAAGCTGAAACCGGGGTTCGTATTGGCGACGGCCTCAAAAATTGGGCCACTCTACCAAGCTCCCCAAACAACGTTTACGGAGTACCGTGCAGACCAAAACTTAATCAACTTAATCAACTTAAGGCAATCTCCGAAGGTAAAAACTCAATTCCGTTTGTTTTTTGGGAGAACTGACACTCTCATTTGTCTACTGCTAACTATTTCGTTTCACGCCTACACTTTAACCGGGGTATAACGTGGATCCACTTCCAAACCTGAAGCACTAGCCAACTTGTCAATCCGCAAATCAATGTGAGTGTCGCCATGACACAACAGTAAAGAGAAAAGAAAAATCATCAATGGATGAATAAGTCAATGTGGGTGGTGGGAGAAAAGAACCAAACCCGAGAAAGAACCAGCCCCCTCTGAATCTAGAATCTTGGAATCGATCGATAGGTCCACCAAATTAATCAATCTCACGCTTCTGAAGCTTCAGCTTCAGGTCAGGAAGCTCCCAGAAAGCATAGCAGCGACTCTCGCGCTGCCAATCCTTGACAGGGCCCACATATTCTGCATCGAAGTCCAGGAAGAACGCAGCCAGAGTCAGCTGCATCATTTGTTTGGCGAAGTACTTGGCAACACAAGACCGACTGCCCACCAGAAAAGGCTGAACGGCCTCCTTCTTGTCCGTACAGCCTGGCTCCGTCCATCGCTCGGGAATGAACTCGTAGGGCTCATTGAAGTATTCGGGGTTATGGTGCAATGCGAAGATCGAAGTGCAGATCTCAGTCTGAAACGGGAAGGCAGAGTTAGTGGGGGGAAAGGCCGGACAGGGAACATATCAGATAAACTTACTCCGGCCGGGATATAGGTGCCATCCACGTAGGCTCCGGGTGAAACACGCGGACCTCCCACTGGGACAGGAGGATACAAGCGGAGGGACTCCGTGATAACAGCGTTCAGATATGGCAGCTCTTGTGCAACGTGCCCTGAAACATCTTCTGCGGACGTGAAGGCCGAGCGCAACTCCTGGTTCAATTTGGCATGCACTTCAGGATGGGTCAGAACAAAGTAGATGGTCGCACAGAGAGCATTCTGGGTGGTATGGAAACCAGCCAGCATGATGGCGGAGAAATTCTCGGCAATTTCAGGAACAGGCAGGTCGCCTGTACCTGCCCGCTCCATCACCTCGACCATGACGTCCCGACGAGTGTGAGATGCACCAAGCTGTCTGTTTGCATGTTAGCCATGGACTTGCTCGTATGCTAGTCAGCACTCACTCATTGATGAGTCTCATTCTCGCCTGTTCTGCGGACTGGCGAACACCCTTGCGGATCAAATGGCGGAGCATCCATTTGATCATGGTTGGCACTCCGGAGCCCTTGAATTGATCACGGATGGTACTCCAGTAGAAGATGCGCGGCAGCTGCTCGGTCCAGAAATAAGGCTTTCCATGCTTGAGACAGCCCAAAGGCTTTCCGAGCAGCACCTCCGACACAGTATCGACGGAGTGGCAGTAGAGTAGCTGGTTCAAAGACAGCGTATCTGTCATCTCCAGCTTCTCCTTCATAGTCGTGTGCAAATGGAGAATCCGCTCCTTGATAACACCTGCATGGGCCTGCATGCTGCCGGGGCTAAGGGAAGGAGCGAACAGCTTTCGTACCGAGGCATGGTAGACAGGGTCACTCGCAGTGAAGATATTCCGTCTCGAGATACCCTTGTAGAAACCGGTCTTAAGGAAGGCGGTACCTTTTCCCGAGCCAGCACCATAGATGTTGCGCAGACCTCTAACGGTATTGGTAGTTGCCTGGCCTGGAGCAAAACGCACAATCTTGCCTGAGTCATGTCAGATATCTGCACAGAGGCCGCAGATGCTATCAAGGGGGAGTGTACCATAGGATTCGTGCAACGAATGAAAGTAGTGGGCACTCCGACCGGACAGGAAGGCGATCTTGGTGGCAGACTGCAGATGCAGGGTGGTTAGACGGCCGTTCCGTTGTCTGTGCAAAGAGGAAGGGAAACCGTACACCGCAGAGAAACAAATCAAGGAACGAGCCTGGAACCCCCTTGATGATTGGTCCCTTAGGAAGCAATTGGATGAAAAGAATGAGAAGCCAAGGGATCTCGTGATGTGTCAGTCATACCCGTCAAGAAGCTTGTATAATTCCAACATACCAACACAATGGCGAGAATTGGGAGCGAGATTATTCCCGAAGGATTGATTTCGAATTGCCCCGAGGGCACGGCCATGGCCAGAAAGATCATCTTAACGAGAGTGATTGCAAGAACGAGTGCAATTGCAAGAACGAAAGTAGTTGACCACCACAAAGTCGCCTCAGACGTGCTATGGCCAGATCTATTTATCATGCATGGGCAATGGTCTCTCAGGGCCCCTAGGCGAATCACGCTTGAACTAGCTGTACCGCTGTTGAGGCAAAGTTACTCTCCTGATCCCATCCGGCTAGATGCATCTACCGGTCTCAGTCCATGTTTCCGTTGCACAGGTTCCTCGGCCTGATTCTGATCCAGTTAATCAGATCAGACCAGAATGTATGCGTGATTCTTGACGATCATGATTGGGCGCGTGGTTTGAGTTCCTGACGATAGATCGAACCCGGGTCAGGGTTAAGAGTGGATCTGCCCCATTTTTGGGGATCCTCGGGCCCAAAGTTTATGCTTGCCCCTGCGGCAGTCGCATCCGCTCTCATCTACCAGAAACATCGTATACTCTGACTTGTCGCGGTTTCAGGTCCATATAAGGGCCTCAACGCCAAAATGTCAGACCGTTGTCCAAGCACGGTCATTGTCCGAACGCGAATGTTTCACCATTTTCCATTTTTCGCGATAGATCTTTCTGGGGCCATTCCACCAATTGGTGTTCCCCACTTTTCCCTCCAAATTGCTCGTCCCCTTTTCTGCCATTTTGGTGACAATCCAGTTATATAAGCCCTTGGTGTGACAAGTCCTTACCTCTCCTCTTCTGTACTTCAGATCTGTCACTTCCATTCAGACAGATTCTTTCTTGCCGACTATGGCAGACGAGCGCACCCGGGTCCTCTTCCTGGCAAACAGCGAACATGGTCAAACAAACATCATCCTCGCCATTACCCATGAGCTTCTTGTTCAAGGCAATGTTGATCTTCATATTGGCTCATTCCCTGTCCTTGAACGCCGGGTTGAGAAGCTGGTAGCTGACAATGCTGCTGCATACGACGAGGATTTCCGATCTCGCATCCACTTTCACCCGGTGAGAGGCCCCTCGAACACCGATGTCTTCATCCGGACCGGAAAGAGGGGTGCGTTTCATCCTCCCGGCTACCATGGTGCAGTCTTAGGGTTCCAGTCTCTGTGCGAAGACATCTGGGGCTGGACCGAGGACGAGTATGTCGACATTTATGAAAGCTGCGTCGAGATTATCAAGGAAGTGAAGCCGGATGCGATAGCAGTCGACTTCTTCTTCCTCCAGGGCCGGGACGCTGCGTACAATGCCGGCCACACGGCCATTCTTATCAACACGACGTCAATCAGTCACATTGTCCTGGGCATGCAACCCAATTCTGCGGCTCTCTGGAAGTATCCTCTGTATGTACTACCAACCATGCTAGCCTCGGACCGTTATTAACAAAAATTCCAGACCTGGCACTGGGTTCGCTTATCCCATCCCATGGCATACAGTGCCCCTCAATGCCCTTGCCGTGCTGAAGACGGCGAAAATGTACCACGGCAGTGGTAGACGTCGTGAAATCAGAGAATGGCGCATCAAGCATAAGATCCATGGCAGGTTCCCCTTCGCAGATGCATGGCGGCCCGATCGATTTCACATTTCACCGGGCTTGTTGGAGCTGGATTGGCCATTCAGTGTTATGCCCGATAACATTCTGCCTTGTGGGCCAATTCTGCTGCCAACTGCATCGGTGCAGAAGCAGGACCCGGAGATGGCGCGCTGGCTCGCGAATGCTCCGACTATTTTGGTCAATCTAGGTACCTTGTATGCTCCTGATCCCAAGGTTGCGGAGGAGATTGCCACTGGCCTGAAGATGTTTCTCGATGGCTGGAAGGGTGAGAAAGTCCAGATTCTCTGGAAACTGCCCAAGCATCCGCACGACGTAGACGACATCTACGGTCGGTCGATCGAGCCACTGAAGCGGGAGATGGAGGAGGATTCAGTCCGCGTTCGCGCTTGGTTTGAGGTCGAGCCGATGGCGATGCTCGAGACGGGTGGGGTAGTCTGCTCAGTTCATCACGGAGGTGCCAACTCATGGTACGAGGCCATTCAGTAAGTTTCCTTGCCCTTGATCCCCGAGAACTGTGACTGACCTCTCTAGAAACGGTGTTCCTCATGTTGTGCTTCCAGCCTGGCAAGACTGTTACGAGAACGCAGCTCGAGCTGAATGGCTTGGTATTGGTGTCTATGGCAACAAGAGCCGTGCGCCCAATATCAGCGCGAAGGAGTTGAGCAAGGCACTCTTGAAAGTCATGAGCAACAAGTCATATAGAGATAAGGCGAGCGAGCTTGCCAAACTCTGCCATAGGAAGGAGGGACGAGTTGCAGCGGCGGAAAAAATCCTGGAGATTGCGCATTCTCGTGACAATGGCAAGCTTGCCATGCGCTTACCGGAAATGAAAACCAACTGTCCTTTGTACGAAGTCAAGAACCGCCAGGGTATGGTTCTCCAAACTGCCCAGAAGCCTACAACAGCAGGCAAGGGAGATTCGAAGTATGTCCTAATCGAAGCCTCGCCCTCCCCCCCCCCCCTTTGCCCTCGCTTCGAATTACAATAAAGCTAATCATCGTTCCAGACCTCTCCTCACGGATGTTTACGAGACTCTCCTTATGACTATTCTGAGTAACTCCTGGCTTTTCTTCCCGGTGTTGGGCTACTCTCTTCTACTTATCCCTCGCCTTCGTCTATTCGCTCTTGTATATATCCTCTACATCAAATTCATCTCGAAGGCCCACAAAACCGGCACTCTATCACTGCGCAACGACCGATTCCGTCACTCCTCCATCTGGAAGACAACCTACGCCAACTACTTCCCACTAACACTGTACCGTACCGTGCCTCTTCCACCGCAAAGACGCTATATCTTCGGCTACCATCCTCATGGGATCGCTCTCCGCGGCGCCATCGGTGCCTTTGCCGCTGAGGCAGCCGACTTCTCCCAACTCTTCCCGGGGATCACCAACACACTCCTCATGAAGGACAGCTTTTACACCACTCCTCTCCTTCGCGAATACCTTTTGTCACTTGGGACAAGCGGTGTGTCGCGCTCCTCATGTATCCGACACCTGACCCGCGGCGGCCACGACGACCGCGGGATGGGTCGCGCCATCACCATCACCGTGGGCGGGAGTCGGGAGTACAACATCGCGAAGCCCGGAACCATGGGTGTGGTGGTGAAGATCCGCAAGGGATTTGTGCGGGTGGCGGTGCAAACGGGTGCGGATCTTGTGCCTGTCATCGCGTTCGGTGAGAATGAGCTCTTTGATCGCGTGGACGTGAACAGTTCAACTGCGCTGGGGCTGGTGGCGCGAGCCTGGGAGTTCGCGGTGGGCCATCGCGTGGCATTCTCGACCGGTCGGTTTGGACTCTTCTGTCCGCATCGGAGGCCCTTGAACGTTGTGGTTGGCAAGCCGATCGAGGTGAAGCAGCAGCGGTGGGAGCCAGATGAGGCGTATATTGACGAGGTCCACGCTCAGTATGTCAGGGAACTGGGGAAGCTGTATGATGATTGGAAGGAGACGTTCGCGCCGAACAAGGATGTGAAGTTCGAAGTTGTGGAGTAATTCTAAGGTTATCGGAGTTAATCGGTATGATTTGGGACTTGGGATATCTCGGATATGGCGTTGTGACTTTTTACCAGGAGTAGACTTTCGAGTTGAAAACATCAACGGCTCAGGAAGCTAAATATAACTTTGCAAATAGAAGAACTTTTAGCAAGTAGGTTATATGGTAGACCAAAGAAGTTCCATACCCATGCCGCCGGAGTCCTGCAGTGGCTTAGGCTTTCCACCGCATAGAAGACGCCACCCTCGGCCCGCTACACTCCCTCTCAACCTTTCCTTCTCGCAACAGCCTCTCCCTCCACAAACTCGTTTGTTGTCCACGACACGGCCTCCAGCAACCACCAAAACCACCTTCAGAAGCAGAGAATGCATAACCCTGACTACGTACAATCTATCTCATCAAATCCAAACCTATGGGATGTGCATCTCACTGACGAGACGATTCTGGCTGTAGCTACGTCACACCAGACCACGAACCCATGCCCAAAGAGCCAGCATCCCTTGCTTCCAATATTCCCGAAAGAGTGCAGATCCCTCAGCACAAACGCGCATTATGGCCGATGCTCATACACAAATCGTTCACAAATCTACGTTATGCACGGCCGTCTGAGACGATCTTCTGACAACTCACCGGCCATAATGCATGAAGCAGCTCTCCCCAGAGTCACCATGCATTCCTGCGCGTTCACCGCAGACTCCTAGATCGATTGGACACCCGACCTATCCGACTGGAAGATGGGGTATTGGCCAGTCAGAGAGCTATATAAGAATGAACCGAGACATCTCTTCTCTCACGGCTCTCTGCTGTCGCTAGAGGGAGTTGAATTACCTTGTATCGCCGCGCTACAATCAGTCTTTACCGGTAGTACACAGAGTCTTTATTGCGTTATCAACCCTCGGTATTCAGTTTACGCTGGTCACGCATCACAGGTATTTGAACTTACCGACAATTATCTCGTTCGCAAATCTTGGACCTTTATCGGAACACCGAGCAAGGATCCTCAGGCACTTTTGTGTAGATTAAGGGAAGTCGGACTTCGCTCCGCTGTTCAGCCATGGACTCTCTACAGGCCAATAGAGAAGTCCACAATCAGAACCTTCTGGTTGCGCCCTTCTCTCATTGGTCCTTTTCGCATACTTTCTTCGTGGGTATCTCTCGGTGATTGAGCTTCTTCCTCGACTGACTAGTTTTTCCCAGGCTATCTTCTATATTATCGGGATACTTACCGGTGCCAAACTTGTATACAATGTCTATTTACATCCGCTTCGATCTCATCCAGGGCCAATACTTGCTAGAGCAACAAGGCTCTACATGGTGCTCCTCGAGCTCCGGGGATGCCTCCATCTTCGAATCAAGGAATGGCACGACCAGTACGGCGAGGTGGTCCGCATCGCGCCCGACAGCTTGTCATACAATTCCAGTCAGGCCTGGAACGAGATTTGCGGTATGTCTGGTTCAGTCACATAGCCCGCCTGTTCATCTCTCACACTGCGTCAGGCCACCGAACTCGCGATACCAAAGCTGTCTTTGAGAAAGATCAAAACTTTTTTACCCGTCCACCAAACGGGCAGTGGAGTGTCGTACGTCTATCTCCGTCATCTTTTGTGACTCCTGCCCTAACCACTGTGGAGAATTTCTGCAATGCAGGTAGCAGCCAACGGCGACTACCACCGACGTCTTCGACGTCTCCTATCGCATGCATTTTCCGAGAAGGCTCTTCGCGCCCAAGAGCCAGCCCTTCAACACTATGTCGACCTTCTCATTCGCCAACTCCATCACCGCGCTGATCAAGCCGGAGGTGGTGTGGTGGACATGGTCCAATGGTTCAATTTTACGACGTTCGACATTATCGGTGACCTAGCCTTCGGGGACACGTTTGGTCTACTGTATAAGGGCGTTTGGTCTCGCTACCTCGCCGCCATAACCGGACTGATGGACGTACTGGTTTACTTCCGCGCCGCCAAGTATCTGTTGCCGTCTCCGTGGAGCCTTTGGGCGGCTTCGCTCTGGGCACCGAGACACCTTCAGCAGGACCGTATATACATATATCAATTAGCAAAGGGCAAGCTGTCCCGTCGAGTTGAGCACAAGACGGAACGACAGGACTTTGGTGCGTGAGCTGCACTCTTTCTCCTGACCTCACGCTGATAAAGGCTCCAACAGTCCACTACATGCTCAAAGGCTCTCGCTCGGCCATAGGCCCCGAGGGCCTGAGCTTCGAAGAGATGGTCACGCAAGGCCAGACCCTTATCATCGCGGGCAGCGAAACCACCGCCACCGTTCTCTCGGGCATGATGTATTATCTCCTCACGACCCCACGCGCATTGTCGCGGGTGACACAGGAGATTCGTGCGGCTTTTTCCGACGAGCGGGACATCACCGTCTACCGCGCCGCCCAGCTCCCGTATCTCCACGCTGTGCTCGAGGAATCGCTTCGCATGTATCCTCCCGTGCCCGGCATATTGCCCCGGGTCACCCCGGCCCCGGGACAACTAATCTGCGGTCGGTTTGTCCCCGCGGGAACGTCCGTTGGTCTCCACCACTGGGCGTGCTACCGATCAACGCGTAATTTCAGCGACCCGGACACGTTCTGGCCGGAGCGATGGATGGCCGGCGAGGATGATGCGCATTTTGCGAAAGATGATCGCGGGGCGTTTCATCCATTCTCTTACGGGCCCAGGAATTGCCTGGGAAGGAAGTAGGTGCCACCTGCTTCGATTCGTTTGATAGAGGGAGGTTCTAACGAAAGCTTAGTCTTGCGTATGCGGAGCTGCAGTTGATCGTGAGCAAATTGTTCTGGAACTTTGATGCGGAGTTGATGCCGGGAGGGGAAGGGTGGGCCAATCAGCGGACTACATCGCTTTGGATGAAGAAGGCGTTGCCCGTGCGGTTAATTCCGCGGCAATACGAGGTCTGAGCTGAGGTCGGGCGGGGGGGGGGGGGGGGTTTGTTTTTTTTTTTTTTTTTTTTTTTTTTTTTTTTTTTTTTTTTTTTTTAGCTAGCGCTGGGTCGTGGGTCGGTAGTGACACTGAGCATGATTGTAGTTTCTACTATTCTATGCACGTACTTGGACCGTCCGTCCATGGTATCTACAGTGTACAGAATACCTCTGTACGTGTACCTATAACTATCCCATACCCACTAGCACATAGACCCTTCTCTCGACCCAAGTTAGGCGAAATCCGATCGGCCCAAGCCAGGCATCATCTCATGCATGAAATCTGTCTGGCACTATAGAACCCCTCCCGTGACTTTCGGCCACCCCGAAACCCTACCCGATCAGAACTCGGGAAAGAGTAGCCGAGATGCGCCGGCCAGCAGCCTCGCCCAGACTGACTAGCAGAGCACCAGCAATAGCATCAGCCTCAGCCTCAGACACTGGTACCCTGTACAATCCATGCCGCGTCATATCTTCAGTCGAATTCGCCGTACCTAGCACTTCCACATGATTCAGGCAAAATTCAAGTCCACAAGTCCAACCAGCGTATCTCACATAATCTCCCTTATTGAGTTAACGGGCATATGGATTGACTCTCTATTAAGTTAACTAGGACTTTCTTCCAGAAAAAATGAACCTAGAAGTAGTTCCTAATCCCGAGGGACCGATGGACCGATCGATCACCGGATAAACCCCCCTGCCTGTCAATTGAGCGGATGTATGCTGGTGGGGAGATTACTGCCGACAAACTAAACTTGCTATTTTCAGAGAACCTACCCCGAAACCCCACTGCTGTTGTTCCAACTATAGCCTCGATATCTATCGTAGATAGTGTATTGATTAGGATGGGATAAGTGAACTGCATATGATTTTTGTATTTATATTCAATGTGGCCGCACTTATGAAGCATACTCACGCATAGAACAAAAAGCAGTCGGTCGGATCTCCGTCCCGCCAACAAACAACAAACCAAACCAAACACAGACAGACAACACGACTTGTCCCCGGAGTCACCAGGTAAAACTAACCACACCAGCATAATGCAAACCACGATTCAGCACGCCACATCCCTCAAGATCAGGTATGCGATCCCGTCGAGTGCCTACGGCACTTCACACCGCCACCAGACCAGAACCAACTACTAAGTTAGTACCTAGCAAAATCATCCCGCAATGCTTGGCTCGGGTAAAATCGACGAAGAGCCATCACCCACCCACCCATAAGGTGTAAAAATAACAACAAGGCTGAACTCCCTACACTTCCCACTGGACTATCCCACTAACTACCAGGGACAATAAACAACGTGGCTTAGGCCGGACTAAACAGCAAACACTCAAACACTACTCCGTAGTCCCATCCCATTGCACACACACAGACACAAAAGTGGATCGCGAGAAAGAGCCGCGCCCTCAGCTCTGCTTGTACTGTCGTACTGTCCGTTGCCGGGGCAGATTACCACTAAAGCAATCGCTAATTTATACTAGTGAGTGAGTGCATCACAGCCTCGTGTACTCCGTGTATGGTAGGTACTGTTCACCGACAAATCCTGCTTCATTCAATCCAAAGTTCCATAGCGGGAAGGCGTAGGAGCTTTATGCTCGAAGCTTTTTCTTTTCCCCTTGCCCCTCTGTCGTCGGTGGGTTTAGCCTTTTTGTTCGTTTCTGACTGCCGCATCGCCGGCAAGAATTTCCTTTCTTCGACGGGATGGAAAAGGAACAGGTCCAGAACATGTTTACTTCTTACAGTACACAAACCCCCTGAGTGGCCAAAGATCAGGTGAAGGGGAATCAAGGCTAATATCGCCGTCTTCGTCCGAAATACCGTATCTACCTACGAATATAGAAAATAAGAGTGGTGCTTACTTACTTGCTTGCTCTCTGCCCGGAATGGGGCCGAGCTGAGTGAGCGAGCATTTCTCACCCTCCTGCCCTGCCCTAATTCGCATTCCCGGATCATGATCACGGAAATCGTGATACCTAGACAAAAACAACATACTCCGTAGAGCGTGATCATCACAGGATCCCGAGGCTGTGTCTGTTCGCTCTACATCATCCAGTAGATAGGTGTCTAGTCTATTCCAATCCGGTTACGTTGAAATATACCTACAACCCAAACGAACCACAAGGCAACAAACAATCCCTGCAGAGAATAAGGACCACGCTATCTCATGTCATCAGCACCCACCACCACCACCACCACCATCATCACCATCATCACCATCATCATCATCATCATCGCGCATGATTTCCCCAAAACGGCTGATCCAATCGGCTACTGCGGCCGCCTTGTCAGCACTAGCCGTGCCCAAAACATTCCCCATGAACCCACTTTTCAACTCAGCCATGCTCTCGGGTCTGGACAGCTTAATGATGGCAGAGGTGGGGTTTTTTTTCGTATTGCTCTGGGGCCAGGCTGGGACTCCCTGCTGAGCTTTAAAAATGGTGATGCAGACGGGGGGGGGGGAGGGAGCATTAACCTATAACTAGGTAGGTTAAATACTCTCCGGTCTGCAGGGTCTTTGGATGGCTTGCTATTTGCTTTTTTCTTATTCCCGTTGCACCAGCGGTTCCTTCAATCGATAATCAACGGATTACGGACTTGCATCTGTTGATTCACATCTGATAATCCCCCTTTTTAGCAATACTCTTCACATTCGTACTACATCCTTCTTTCCTCGGCGGGCTACTTCCGACCCCGGCTCAGCAGCAGCCATGAAGAAGGACGACCTAGAGTTCCAACGCCTACACGAAAAGCCCGAGACCGCATCGACCACCGAGGACTTCAAGACCCTCTTCCCCGTTACAGATCTCTCGCGTGGGCTCGTGGGGTGGGATAGCCAGGATGACCCGGCCAACCCCCAGAACTTCCCCGCCTCCAAGAAGTGGACCCTGCTGGCGCTCATCAGCTCCATCACCTTCATCTCGCCGCTCGCGTCGAGCATGTTCTCCCCGGCGATCGAGTTCGTGGCCAAGGAGTTCATGGTCACCAACGAGACCTTGCTCTCCTTCAGCGTAACCATCTTCCTGCTCGGGTTCGTGGTATGTCGGATGCTTTTGTCCCCCCTCGGACGCACTCAGAAAACTGATCCATTCCAGTTCGGCCCTCTGCTACTCGCCCCGCTCAGTGAGATCTACGGCCGTCGGGTCGTCCTCAGCGGCGCGAATTGGTTCTTCGTCGTCTGGCAGATCGGCTGCGCCCGCGCCCCCAATATGACCACCCTCATCGTGTCGCGCTTTTTCACCGGCATCGGCGGCTCGGGCTGCGTGACTCTGGGCGCCGGAGTCATCGCGGACTTGTTTCCAACCGAGCTGCGCGGTCGGGCCACCGCCATCTGGGCCATGGGGCCTCTCGTGGGGCCCATCATTGGCCCTATCTGTGGTGGTTTCGTCGGTGAGACGATCGGCTGGCGTTGGGTCTTCTACCTCCTGATTATCAGCGGTGCGGTTATTTCGGCCGGGATCGAGGCCCTGAACCAGGAGACGTATGCGCCGCTGCTGATCCGATGGAAGACGGCGCGGCTGGCCAAGGAGCTGGATAGGGTCGACCTTCGCAGCGTCTACGACGTAACCGGCAGTATGCACCAGGCACCGCCCTCGGCCCGTCGGGTTCTGGCGCAGGGACTCAAACGGCCCGTGGTGCTGTTCTGCAAGTCGCCTATTGTGCTCCTTCTTTCCGTGTACATCGCTTTCGTATACAGTTTGCTGTATCTGTTCTTCACCACCGTGACCTCCGTCTTCGAGGAGCGGTATAGCTTCTCGACCGGTCTCGCGGGCCTCGCGTACATCGGCATCGGCGTCGGGTTCTTTATCGGCCTGTTGACGGTATCACTGACCAACGATCGCATGGTCATCAAGCTGACCGCTCAGAACGGCGGCAAGTTCGAGCCCGAGATGCGTCTGCCGCTGATGATCATCTTCAGCTGCATCATCCCCATCACCTTCTTCTGGTACGGCTGGTCGGCCGAGAACGCGCAGAAAGTTCACTGGATCGTCCCCATCATCGGCATGATTCCCTTCGGTGTGGGCATGCTCGGCATCTGGATGCCCGTCCAGACCTATGTCATTGACGCATACCCGGCCTATGCGGCCTCCGCGAACGCCACCATGACGGCCTCGAGATCGCTGATGGGCGCTTTGTTACCTCTGGCGGGCCCTACCATGTTCCGCAACATGGGCATCGGATGGGGTAACTCGCTGTTGGGGTTCCTGGCCTTGGCCTTTGTGCCGGTCCCGTTGCTGTTCACCCGATACGGCAAGATGATCCGCGAGAGGTTTCCGGTTGACTTGGATTGATGAGCCGTGGCCACAAAGACGATGCAACGACCTGCTTAACATGTTTTGATAGACTTCCGTTGTTCCCATATAGAATAGATTCGACTTATTGATACCATTCGTTCATCAATCACAGGACCTCATACACAATAGACTGCAGGTCAACCCCCGTCAAAATACTGGGGTAGCTTCGAATGACATCAGGGGTGAGTCCCCATCCCTCGATGGTCATGAACGTCTCGTAGAAGCTGCGTCGGATACGGAGTTGATCTTGATCGTCGCGTTCGAGGATACTCTCGCCCCACGGCCAGCGAACTTTCAGACAACAGGCCAGGAACCCGAAGAGATCGTCACGCTGACCCTCGTAAATGTGCCAACGACGGATCAGATTGGACCGGATTTGCGGCCAGATCATGAGGTCGATCGACCCAAGGTGGGGAATGTTTATCTGGTCAGGGTTCGGGTGCATGAAGGTCGGCAGCCGAGCGAATCGGCTGGGACTGGGAGAGTACATCCATTTGAGGAGGTGGTAGGCTAGCCACCCACAGGCCAGGCGCTCGGGGTCGCGCAGCGGCCGTCGCTTCGTGGTGCGGTAGACTAGGTCTGCTAGGACGTTGGTCTTGGAGCCGTACAGTAGATCCAGCGGAGAGGCGGGGGAGTCCGGGGATGCTCTGATCTGCTCCTGGTAAGCTACCCAAGTCATGTAGGGGGCTGACGGGTCGTCGTTGGTGAGTGGAATGCGTTTCCAGAGTGGCTCTAGTGGGTTTGTAGAGTCGTGAGCGTAATTGATAGTTGCTGCGAGTGGCGGCAGCGGTGGCAGGATTGGAGCGATCGGCGGGATGGGTAGAGTTCTTCTACTAGCTTCCAAGGGGTCTATCAAGCTGCGGGAAACTGCTATCGGCGGTGGTGGCGATAGTATAGGAGGACGCTGGTTCTCGACTTCGGGCGCCTCGGGGGTATAAGCCGGTCCGGTGAGAGCTTCCGGAGACGTCAGCGCATCGATGTCCCAGGATTGCAGGAGACTTTTCAGCTGTCGTTGACGCGCAAGAAGAGATGCATTCTGCCTCCGGAGAGTCTCTATCTCTTCAGATCGCTGTTGGGCGCCTTCATCGGTGTGGTGCTGCCGACAGTGAGCAACCTGCTCTTCGAGCCGTGCGATGCGATCTTCGAGGTGACTGAGATACTGCAACTTTTTACTTCGAGAATTCTGCTGCGCCCGTCGATCGCGGAGGCGCTTCTTCTCCGCCGGACTCAGATGACTGTGATCCGACATTTGAGCCACATTCTTCGAAGAAATGATCGGACGTGTCTGACTGGCATTGAGGTCGAGACGAAGGTGGAAGGTGATCATCCGTGTGTAGCCCAAGTTATGCAGCCAATTGGGTGTAAAGTCACGTGCTCTGCTTTATGCTCGGGTTTTGAGAATTATGCACAATGAGCAATCTATAGGAAAAGGTAACTTCACTCAATTGGCTTGGATAAAATCGAAGAAATGTATTGACATCACTCAGCAATGTCTCGAGTGATGATATCTCGATTTGTGACTTCGCAGCACCGAAGATCGAATTTCAAACTTAACCATCAATTGCAGGATAGGCTCCCTGGTTGATAAGATGTCTTTAGTTGTAACTGAATGCGCTATTAGCCAATGGTGAGAGATGAAGAGTCCGATGTATCGATAAATCTAGCATGACCTTAGATGAGCCTATTCAAGTCTGATAAGACTGTTAAGCGTTAACGCAGGGCAAAGTCTAGAGCTCCATGTACACATCTACATGGTTCCAGATTCTAAATTGCCATGATGTACTGATACGTCCTGATCGTACCCCTACTCCAAGTGGCGGCACTTTCGCTCTCCTTCCAGCTGAACTGCTCCCTACGCCTAGGTGCTTCACCAGTCCTCCTGCCAGTACATCACTACGATCCTGGATACTTCACGGGTGCATCCACGCAGTAGAGGAGACGCATTGAGCCGCCGGTGCCACTACGACCAAGCTTGTCGGCGCGCGAGAAGCCATGCTTCGTACATCAGCATGGCATCTCCGACCGCGAGTAGCATTCCTCCCCCAGCATAGCCGCTAGTGTCCCCTTATGCATGCTGTGCTCTCGCCATTATCTTCCCTTTGTGTTCTATTCGTCACGATTCGACATAAGCTCTCGGGAGCGAATAGCCGAGTTCGCGGGTGCTATCGCGGGGTTGTGCGGTTTGGAATGGATCCTCGATCATCGGGCGGGTACATCTGGACCAACCGGTCAAATTGTGCTGTTTCTGTCCAGGTCTCGGTCGAGGTTTGATGTTGATTGGAGTTCGAAATCGGGGTTGGGAAACGGAGTCGAGGTTGCTGGCGTAGCATTGGTAGCATTAACCGCGCGGACAGGCTTGGAGAGTAGTCGATGATGAGCGGGAAAGAGGGGAAGCCATAGACTCAGAGCATTGAGCTTGATTTGAAGAACGTGGCACGGGCGGACAAAAGATGGAGATGTGGGTGATGGCAGACGACAGGTGGACCGCGGGGAAGATGTCCAAGTCAGTACTGCCTAAGGCATTAATATGCCACGTGATGTCATCAGAGTCCCATATCTCAAACTGCTTGAGAGGGGATTATCTTGATCAGTTGTGTAAATGGGGATTTCTGAGTAGCAATAGGTCTAGTATAGAGCATAAAGCAGATGCTGCAAGATGGCCGAGATTGAATAGCTTCTATTGAGCGAGTTGTTTTCGATATCGCGCCTTGCAGAGACCTCCGGCATTAAGATATATACCTCGTCTGAGCAGTTTCGAGGTAGCTACCTCGGAGATCAAAGCAAGCTCTCCGATTAATATCAAGTACTACGCATGGTATTGACTATAAGTCGATTTAATCTCCACACTTCCAATGATTGTCTACAGCTACATTCAAACCCAAGTGCTATTCACATGGAATATCTATCAATAATAATCCCTCAGGCAACCTCCCCAATCAACACCCGGCAAACCTTCTCCGCCTGGCAGCCCATCCAACCCCAAATACACAGGCCTGTATCCAACCCGTCACAGCCATACAGCACTCCTGTACCGCTCAATACAGCCTACGGAGTTCTACCCATCAATACCCGGACTCGGCACGACTGAAGAACAGACAAGACAGATCAGCAACCACAAAATGGGTTCTCTGTCCATGATTCATCACACCTGGAATCCAATTTACCCGTCCATCCACCGACGGGCCAGGAGAACTGATGGTCCGTATCAGAACAACTTACCTTTCCAGCAGGGACGTGAGGTATTCCGTCGAAATAGACTCTTCCACCTCACGAACCTCACCACCCCCTGCAATGCAATAATAAAGGCTTGCTTACTGTATTTCGTATATCTCACCCCATTATCCACAACCTGTAGCAAGGATTAGAGAAAAAGGACAGAAACCTCTCACATCCCTGCCCATCCCATCCGGCGAAGGACCTGTAAGATGGAGGAGAAACCGGCGTATTACCGCGGTTAAGTGGGAAAGTTTGTCCGTTGATCGGACCGGAATGGTTCACATTACAAGCCTGGTTCTGGGCTTGACAGCCGCCGTAATTAAACTAGAGAGAGTGGTTTGTGGTGGCTGCATGCATCTAATCCATGCATCCGTGCATGAGAGAGGAAAAGTTTTTCTTGCGAGGATGACGACTTTTGAGATTCATCAAGTTCAAAAGGCAGTTGGCATGAATATCTTCTAGGCAATTGATGAGGGTGATTAAGCAATGGATGGATAGATGGATGTTGGATGTATCATAATTGATCCCTGTTACTCTGGGCTTGAAGGTCGTGCGTGGCTAGCGAGGGAGTAACATTATCGTACAGTACATACGGTACGTTGGTGCTGGCACTGGTGGGCGAAGGATCCTCCTACACTACCACCCACCCCCCCCCCCCCGATACACGCGCACACAGCAATTGCGAAGTCTGGGGAATGTGTGAACAGAGTTAAGTGAAGAAAGACGGGTGGGAAGACTATATACAGAGTTAGGAGAGTGGGAACCGCAATTGAGTGTTTAGAGCATTGATTGAGATCTGATGGTGATTGATAACGATCTCCGTAGGAGCCAGTGCCAGTTAGCTTGGACGTCGGCCGCCCCCTCTCCCCGGAAGAACAGGAAAGGGAAGGGGGAGAAGGCAGCCCTGAGGTTCATCCGTTTTCGACAGCTGGCATCAATCCGTCTTCTTCCACACGCACCCACCACGGGGAGGAGGGAGCCTGGAGAGAGCTCTGACCTTCTCTAAATTCCGTCATACCGTAAATGACTTGTCAGTGGTTCTGGTCACTACATTTCGATGGATGCTCAAGAGCTCTCTGTTTTGTGCTAAACTGGAACCACTCCAGACTCAAGCTCAAGCTCAAGCTCTCTCTTCTTTTTTACCCCAGAATATGGGGGTTTGTCGGTGATTCTACGATGTCCCTCTGTTCTGGATCGTCCTCACCATCGATCGTCTACTTGGCTCCCCCAAGACAACACACCGAGTTTTGAAGGCTCAGAAGGATGGGTTTAGAGTGGCCATTTTAACTCTATATGTACAGTGTATATTGGTTGCATGTTGTAGGCGACGACCTGAGGGGGAAAAAGGAAATAGGGAGTAGTACATGATATATAAAAAGACCACCACAAAATGATCAACCTCCTAGAAAGAAAGAGAAGTGTCTGTATAGAAAAAAATCCAGTCGTTCTCGATTTTTTGGGGGAGATGAAAAAACAGAGAAGAAAGGTAAAAATGGAACGAAGAGAAGATAACCGGTTTACCGGACGAGCACGCTCATTAAACCGATTGTTTCATTTGTGGAATTGTTGTACAAGTGATCCAGAAAAAGCTTCGTAGATTTTGTGAGAGTCTTTTTGTGAAATTGGTTTCGTCATCATCCCATCTTGTTCCCTTCCCGTATTTCATCTCACAAAAAAATTCGATCCCTTCCAAGATTTGCCGGACACCGCAAACGCTTCGCTAGGAGATATGATATGCGGCTCGATTGTCGTGGGAGAAAAGTGGTTGCGTTAAATTTAGACGTACTTGCACATCATGGCAACCATCAGGTCGAACAGACCAATGGCCTCGACGAAGGCGAAACCAAGAATGGCGTAGGAGAAGAGCTGACCACGGAGGGCAGGGTTGCGGGAGACGGCGAGGAGGAGGGAGCCGAAGACGAGACCGATACCGATACCGGCACCACCGAGACCGATGGCAGCGGAACCCATACCCAGGTTCTGGGAGACCTGGACCATGGCGTCGGCGATCTCAGAGGAGTACTGACGGCGGCCCTGGGCGGCGAAAGCCTGGCGAGCGTTGGCCTGGATGAGGCCGGAAGGAGACTGACGCTTGACGGTCTGGAAGGGGGTCATGTTGATCTTCTTCTGGGTGGTGAAGGTGCGCTTGGGGGCGACAGCGTTGAGCTGAACGCGAGCGGCAGGGCGGGCGACCTTGGAGGTGGCAGCCATGGTGGAAGCCAGACGGCTGGCGAAGACACGGGAAGAGGCCATTGTGATGGGGTGGGTTGGTCTTGAGAAAGAAGACTGGGATTTTTTTCTCGAGAGGATGGGGGATGGGAAGGAAGGAAGGAGAGAAGAAAGAAGAAGAGGAGAAAAGAGGAAGAGGAAGAGGAAGAACTTTTCTGGGAGGAAAACCTGGAGGAAATGTGACAACAGTGACCTTTCCGGGCCATAAATACTTTCCCGCTAAATTTTCGCGTTTTTTACCCTTTCGAGCCCACCAGCCCCCCAGTTGGCTTCCGTTAGTGCGCTTGTTGGGAAGAGAAAAAGCCCTACCCGGGGCCTGGCGCGTGTGTGCTTCCAGTAATTGATTGTCCTCTATCTTACTTGACTGGTATCATACACTGGCATTACCAGCTGCTTTACGCTCTCGCGGACAGTTCGGGTTCGTTCGGGATGGGGCCAAGCGCGCAATGCTGCCGGTACAGCCAATTGTTCAGGGTCTCTGTCCGGCCGCGCAGGTCCGCTGGCCGTACTATCCACGAGTCGCATTGCGGCGATGCTGCCATTGCGCACCCACTTCTCGTCCATGACCAGGTCCTGTGCTTTTTCCCCCGTATGCCGATGTGAAGCATTTGGCTTTACAGTAAGATTACTTGTAACCAGGGTGACCGGGGAAAGATTGGCCAAGGGGGGAGAGAGGGGGTGGTGGAGAGAAAGAAGGATGGGGAGGGAGCATTCCCACCCCGAGCTCCCTTCATTCTTCCTTACATATAAAATGGACTTGCCCTTCCATCTTCCAGTTTCCCGACCCTGAGGACAGAGCAATTGGCTGTAGGGAGAGTCTGGCCTACGGTATGCACAAAATCTGGTTGTTCTGAAGCTGACTGTGAGGGAGGAGGGATCACAGTAACGAGAGCAGCAGAGTGAGAGAGAGCGAAAAAACCAAGGAGGTCCCAGAAAAGTGGATCCCAGCAGCCAAATGGGTCCGATAAAGTGGTACATGACCCACTTAGCGACGCATCCGTAGCCAATGACAGACTTGCCGCCTGCTCGGTCTCAATAGACCGGGCCGAATCGGGCATGCGGCTCCACCAGCGCCGGAGGTTCTGTCCCAGAAACAGAATTCCCACTGGCGACGCAAGCAGGTTTGTTTGCACAGTGTCGTTACTGCAGTCGTGAGCTGAAATTCGGAGGGAATTGCCTCGCCTCACCGACTTGTCTGATTGGGAACCTGCTCTTTTGGGCCAACCCGACTCATCCCGTCGACGCCGGAACAAAAAAAGCTAAGCTGCATAAAGAGCTAGCTCGAAGCTGGGGGCACCACCCACCGTGATGAAATCGACGCCAACCTTTCAGCAGAACCAGAGGAAAGAAAAAAAAAGGAATGTCACTGCATCCATTCTCTCTCTCTTTGTCTGTAGCCCCCAATGCTGGCTCGAGGGAGGTGATGTGGATTTATATAGCTTTTGGATAGATCAGAGAAACCGGCCAAATTTGGTGTGGAAGAAGTCAGCTCGTCTGCACTCCCGCTTCCCACCACCGTTTCCCCCCTAACCCTAGCCAAAGAAATTAAATCCTCGGGAAGAAAAACGTCACAATCCTCCCAGCTGTTTCTCCCTCTTCCGACCAGAGTAATAAATTACAAAACAATCGAGAGGTAAATCCCATGACGGTCAGCGCTAGTGCCAGCAGTAGCAGTGCACGCCCTTTTTTTTTTTTTTTTTTTTTTTTTCTTTTGCTCTGGTCAATTCGACGCAGCAGCGTATTCCGTCGTGGATGGATCGCGGGTTTTGCTCAACACCTCGGGGTAGTTAGCCCCCGTCCGACCCCCCTCCTCCTTCGGCACTCCATCCCCAGGAAAGAGAGATACGCTCTCATATTTATACCTCGCCGTCTTGTCCAGTAATGGGGACAGTCAGATGGAGTCTCTCTTTCAATCTCTTCACCATCTCTCCCTCCCTCCCCCTTTCTCAAAATTGTCACATTTCTTACCCATGCTTACTGCACTATGCCCAAGTTGGCACTAGTGAACGCGGTTGGCGGTGATCGAGATATGATCTCAGCCGCCCTGCGTCCCTTACGTAACCGAGCAGGGGGGAGGTAGCTTTTGCCTGGGATTTTGAACTGCTGCCACCCAACGGACAAACTGGCCTTCAATTTAAGCATGCAGCCGCCGCAGACAGGGATTGAGGAAGCTATTCCAGCCGGGTTCTTCCGTATAGCTGGGCAGAAGTCTGAGTATGAGGGAGTTGTAGATACTTATGATTGCCACCTGTCGAGGAGGGGGAAAGATAGGAAAAGAGGAGAGAGAACGCGGCGATGGTTTTAAAACAAGTGCATGACGATCCATTATGGGTCCAGAGGGTGATTGATACCTGTGTTGATTTCGTCGCATCATGGAGGAGCCCGCGGATGGATGGGCGGAGGTTCAGGTTGCTGGGGAGTGCCAGCGTGTTTCGTGTATTTAGTGCGTAAGGGTAAGTATAAATCTGGTATGGATACCGTATCGGAGCTACAGTTGAAATCCTCAGGCACCGATATAGCCGGCCCAGCGGGTGATTGTTGGACCTCGGGTCACGTCCATGTAATATGTAGAGAAGGTATGGCGGCGGCTACGAATCGGAAAGATAACAAACGCTTGCAGGTTACCTACACTCACTCCATACACTTTGCACCTTCTATAGTATGGTTCGTCAATTGTATGTAAACAGATCGCATCTTGCTTCTCAGTTCTTACCAAGTATATAGCTGTTTCATGCATCGTTCTGCGTCTCATAATGAACTACAATCTCGAGTACAAGGCTTCCACCCGGCAAACCCACCCCGTTCCTACCCGACCGGGCCCTCCGACTCTTCCCTACGTAGTTCCTCCAGATCGGTAAAATCCCTATCCTGCAAATGTACAAGCACATATATCTATATCGCTCTTAAAACTCAACTGAACCGAGTCTTAAACAACTTCACCTCTCCATCTCGACTCTCTATCTGGGAACAGAGAAAGCTACAAGAATGATGTCTCCCCAAGCAGCCTACACGCCCGAGCAAACGCCGACGGTCATCCGCGCCCGCAAACATCTCTCGGGAACGCGCGCCAAGCAGCTCCTCCGCGCGGCGGAGCGCGACTACAACGATCCGCCGCCGCCGCCGGGGCTGGGCGAGTGCTGTGGCAGCTCGTGTGACCCCTGCGTACGGGATCTCTGGCGGGAGGAGCTGGCCGTTTGGCGCGAGAGGTGGGGGGAGGCTGCCGAGGAGGAGTCTTCGGAGAGGAAAGCCCAGGAGGGGGAGGAGGGGAAGAGGAAGATGCCGGGGAGTTGGGAGTGGTGATTTCGTTTGATTCCATGGAGTTCACCAACTTTCGGAAAGAGGCTACGTGGTTGAGGAGTTTCTTATTCTGATCTTGGTTTGTGATTGATGTTTCTGAACGATGCAATCACATAGGTGATAACTAACTATAAAGCAGACTGAGCCTCGACAAAACTATCCGCGCCGGACTATCTCTTCGAAGAGAGGATCGAAACACTCATTCAGACTTCACTAACCTCACTCCCTGCCGGTACCCTGGCCTCATACTCCAACACCAATTTCACCTCCTTCCCAGGCGCCAACTTGACCACCCATTTGACTTCCCCGGCCTTTCCCAGATGCACTGCCCCCTCCTTCATTTGCGCATCGTCTCCTTCCTGGACCAACCCCTTGGGCTCCAGGATCTGCACCTTCAACCGCTCATCGTCGCTGACGGGCACCTGATCGACAACCGCCACCTCGACGGCGTTGCTCCGCGTGTTCTTGACCCGGCACGTCCGGCGGAACACCGCCGCCTCTTCCTTCTGGGAGAACAAGCCCCCACTGCCCGTTGTGCGCCGCATCGTCGGCCGCCCGTACGTGACCTGGATCAGTGGATCCACGCCCAGAGGCAAGGTGAACGATTTCTTCGGCCCGCAGCTCGGCAGGTCCGCGGTCCCCAGGAAGGTCCCGTCGATGGTGATGCCGACTTTCCCGCGGAGGAGGCTCACGGACGCGGAGGAGTTCTGGATCTTGGCCTGGAGGAAGGCGGCGGCGCGCTGCTTGGGGACGATGGTGTAGGATAGGGTGACGGAGTCGAGGTGGAGGTCGGCGAGGAGGTGGCGCCGGGCCACGAGGGATGGGATGACGGTGCGATGACCGGGCAGGTCATATGTGGTTGTGAGGCCGTAATCTTGCTGGAAGGATTCTTGGTGTTCCAGGTCTGGAATGGTTTTTGGTGGTGGTGGTGGTGGTGGCGATCCAAAGGAGGGCTTGGGTCCCTCTTGGGTGGGATCGTTCTCCCCGGATTGAGCGAATGGTTGCATGGATGCTGTCGTTGTACTCATCAGCGCCGTGGGCTGAGCTTGCGAAGGTCCAGGTACACTTCCAAACAGCCCTCCACTCATGGCTCGTCCGAATCCGCCAGATTGAGGACCACTGGTGCCGGTTGGCGGTGGGTTGGCTGGCGCACCGAACAAAGGACCGCTTGTGGTGGTTGGTGGTAGGCCACCAAATAGAGCTCCCCCAGATTGCCGGGCCGGGGGCGGGGGTGGTGGAGGGGCAGCTGCTTGTCCGAACAATCCGCCTTGAACTTGTTGCGGAGGGGCAGCTGGTGCAGTATTACCAAAGGGTCTGGACGCAGCCGCTGTAACAACATGATTGGGCCCAAACACTGATGCGTTCCGCGACGGCTGCTGCTGCTGCTGCTGCTGCTGGGAAAGCGACTTGTGGAGGGTCTGTACTGGCATAAGATGGCGTTGCTCAGGCTTGCTACGCAGAATGTTCTCCCACGAGGTCTGCTCCTGGTTCTTATTGTTGTTGTTCGCTTGGACCATCAGCTGCCACGCCTGGAGCGAGGGAATGCGCTCTCCCAGCCCGGAAAACGAGGCCTGCGAGGTGGACAGGGTTACGCGGGCATCGCGCCACGTCTCCGAGCACGCATTACGAAACTCGGCCCGATAGACCATCTTGGCCGAGGAGGCCGGCGTGTTGATACTCAGATCATACCGTGGGACCCAGCTGGGTCCAGCGACGACATAGCTCAACCGGAGCATGACGTTGTTGTCGCCTTGTTTCTTGCCTTCCCCATCATCAGCATCAGCATCAGCGAAAGGCGCCTCGCCGTCCAAATGAACGACCACCTCTCCGACCCTATCCTTCCGAAACGACTTCTGCTCCTTCTCGAGCCTTTCCTTTCTCTCCTTTCTCTGCATCTTCTCCTTCCTGCGGGCCTGCCTCTCCTTCTCCCGCGCCGCCTCCTTCTTCCTCTTCTCCTTGAACACTCTCTTCTCCACCTTCTGAACCTTGCCCATTAACCTCGCCACATCCTCCTCCGCTTCCTCCACTTCAACAAGGGCCCGATAGTGCTTCTCCCCTTCCTCCTTCCCCCGCGCATTGTACAGATCCATGAACTCCCCGACCTTATACACTTCCACCTGTGGCTGCTGCTGCTGCGGTCTCCCAAACCCGGCGCCAGCCGTCGGAAAAACCGATCCCCTCTTCTGCTCCTGCAAGAAATCAATCAAACTTCCCGCGACATCCCTCCGGATCCCCGCCAACGCCGCCTTCTCCTTCGCCGTGCGCAGCTCTGCCCTCACGAGTCGAAGCTCCTCGGGTTCATCGTCTGCCTCGTCATCCTCGGAGGAAGACGAATCACTACTACTTACATCCTGTTCACCCTCGTTGGCCTCCAAAGCATAAAGCCGCGACTTGACCACCTCCGTCTGGAAATCCGTTACGCAAGCGGGGCCCGAGCCCTCGATGCGGATCGAATCGAAATCTGTTTGGGGGTCGAGGCCGTGGATGGTTAGGGTGTTGGGACCGGGCTTTCTCCCCTGTCAGTGATCTAGATCATCAGAGAAAAGCGGATGGGACGGGACTCACGTGGATCGTGACGGGGACTTCGCGGACGATAGTGGCGCGAGTTGGCTGGAAGGTGACGGTCTTGGTGGGGAGGGAGGTGAGGAGGATCTCAGTTGTGTTGTCTGTGGTGGTGGTGGTATGGTCGGACATCTTGTTTGTTTCTTGTTCTTATTTTTGAAGAATAAAATCTCCGCTTCGTCGATATAAATGATGGAGTGAAGGAGTGAAGAGAGAGAATGTAAATATGAAGAGGAAAGAGATGATACTGGCAAGGACGTAGGTAGAATACTCTGTACTTATACTCCGCACAGCAGCCCCTAATAGGCAGCACATCAGGCAGCATGCAATAGCTCCAAAGCTGCGCCTTGTGTTGTGACAAACATGATTGGTGCAACGGCTCCTCGCTTATAAATATATAGACTAGCGCGGTCTTGATTTTATTATCATTGGCTGTGTGAGTCATTTGTTAGCCTCAAATCGAACTATTGGGGCTTAGCACCGCGACTCGTAACCTTGAAGGCTACATTCCGGATAAAATGACTACTTCAACCGCCTCTAGAGAAACACCATGTGAATTCCACTCTGGATGGTATTCGCTCACCCTCATAGAAAAGTAGTAGACGCTATGAATCAATTTAGAAAAGCGAATTGCTCAGCACAAGGAGACAAACAATTGTCGATTTCAAAATCAAAGCATCCCTCAGGCGGATTCGAACTGCGAAGCACATGACTTATTGTCATGTGATTTAACAATGGACTGGGAGACGTTCGGATTCTTTCCGCGCCGAAGTTGAGGTTCTCATCCGAGAGTCTATCTTTCTAGTATGTACCCCACCACCCGACTGGCTCAGCTAAATCCTCATACTTTCCAAAAGCCATTGAAGTGTGTTCACAATTGCTCTTTGAGGCTACTCTGTATGATACTGTGTAAAGCTTCTCCAGGATCCCCCTAGCTAGATGGACGAGAGGTGGAAATGCAAATGTTGCATCGATCCGATCCACCCCCCCACCGTTCGGCGCAAACACCCATTCCAAGCAAATGCAGATCTTTCTCACCGTCAAGCAGGCCGCAAGTCGACTCGATGCAAAGAACCTGTGCCACTGTAGCACAATGTACTTAGAGCGTCGATTGTGGACTTCTTTTCCGTAAGTATCACCCGAAGCTTAAGCGCAACACGAAACAGGAATCGATCCAGTCGAGGAATATGAATCGCCTCTCGTTTTCATGCCCCCTGGGTGGCCTGTCGAGCTCATCTCTAATACAGATACGACTTGCATGATAGTCCATCTTCAGTGTTAATCTATTTGCCCTGGGACTAGAATCGAAATGCACTGACTGAACGGATTTTATCCTGCTGACCTATCATGTGCATTCCAGCGACCGATGGACTGGGCTGCATGGAATAGCGAACAAGAGCTTTTTCGGTTGGGTACCCCGACCCGGGACACGCTTCTTGCTTGCAGTTCTTCTCCATAGTAGATCGTCAACGCGAACATGGCATCTGCTTCTGATGACCGTATCCTGCTCTCACAGAGCCCGTCCAGGCTTATGAATGCGTCCAACACAAATGTCGGCCGCTCGCAAGCACCATAAGATCAATTGTGCAGACATCCTCCTCTCGATGGCTCCCCTGATATCCAAGGTCATCAGAGCCTCCTGTTCCCTGTTTTGAATTACGATCTCCGGGCAGCTCTTAGCGGGCTCCAGTGCCATATGGCCCAGCAGCGGTGGGTTCCGATCGGCTCCACCGACGAACTCCCGATCGAGCTGCCGTCCATGTCGATCTATACTTTAAGTTCCTCCACAACAAGGAAATTTGCCTAATCAGGGAGCGTATCAAACCGCACTCCGCTACCGCGCCATGGCACGGACACTGGTATCTGCGGATATTTTCCCTGGCGATTCAGTTGCCATGCAAATGGGCTGCGTGTGATGCCGCTGATCCACCAGGATGTCTCTTGGATTTCCACGCGGGCTCGAACGAGGCACAAACCTGGAAAATCCGGGCCCAGTATAAAGCAGCGCTGATGTCCCGACTCATGAAACAGAGCAGACGCTTGCCACAGTCCAGTGCCTCACTCTCACTACCAGGATGGTTCTGCCCACGCCCCGGTCTTTAACCTTGGCTGCTGTTGCGGCTACCCTTTTGGGTGCTTCGGCAGTAAATGCGGGGAACTGCTCGGTAGCCGGCATCGCCCAACCCTCGATCCCTGATGGGCAGCTGTTACAGCTGACTGCTATTCCAGTCACTGGCTACCAGAATGGCAACACGACACTGAGCTTCTGCAATGTGACAGTCACATACACCCATCCCGGGAAGAATGACGCTATCCACACTACTGTCTGGCTTCCCCTCTCGAGCTGGAACGGCCGGCTTCAGGGCTCCGGGGGTGGCGGCTATGCAATGCGTCACGACGACTCGGTTCTAGCAGAAGCGGTCGGCCTCGACTATGCCGTTGTAGCCACAGACGGTGGCCACGGCCTCGTATCCCAGAACTCCGCCGCCTGGTCACTGGATGCATCCGACCAAGTGAACATGGCCCTTCTCGACGACTTCGCCTACGTTGCCTTGAACGATGCGGCCGTCATCGGCAAGCAAATCAGCCACAGCTTCTATGGCTACGGGCCAAACCGCTCGTACTGGAACGGCTGCTCCACCGGCGGCAGACAAGGACTCATGCTCGCGCAGCGGTATCCCACGGCCTACAACGGAATTATGGCTGCGGCCCCCGCCATCAACTGGCCCACCTTCCTGGTGGCGGAATACTGGCCGCAGTTCGTCATGAATCAGCTCCAGTCACACCCGCCGACGTGCGTGACCGACGCCATCACCGCCGCCGCCATCACCGCCTGCGACGCCCTCGACGGCGTCACCGACGGCGTGATCTCAGCTCCCGACCTCTGCACCTTCGACCCTCTCACCTTAGTCAACCAAACCGTCGCATGCAATGGTAGCAGCGTGACCGTCACCAAACCCGCAGCGCTAGCTGTCTCGCTAATCTGGACCGGAATGCGGTCTTCGAACGGCACATTCCAGTGGTACGGTCTCGAGCGCGGCGCCCCGCTCTCCACGGGCAGCGGCAGCCTCGCCGCCACCACCTGCACCTCTCCAACCAACTGCACGGGCTCCCCCTTCGCCATCTCCTCCGACTGGATCCGGCGGTACGTCCTACAAGACCCAGCCTTCGACCTGACCACCCTCGACCACGCGGACCTAGACACCATCCTCTTCCGCTCCACCGCCGAATACAACGCGATCATCGGCACCGACGACCCGGACCTCTCCGCCTTCAAGTCCGCCGGCGGGAAACTGATCACGTGGCATGGGCTGGCCGACCCGCTGATCTTCCCCAAGGGCACCGAGCACTACTACCGGCAGGTGCAGGCGCGGGACCCGGCGGTGCGCGACTTCTATCGCTTCTTCCCGGCCCCGGGCGTGCATCATTGTTCCGGGGGCGAGGGCCCCGTGCCCGTGGACCCGTTGGCGCAGGTCGTCGACTGGGTGGAGGCGGGTGTGGCGCCGGCGACGCTGCACGCGCAGGCGGCGGATGGGCGCACGCGGTCGCTGTGTCCGTGGCCGCTGGTTTCGATGCACAAGGGTGGGGATGTACGGGAGGCGGGATCGTATGCTTGTGAGAGACCGCTGAGGCAATGGTTCTGATTTTGTGTCCTGGCGATTACTTCCGGGTTCGAGCATCTATTTAATCGAGCATAATTTGATCAAGAATAATTCGACTAAGCAGTTGTCGCCATATCGAAGGAGAGAAATGCAGCTATTCATAGTGTTCAGCCGCCTGGGACCAACGTGGTACGGTAAATGTCAAACCCAGGGGTGGTTGGTCTCCTGAACCATGGCTCGGCGATCAGCCGAGTCCCTGACAAGTTTCCGGGCTCGCAACTCTCTCCCTGCAAGCTAGGATGTAGATAGGGATGTGAACAGGGAACTTATTGTCCCCTGTCGCCCCGCCATTCAGAGTAAAAAACAAGGCCCTGCACAATGACAAAGACTGACTCCACGACTTGATTCAGCATTGGAATAGGAAATCTACAACCCCGCAGCAGGAAGACCATGACCAGCGCCACCCACCAAACCCCCTCTTGAGTAAGGTTCTCAAGACAGAGAGCACATTTGCATGAAAAACCTGCACCGAAGATAGTACCCGAAGATGAATCCGTGATTCTGCATTCTATCCCATCTCATGCGGTCCTTCGTTCCGATATACACCAAGCTCGACAGGGGTTTTAGCCCGCGACCGACCCGCTGGCCATCCACCACCACCACCGGGCCTACTATCACTAAGAGTACTCGTAAACTCATAATCTGTCCAGTGCGGACCCTGCAGCGAATCCGGCCAATTCTTGCCACCTCCACCACTACCAACCTTATCAAGAGAGGCACGACGACGACGAGTAACGCACCACAGCGTGAACAAGACGGTCGCACCTATACTTACCACGCCGCAGGCGACGCCAATCCCTATCTTAGCACCTGTCGACAGTGTCTCAGTGCTGCAATCCTCACAAGATGAACGTCCATTAGTGGTGGTATTCGTCGTCGAAGCGGAAGCGGATGCGGCAACAGTCGCAACCGGGAGCGCCGTCCACACCCCGGACCAACTATCCTCCCAACCATTGTCTGATCCAAGGACAGTAGTATCCTCGGGCTGGATGACGGTGGTCGACGGCGTCTGCAGATTGGGGCCGGGCGCCTGCGCCAGGAACCAATTGCCCGTGCCACTGCCGCTATCGCCCCAGTTGACTCCGACAAATGCGACCTGCAGAAAGGCGCGGCCGAGGGCGTAGACGGCCCCGGCGGTGGTGGTGCCCCGGCAGGGGAAGTAGGGGGTCGGTTGGGCGACCAAAGGTGGGGTTAGGGTGAGGTTCAGCACGGCGAAGGGAATCTTGATGGTGATGTTGGCGCGGTTGGAGTTGTCCTTGGCGAAGGTGAAGGCTAGGTAGCTGGGTGAGGTGATGAAGCTGCGGTAAGCGGGATTTGAGGTGTTCCAGATGTAGAGGCCGTGGGTGCTCTGGTAGGTGACGGGGAGGTGGGCGGCGATGGCGTCGCAGGTGCTTTGGGGGAGGTAGATATAGGGGTCCCCGGGGCTGGAGTAGACGGTGATTCCGTTGGAGGTAATTGAGGAGTTGCCGGCGGCGAGAAGACCTGTGGGGTTGCTGTTTGTGGTGCTGTTCGTGGTTGAGGAAGACCACGGCGAGCCTCCGCGGACTACTCCGAGACTGATGTCGCGAAGCTTGATTGGCAACCCTCCATCATCGGAATATGGCTGGGACGAGACTTCCCCCAGCACACGGGATTGATCGTACCCGCCCAGCAGCAAGGACCCCGCCAGGTTGTACGTGGGCGTGCCGATATGCATCCCGTACGAGTAGGACGGGATCGCCTGACCGCCACCGGAGGTGAACAGGTAACTGTCGAAAAAGGTGCCGTTAATGGTGGCCTGTCCTCGGTCCGCGAACTGCTGTTGTAGGCTGGGGGCTCCCAGGGAGAGGACTCCAAGCTCGAGAGGGTAATTGGTCCCATCCGGGTATATCTGGTATCCCTGGTCCACCACGTTCAAACTGACGTTCGGCACCATGACCCCCGAGATATCGATCAAATCGAGAGCCCACTTGGCGGTGCCGTAGATGGGGTTGTCGGTGGCAGCGCCAAAGTGCAGTGGTCCCCATGTTCCATCGTTGATGGTCAGCCGTATGGCCGTGTCGTCATACGTGGTGGAGGTCAGTTTGTCGAAGACACCCGCCCGGTTAGCATAGCAGTAGGAGGATAATGAAGTATTGGAGCAAATTGAGGAGAGGAGGATGTAGCTCTGCCAGGCTCCTCCGGGATAGAGAGCCATCTCTTGCCGGTCGCTGCCGATTTTGACCTGGACAGCTTGCCAGGGACCATCCGGGCCGTACGTCTGGCCCGTCCATGGCACGGTGAAAGGTGTTGCTGCATGGACAATGATCGGAGCAATCCAGATGCTTACCAGAAGAAAAAGAGAGGAGACCATGAGTGTAGGATCGTTTATTCAGAACGGGATAGGAAAGAGTAAGTTGTAAGAAAGGTCTGTACGATCTCAGCGGAATCTTGAACGGCTGGGCATTTTGCTCATGGGGAAAGAGCGAGGGGGGTTTAGGGTAAGGGTAGGAAAGAGCGGAGTCGAAGCTGGGGCTTCAATTCCTTGTCTGGTATGAAAACACATCAAACATTGGATCGTGTTGACAAGGCTCTAGAATGAGGGGAGTATGCAGCCATACATCGACTGCATGTACGCGCTCTGCAAGAAGGTCTATAATTGTATGATCTCTCTAGAATAGAATGGTACTGTACTGTACTATATCTGAAACTCTGATGAGCGCTGACATGACGCTAAAACGCCGCGGCTTTTCCGAACCGGGGATGGATAAAAGAGACCCTGGAGTTCCCGACGATTCAATAGGTCGAGTTGCCGCCCGACCTTGTGAACCCTGAACCCTTTCAATTCCAGCTGCTCGTTCCTCTACTGGGTATTTATCCCACACCCGACTCTTTGTTAGGTAAGTCGTTCATCCTGAGTATCCCACCCCGATGTCCATGAAAGCAGCTTTGACATGCAAGTAAAAACGTTCAGGGCAGTCCGGACCGTCTTGGTGTGCTGCTTCGCTTTCGCGGTTCTGTGGCAGCTCTGCCTGGCTGATTTCCAGCCCTCGTTCCAGTTCATCCCTCTTGGTGGCTACACCTCGGCTCCCCAGATCGACTGGTCCCGATTCGCCTACACTCAATATGCCACCAACCGAGCGTACCTCTGCAACTCGGTGATGTTGTTTGAGACCTTGCATCGCCTAGGCAGTCGAGCCGATCGCCTGCTAATGTATCCATCGGACTTCTCCACCGACGACAACTCCAGGGTTGCGAAGTTGCTCCGCAAGGCCCGCGATGAGTATAGGGTCAAGCTGGTCCCAGTCGAGCTTCAGCACCGGAAGGGCGTCGACAGTAAACCACCCATCCCACCGGTGACTTTCCCACAACTGACAGCAAGCGCATTCCAGAGACCTGGGCAGACAGCTACACCAAACTACTAGCTTTCAACCAAACCCAGTACGATCGCGTCTTGAGCCTGGACTCCGACTCAACTCTTCTCCAGGTAAGCTTTGTTGTTTGATCCGAACCCACAAAATAGGGCAGGGGAGAAGGCGCTCACAATAGCCCTACAGTCTTTGGATGAACTATTCCTGCTCGCGCCATCGCCCGTGGTCCTCCCCCGGGCCTACTGGCTCAGTCCCGCGAGCCGGACGATGAGCACTCTAATCGCATTAATCGAGCCCTCTGCGTCCGAGTTCGGCCGCATCCAACGAGCGATCGCCGACGCCGGGCCGAGCGAATTCGACATGGAGATCGTCAACAAGCTGTACCAGGACCGCGCGGGGGATCTCCCCCACCGGCCTTATTACCTCCTCACCGGCGAGTTTCGTGCCAAAGACCATACCGCCTATCTCGGCAATTCGCAGGACTCCTGGGACCCAGTCGAGGTCTTCAATCAGACAAAATTCCTGCATTTTTCCGACTGGCCTCTTCCCAAGGTATGTAAGCTAAATCCCAGGGCATATGGAAAGCAACTCACGGGAAGTTTTCCTTGTATATAGCCGTGGTTCCGAGCCAACACAAGTATCATTGAAGCGAATCAGCCGACGTGTGACCTGGACCCCCAAACGGGTATCCGTGATGACTGTCGCGCGCGAGATATCTGGCGCAGCATCTATGATGATTTTGCCTTGAGACGGCAGGTATGAACTATCCCCTCTATCTAGCGTCTGTGCTGGATTGGCGTTGTTGTTGACTCTGCGTGCAGGCAGTGTGTAATATGACGGTCAAAGATGTATATACAGTATGATGGTGCTTTTCATACTTTCTTGCTCTTTTTTATCATCCTCATTTTTGTTGTTAGAGGAGGGTATTTTCGGTGTGCCTGGTTAGCATGCTGTGTAGTTATATTGGGAAATCCTCAGGACAGCGTTGGTTTTAGAAAGGTCAGATGTGGGGAAATAGATCTCTTCAGCTCAAGATCATGGACAGATTTGGTCTGATTTTGTCTGGCGGTGTCATGTTTATGCAGGCTAGCCTTTTAGTTCTCTTGGTTCCTCTTTGAACTATATTTTGATGCAATAGCCTACCATGGTACGTGATGAATCTTATCTCTGGGAACAAAGGTCCGGGGAAGATTTGTTGACTGCGTGGATCTATACGTGAACCTGGAACGTACGGAAGGGAATGTACCGTAGAATGATGTCTTGCACTGCAAGGGGCAGAGGACAGAGTCGCAACGCAAATGATACCACTTGGAGTGCTTCAGGATAATTATTGAAACACACAGGTAAATCGGCCGGTCGCAGGCCGAGCAAAAAAAAGAGGAAAACAAAAAGAGATATCTTAGTGCATCATCCGTGAATCGAACACGGGCCTCATCGATGGCAACGATGAATTCTACCACTAGACCAATGATGCTACTTGATATCATACCTTTGTAGATAAGGTTATACAGCCCAGATCGAGCAATACAGTGCAAAACCTGCCGCTCATCCACATCAGGCAGTAAGTATACTTCCCAGGTTCTTTTGAGAAAACATCCCGTACGCGACATTCACTATTTTAGCAACTACTCATTCGCAGACCAGTTGATGGCCCCGCTAATCGAAGATCATGAGTACGACTTACATAAGCACGACGACACTGAACGCTATGCAGGAAAATAAGAAGAAAAGGGCCGAATGCACTGTAACGTTACCAGCAACCTAGCCATGGCGAGAGGGGTACAGGCACTTGGCCTGCAGCGTAGTGAAACCTCATCACGTCAGGCAAGACCGCAATCCCAGCCACCTTCCCGGCAGGTAGGCGGGGGTCCTTCTTGAAATACTCAGCATAAGTCACCGCTGGCATGCCTTGTTGCGAACAGTTGCTTCTTCCACCCTTGGCCACAGCCATGAAGGTAAGTAAGAGTGACCTGTCGCAAACCCAATCTTGCTAATATCTCCAGCATCTTTTCTTCGTCATAGGCCTCGCTCATGCCATTGGCCTTGCTCGTAATCCATATCCCCTGACCGGGGGTGGCACAAAGCGCCTGACTTTCAATGAGACCGTCGTGCGAAGGGCGATTTCGCCGTCACAAATATCAGTGGAATGGATTTCCACAGCAGAAGATGGGCAGTATGTCTACCAAGACGAAGACGGTAGTCTGAAGATCAACAATATTGTTACCAACCAAACGCAGACCCTCGTTGCATCTGACCACGTCCCGCCGGAGGTGTACAGCTACCAAGTCAAGCCCGATCTCTCGGCAGTCCTCTGGGAGACCAACCATACTAAGAAATACCGACATTCATCGCTAGCAGATTACTACATTCAAGACGTCCTGTCGTTGCAGCTTAGCCCTCTCGTTCCAGACCAGAACGGCGACATTCAGTATGCCCGATGGAGCCCGGTGGGCGACACGATCGCATTTGTCCGGGGAAACAACCTGTTCACCTGGATTGATGGGGTCACTACAGCGATCACCACGGACGGCGGGCCTGATATCTTCCATGGTGTGTCGGACTGGGTTTACGAGGAGGAGATCTTGGGGGACCGGTTCGCACTATGGTTCTCTCCCGATGGGGAGTATCTCTCCTTCCTGAGTTTCAATGAGACAGGCGTGCCGACCTACACGGTGCCATACTACATGGATAACCAGGCGATTGCGCCGCCGTATCCAGTCGAGATGCCGATCCGATACCCGAAAGTATCGCAGACCAATCCCACGGTGCAATTGAACCTTCTCCGCGTGTCTGAGAACCGCGCTCTAACCGTCCCGATCGATCCTTTCGAGTCAGATGATTTGATCATCGGTGAAGTCTGCTGGCTCACTGATACTCACACCACGCTAGCCGTCAAGTCATTCAACCGCGTTCAGGATCGTCAGGCAGTTGTGGCGGTTGACACTGCTTCAGGGCTGGCGAAAACCATCCACGAGCGCGACGGCACCGATGGATGGATAGACAACACTCTTTCGATGAACTATATCGGAGCGATCGACGACAGCTCCTCTTTATACTACCTCGATATCTCCGACCGGTCGGGATGGTCCCATCTGTGGCTCTTCCCTCTGTCGGGTGGCGAGCCGACCGCTCTCACTAGCGGCGAATGGGAGGTGACCTCCATTCTTAGTATCGACAGAGCCAGACAGCTCATCTACTACCTCTCCACCCAACGGCACAGTACTGAGAGGCATCTTTACTCAGTGTCCTACCGCACATTCGAAATCACACCTCTCGATGATGACTCCGTGCCCGCGTACTGGTCTGCGTCGTTCTCCGCGCATTCGGGATACTACATCCTCACCTACAGCGGCCCCGATGTTCCGTACCAGGAGCTCTACTCCGTCGACCAGAGCGATCCTCTGCGCACAATCAACGACAACGCTAAGACTGTTACTCAACTCCAGGACTATGCGCTCCCCAACATCAGCTACTTCGAACTACCCCTCCCCCATAGCCCCACAAACGAAACCCTCAATGTCATGCGACGACTGCCGGTGAATTTTGATCCGACCAAGAAATACCCCATCCTGTTCACCCCCTACGGCGGCCCCGGCGCGCAGCAGGTCAGCAAAACATGGCAGTCCCTGGGTTTCAACGCCTACATCGCCTCCGATCTGGAGCTCGAATACATCACTTGGGACCGTCGACAACCGGGGGACGGGTTACAAGGGGCGTGCATTCCGCACACAGGTCTCCAAGCGCTTGGGACTTCTGGAAGCGGCGGACCAGATCTACGCCGCCCAGCAGGCCGCCGCGCTGCCCTACGTTGACGAGAACCACATCGCGATCTGGGGGTGGAGTTTCGGCGGCTACCTGACGGCCAAGGTCATCGAACAGGATGAAGACGGCGATGGCATCTTCTCGCTGGGACTGATCACGGCGCCGGTGGCGGACTGGCGGTTCTACGACTCGATGTACACGGAGCGATACATGAAGATGCTGGCGGAGAACGCGGAGGGCTATGCGGCCAGCGCGGTGCGGCGGACGGCCGGGTTCCGGAGCGCCCGCGGCGGGGTCCTCATCCAGCACGGCACGGGGGACGACAACGTGCACTTTCAGAATTCGGCGGCCCTGGTGGATCTGTTGGTCGGCGATGGAGTGTCCCCGGAGAAGGTGCAGGTGCAGTGGTTCACGGACTCGGACCATAATATTAATTATCATGGGGGGAATGTGTTCTTGTATAAGCAGTTGGCAGGGCGGCTGTTTGCTGAGAAGATGCGGGGGGAGGAGGGGGTGAGGCATGGTTGGAGTCGGAGGGGGGTAGCGGTTTAGTGTACCGTAAGATGACACTGAAGTGAATGATATCAATATTGGGGCTCATATGAGTTTCTCCCGGAGTCGTTTTAGTCGGTAATCCCTTAAGTAGCTATACCCTGTCCTTCACAACGGGCCATCCTATAGCTTGACATAGTCAGTAGTAGCACTACGGGTAGTTGCAAGATGCTAATTTTTCCAATACTATGAACAAAAGCCCATGGTGAGGTACAAATCACTAGGTACCCTACACAGCAACCGATCTCAAAAAAGTACACTGAAGCATTTAGCTGCAAGCCGCGTGGCCAGAAGAAAATGTAAAAATAAGTCGATGAATATGGAATAGATCCCTAAGCGATAGCCATATAATACAAGAACTTCCACTGCTATGTACAATACAGAACCCCCACCCTCCCCACCTCCTCAGCCCCTATCGCAAACCTACTCCACCGTCAACGGAACATCCACGTCCTTCCCATCGACCCAGCTCCCATGCAACCCCTGGCGCAGCCGCACAGGCAGCATTATCCTGGCCTTGGTGCGGGGTGCAAATCCCTGGTATCGAGGAGATGCAGTAGTCGGGAATGATCATCTCTCCTCCCATCAGACCTTTAACAAAACTAGTGACTGTAGGTACTGTACTACAACTCGTCTAGGGGATAATCAACTAGTCTTCTGGATTTGCTCTATTTTGTACACCGGAATTTTTCCAAAAGCCAGGAACCGTACTCTGCCAACTGTGATTCCGGGAGAGGATGAAGCAGTGAATTTAGTACTGCTAACTCCAGACCTGAACCAAAGAGGTAAGTTAAGGGGGTTGATAGCGATGATGACAATATAGCCGGCATACCTACCTACACACCGACACTGTGCCTTTTGCTGGTTCGGATCCAGTTGCCGAATGTAGTTGCATGGCATGGCCTCGACCATTGAGCCCTGTGGGTGGGAGGAGACCCGGGGGGAGAGCGGAAGGGCAATGAAGTACCTTATTCTAATGCACGGAAGTACTAGCCCACCGTGGGGAGGGAGGATGTTCCGGCCCGCCTCCCGGTTCCGGGATCCTTAGCCTCATGTTTATGTCTGGGGGAGACCGGTTCAGGTATTTCTTGCGCCATGCCCGTTACATGTGTGCACTGCTTGGTCGCTTGGTTCGTCCTTCACTCTGGTTGCTCATTGCCCTGGGGGATTCCGGGGAGGGGGCGCTCATAGGGACGGTGTTCTCGTGCTGGTTCCCAATTTAATGTTTGTGGAGTGGGGCCTGGATTCGGAGGGTTCCGCGAAGGGGGGTGGTGGGGTTGAGTGAGTGATGGGGGTGGGTTGTTGGAGGATTTGGGAGCGGGGATGGGAGAGTGGAGTGTACATACTGAGCTGGGGTTTGGGATGGATTGAGGTTGCAGGAGGTGTTGAGGTGAGGAACAGCATACGATTGGTGAAGTAGGGGGAGTGTTGTTTCTTCTCAGGTTCCGATCTCCGGGGAGAGCATTGTATGGTAGAGTGATATCTTCATTTTTGCATATTCTTATAGACTTTAGAAGTCGGTTACATCTTGATTGGTGAAATGTACTGTACTGCACCTTTTGATCTTCCTTCTCAAGATAGGTAGTTCTGCAATAGAGCTAGTCAGACAAGAGATGTGATGAATCTCACCACCCTCCTCGGAGTAGCGTTACTGCAGCACGGGCGATGCCTGTAGGTATCTTGATTCTCCAATAGCATCGCCAAGAACTATGCAGACTACTATGTGTTCTCCGTAGGTAGCGGGTATTCAAGGCACCGAGACCATTGTAGAATCATGTGACCAACATCATGCGCTTCGTGTCGAATCCGCGTGAGGGGCTTTTTAATTCAATGATTAGTTATTCTTTCGCTTCCCCCCACTGCTCAACTACGCTCCTCACTGACCGCAGCTGCATTCGACGTAAGAAAACCGGCGGTCGCCAGTTCCTCAGGTGACAACAAGAGCATGAGCATTGTTCCCCATGTCGACGATCGGCAAGCAGGTGGAACCGTGGGGGTGTCTCTCCGCCCCCTCCACCTCTCAGACGAGCCAAAAGTGCAGCTTGGTGTGACAAAATGGTTAGCAATGGATACGTGGCTTGCAGCTTTTCAGCAGACTAGCTGCTCGGCAAAGTCTGGAGCGGGGTTCAGCTTCTGATGTCTATGACTTAAATGGCTTTTCTCCCCCCTCATTTCTCCCCAACACCGGAAAAGCTCCTCCGTGACTTCCCCCGCTTTTTCTGTAGCCAGCTACACAACAACTTGAACCAGCTCTCCCCTCCCAGAGCATAACAGGGACAGACACACCAATTCACCATGGCCGCCGCTTCAGCCCAGTACCTGCCCGGCTCGGTCGACATCCCCGTCGGGCAGTTCCCTCCGACCCTTACATCCACCGATGTCGACCCCGAAGCTATCGCCTCCCAGCTGGTGGACACGATCAACACAGCCCTCAGCAGAGGGGACATCGAGGCCATCAGCAGTCTGTTCCTGGAAGACGGCTACTGGCGGGACCATCTCTGTCTGACGTGGGACTATCGCACCGCCAAAGGTCCGGAACGAATCCAGGCGCTCCTCAAATCCGCACAGCTGCCGACCAAGATCGAGGTCGATCGATCGACCGCTCTTCGCACACCGCACGTGGGCGCGATCGACGCGTTCGGAGATGTGAAGGGCGTGGAGTTCTTCATCAAGGTCTCCAGCCCCGTCATCAGCGGGACGGGTGTCGTGCGTGTTGCCGAAGTCAAGAGCGAATGGAAGATCTTCACCTTTTTCACATCTCTCCGAGATCTGGTTGGCCACGAGGAGAGAGTCGGTCATCGCCGGCCCTTGGGAGCACAGCATGGCGCGACCAAAGATCGACGGAATTGGCAGGACAGGCGGAACGCAGAGCGCAACCTGGAAGGCGAGCCTCCGGCGGTCTTGATCATCGGTAAGCATTATTCCACCATCTGAGGACATCGTGAATATGCCCCTGACGAACATCATCATCAGGTGCCGGACAAGCCGGCCTCACCGTGGCCGCCCGCCTGAAAATGCTGGGTGTCGACAGCCTGATAGTCGACGAGGCGGACCGCGTGGGCGACAACTGGCGCAAGCGATACCACCAGCTGGTGCTCCACGACCCCGTGTGGATGGACCATCTCCCGTACGTGCCTTTCCCACCCGGCTGGCCGGTCTTCACGCCCAAGGACAAATTCGCGGAGTTTCTGGAATGCTACGTCAAGCTCTTGGAGCTCAACGTATGGACGCGGACTAGCGTGCAATCCACCTCGTGGAGCGAGGCCGACGGCCGCTGGACGATCGACCTGCAGCGCCGCAGCGAGGACGGAAGCACCACCGAAACCCGCACGCTGCAGCCCCGCCACGTGATCCAAGCAACCGGCCACTCCGGCAAGAAGGCGATGCCCACCTTCAAGGGCATGGAGACCTTCCAGGGCGACCGTCTCTGCCACAGCAGCGAGTTTCCCGGCGCCAGCGACCTGAGCGGAACGAAAAAGGCCGTGGTCGTGGGCGCCTGCAACTCGGGCCACGACATCGCGCAGGACTACTACGAGAAGGGCTACGACGTGACCATCGTGCAACGCAGCTCGACCTGCGTGGTCTCTTCCGCGTCCATCACAGACATTGGCCTGAAGGGCCTCTTCGACGAGGACGGCCCGCCCACCGAGGACGCCGAGCTCTACCTCTGGAGTATCCCCTGGGAGGTCTTCAAAGCCCAACAGATCAAGATCACGCGGGCGCAGACCGCGCACGACCGCGCCGTCCTCGACGGCCTCGCGCGCGCCGGGTTCCAGGTGGATGACGGCCCCGCGGGCGCCGGCCTGATCATGAAGTACTTCCAGCGCGGCGGCGGCTACTACATCGACGTCGGCGCCAGCCAGCTCATCGCCGACGGCAAGATCAAGGTCAAGCACGGCCAGGAGATCGCCGAGGTCCTGCCGCACGGCCTGCGCTTCGCCGACGGCTCCGAGCTCCCCGCCGACGAGATCGTCCTCGCCACCGGCTACCAGAACATGCGCACCCAGGCCCGCCAGATCTTCGGGGACGCGGTCGCCGACCGCGTCGGCGACGTCTGGGGCATGGACGCCGAGGGCGAGATGCGCACCATCTGGCGCCGCAGCGGCCACCCGGGCCTGTGGTTCATGGGCGGGAATCTAGCGCTATGTCGGTATTTCTCGAGGACGTTGGCGTTGCAGATTCTGGCTTTGGAGGTGGGGGTTGCGAAGTAGGTGCGTTGTGCAAGGCGGGTTGTTTCGGGGGATACCTCGGAAGAAGCTGGATCGGAGAAGACAGGGCAAATTAAAGCGTAACTTAGTTAGTTCTCTCGGAGGAGCACGATCGAATCCATCATGCACGACATTTCAAAAGAGAGAGAGAGAGAGAGAGAGTTTGTGTACTGTATTTATGCATAAGGCATAAAAAATGAGCACTGTATGAATGCGCACTGTAAATCCCTCAACCGGATAAAACCCCCCTTAGATTAAGCCCCGCAAGGCGGAACGGACCCTTGTGCATCATTATTATTTGCAGAGACTAGCAGACTGGTAAGTACTAAGCGGAAAGCAAACGGGCCTCGGGACCGGTCGCCGTACGCCGGAGAACCAACACCATCACGCGGAGACGGGCGGGCGGGCCAGAACTTCTACGAGTAACTAACTATTCTCCGGGTTCGTTCTCAGTCTAGGTACTCCGTACTCATTTCCCTTTCTCGGAGAAAAGACAAAGAAAGTTTCCATGACACTATCATCTTTCCCAAAGCCAAAATTGACTCGATTTGGATATCATCGACGTACCGTACAAAGCAAGGGTCCCTGACCCTGAACCCGGACACCTGGCCTGGCCCAGCTGGCTCTCTGACTTCCCCAAAATACAAACACCGACGATCACCCAACACCAACACCTAACAACTCCAAGCTAAAGTTTAATAATGAACCCCGGACCATACCAAATAATTTAGGGAGCAGCTAATCGAGTAAGTCAACCCCTAAGTTACCAACAACACAGAAAATGAACACAAAATAAAAAAAAAAAAAATCAAACCCACCCCTCCATCCTCGCCGCATAGATCCCCACCAGCAAGGTAATCGTGTAGAGCACATCGACGCGCTCCTCGCCCACCCCGACGGCGGCCAGCACCCGCCGCCGCAGCTGGTCCTGCTGCTCCCCGCGCAGGACCTTGATCCCCTTGTGCGAGAGCCCGGCCAGCCAGGGCCGCCGGGGGCTGCGCCGGGTGGAATCACCTGAGTTTGGATCGACGGGGCTAGCACTTGCGGTACTAGTGGTGCTACCTCGAATGCCGAGGAGGAAACTTGCCGGGTCTTGGTTTTTTGGCTCAACGTTGTCGCATTCTTCGTCGTTGTCGTCGTCGTCGGGGGTGGTGGACGCCGAAGACCGATGGGTCCGGGTTGTTGCCGATGATCTTGGCGGGGGGGTTTTGTGTTTGGGTTTTTTCTTGGCGAGTTCGAGGGTGAGTTTTTGGGGGGGTTTCGGCGAGGAGGATGACGAGGGGAGGACTTGGAAGATGTAGCCTCCGCGGGAGGTGCGGGAGGCGAGGAGAGTGAGTTGGAGTTGGGGGAGGTAGATTGCGTTGTTATTGTTGCTGTTGTTGTTGGGGGGTGATTTTGTTGTTGCTGATGTTGATGTTGATGATGATGGGGGGGAGGATGCGGGTTTGTGGTTGGTGGAGCTGCTGCTGCTGCTGCAGTAGTTGGTGTATATCACTCCTACTACCGGGCTGTCGGTGCTGGGACTTTGGCTGCATGATGCAGGCAGATTCTGGTAGGCGTCGCTTTGGACGACGTACAGGTCCTGGCTGTGTACTTTGCTGGGACAGCCGGGGATCGACTTGCCGAGGCTGGAGGGGCGGTAGATCTCGAGGATGGGAAGCGCGCGCGAGGCGGAGAGGAGCTGTTGGATCTGGAGCAGGAGGCGCGAGGTGAAGCGGAAGCACGAGGTCGATTTGGGCGGTGGGTGGGCGAAGGGGAAGACCTGTTGGGATGGCGATTTGGTGGTCTTCGCTGTGGTAGGCCTGCTGGTTTGGAGCTGCGTTAGAGATGTGGTTTTAGGTAAGTGTTTAAGGTTGCAATATGCAGTATATCCTCCGTACCTGGATTGGCTGGAGACGGTACTCTCCGTGTCGCTATCAGTGACGCTCATGGTTGTTTAGGGCGGTTGATGCCGGTGTCACTGCCAGTGTCACTTGTGAGTGTTGGCAATCAAACTAAATCTTCAGGAGCAGCTGGGAGACTTTAAAAGACTTTAAAGTCCACGATCATCCACGTCGCTGTCGCTGTCGCTGTCGCTGTCATCGTATTCGTACCTTCAGCCCTGCTCCGCACGGTCATTGCGCGGTCGGGGCTGTTTGACCGACTGTAGTCGCAAATCCTGCGACTATCTCTGCAATGCTTCTTTTTCCTTTTTTTTTTTTTCTATATTTTCTTAACGCCTAGTGCAGCTGATTTGACTGGTGCGACTGGTGCAAGTGGTACAACTGGGCCAGCCAAGAACGGGATTCTTTTTTTGGGGGCTACTCTTAGTCTCTCTTACGTACGTAACGGAGGTCAAACGGGGGGTTCCAGCGGCCGAGAAGGACTCGACTGAACACTAAAACACTTTAGCTCCGCTGGGCTGAATCGGAGATCGTAAGCCCCGCTGCCGGACTGACCTTTTTGGTATCGGGATACGGATACGACCGAGCCCGTTGCCTGCTCCGTTCCGTGGATTCTTGGGATTTTCTTGGTTGTCAGGAACGGTTCTCTCCCAAAAGATACGAGTACGATCAATTACTGATCCCTAGGTTCTTTGACCCTGAACAACGGAACTGCGACAAATCAAGAGTGGGGTATCATTCTTTCCTTCATCTAATCCTACACATCTCCCAACAACCGTCAACAACATCTAGTAAGCAGCGACAGCATAAGCAATGTAAGCACAACCGAGCCCGCGGTTGAACACCGCCCCCTGAATCCTGCTGCTTCCCGCGGGAGTCGGAACTCACACCCGGAGTCTCCCCCAATCTTCCATCTCCTCTACATTGACCCCTCGGCTGCGAGCAAGGGCGCCGAGTCGCTCACACGCGGCGTTTGCGGCGAGGCGTATTTCTTCTGGGAGCTCAGTCCACTCTTTTAGAGGCCAACCGGCCGATCCACTGTCTCTATCCTTGTAACAAAGATCCATCTGAATCGACAACCTCTTCAACTCCGGTAGAAAGGTTCTCGATGCGAATGCCTCCTCCCACTCCTTCCAGCGATCACTCTGCGTCAGCATTGCCGGTCCGCGCAGGCGCAACGTCGTCAGAGTCCGCGGAAACAGCCTGTATAAGGCGTGTAGGTGGGACTCATCACGGAACACCTCCCCGACCGAGAGTTGCAAAGTCTTCAGGTTTTCCATCTGTGGTAAAAACTGCACAAAGATCTTCTCGTTGGTTTGCTGAAACTCGCAACAACCGTTCGTGGAGCTGAGGTGCAGCGCGGAGACAACATGCGGCAGGGCCAGGGTCATGCGGGCAAGAGTGCACATAGCATCGTTCTCGACGATCTCCAGCGTCTGAAGGTTGACATCATGCTGCGTCGGTGGTGCGTTGTCTGGGTCGAGCTCGTTGAAGTTCGGCCCTCCGTATTTCGCGTCCAACCAGGCCATGGCCAACTGAGGAAGGAAGACAATCTCAATTTTCCTTTCTTCAGGAGTGCCCTTGTGTACCGTGATATATTCCGACTCCGCCTCCCCACGAGAGATAGCCTCCTTGTGTCTATCTTGCAGCTCCTGATTGTCTGGACCCTCGAAACGGAGGCCGCTGGTGTAGTCGAGGATCAGATGAGAAACTTGTCCCTGGCGGATGATTGGGGTTTGAGTGATAGTTCCGGAAGCGGAGCTGATCAGCAGTCGCGAGAGGGGCCAGTGAGGGGGGATGTGTCTGTCATTCAGGTCTTCGTTATACCCTGTATGGATCTCAAGGTTGCGAATCAGGGGAAAGTGAAGGCCCATTCTGTGTCAGAGGGAGTGTCGTTTTGAATGATGAGGGTGTCAATGTCTCGTGGGATTAGAGGGAGCTGCAAAGAAAGCTTCTGACGGTGATCGGGTTTGGACTCTTCGTGGGGCCCTTGTACCTGGATCGTAGGTGACGCGGTAGCCATGTTTCGGAGTCTGAGCGGGCGAAGCAGCGTCGCGACCCCTGGGAGTGGAAGTCGGCTGGCGAGGCGTGGTAGAAGATGCTAGAAGAAGGGTAAGTAAAGATTCTCTATGAGGTAGAGCATGTCATGAACTGTACCATTGTGCCAATCCTTGAAGTTGGAGAGAAGAGGAGGTGGAATCACGGTTGTCACTCCAGTCACACATTTTCGTATCCTTGCATCCCATCTCCGCATTCCCTGGCCGGAATATCAGCCGGGGTTGTTTATCCGTTCCTGGCGCTCGTGTGGAGATAGGTCAAGAAACAAGAGACAAAGTAAATCTCGAAAGATTAGAAAGCAAGTGACAGGTATTTGTCTGCACATTTGTTTATTTTCCAATAAGTCTTCAGTGGTTCCAGTAGCTGTTGAGAAGAGGTTCGATAGACATGTGGATGTGTTCTTGTAAGCGATCGCTTCTAATGCCATTCGATGGCCAGAATGGAAACTTGTATGAGGATCAACAAAAGTGGAATGCTTCTAAGATACCTGGTACTGGTTCTCAGCCTAGTGTGTGTAGATCTTCTGTCTTGGTGGCTGTCGTTGTATGGCCGGTGGAGACTGGGAAGAGCTTAACTGTGTTGAAGAGAGCGCGAAACATAAGAGCTCCAGCCTCCACGCACCGCCGACCAGTTCTACCTGTGTCTTTTCTTCCTCCACGGATAAAAGCTTCTGTCAACCGCAGCCCGATCCATCTAGCAAATGTGTGCTATTTACATGCGGGAAAACTCCAGAAATCGAGATTGTTCTGTCGGACAACGCAAAACCCGGTCCAAACTCCGCAAAGCCCGAGCCAGCCACGCCCACGCAAGCTAAATCCTTCCGACACAACAGCCAGCCATCATTTCACTCAATCATATTCCGAGAGAGCAATTGAAGGAGTCCCAGACATTTCAAACACTGCATCTGCTTCCAATGGTCCCACCCTTGCAGGAGAAGCTTTTCTTCATTTTCTGCTCATGTCGGATCATAAGGTTTGAGCATGTCGTCATGGATTACTGGTGTTGTCAGCTATAAAGGCACCGACATCTTCTGCTACCCCATCACTCTTTCCCCTTAACTTTTCCCTCATCACCAAAAACCATCTCTCTGGCAGACAGGACGCACCGACAGAATGAGCACCTCAACCCCCAGATTTGCAATCGCCCAGGCCGTAGGCCTAACCGGCGCCGCCTGGCTATCCGGTAAGTTACACCGACCCCCCTACTCTTCCCCCCCAGAGTGTCACAACCAGACCACTAACCCCGGACCCCCTTCCACAAAAACAGGCAACATCTTTTCCCTAAGCCTCATGGGAGTACCCCCGCTGATCGAAGCCCACCACACGGAGAAGATTCCTCTCTCGACCGTCGTCAAGCAGTGGCGCACCATCTACACGTACGGCGCGCAGCGCGCCCCGCTCATCGCCCTCAGCACCGCCTCCACCTTCCTGTACCTGGCCTGGAGCGTGCGCGAGAGCACCCCGCTGAGCCTGATCACCGCGCGCCACAGCTCCAAGGTCTATGGCCTCGCGGCGGGGTTGACGCTGGGGATCGTGCCGTTCACCCTCCTGGTGATGAAGAAGACCAACGATCGGCTGTCGCAGTGGGCCAAGGTCAAGACCGAGGCGGAGTGGACCCCCGAGGCGGACGCGGAGGTCGAAGGCCTGCTGTGGAAGTGGACCTGGCTGAATGCCGCCCGGTCGGTGCTGCCGTTGCTCGGTGGGTTGGTGGGGTTGGGGGTGTTTGCGTGATTTTGCGATGTCGAAGTATATATATACTGGGATTGGGAAATGGTTTAATCCTGTACATTAATGTCGGAGTTGATGGAGTTGGGAGTCACGAGTTTTATCGCTCGGACAGAATTGTGGTAGCTTTTTTGGCCGGTGGACGAGTCTGAGCTTCACGATAAGGTGTAGCTTATCGGGTGTCCGATAAGCTTCGCTGCCTTGGTGCCTTGACGTTCTTTGATAGTATACCCCGTTACCTGTCTGTAATTGGAAGACATTTGGGTCAATATGTTTGATTCGTCTGAACACATAGTTAACTAAAACTACTTCGTTATCGCTGGTCGAGATACGTAGCGATGTATAAGTGGAGGTTCGTAGAACCTGAACCGCCCAGCAAAGTGACTCATCCATCTAGATAAATTTGGAGACATAATGCAGGCTGACTCATTGTATATCCTATTGCAATCACTCCCACTCTTCTGTAAAAATAAAGAAGAAGGATAGATGATGTGAGAGATAGCATTGCTTTAAGTGATACCAAGCAAACCTTCACAATACACACCCAGTCCCGTTTCCTACCACCCCATCACCGCAACATGAACCAAGCAACCTCACCACCAACCATGCAAAACTCCACCACAACCATCACCCTCACCCCAATCAACCTCCACGAACCCACCGACTACGCCGCCCTCCAACACCAGCGCACAATCTGCGGCTGGGACCAAACCGACGAAGCCCTCCTCGCCTGGCGCGCCAAACAAGACGCGGGCCTCAAATCCTTCTTCTGGATCGACATCGTCCCCCCTTCCGTCTGCACCTCCGCCTCTACCTCCACCTCCACCACCAGCAGCGACAATAACAACTTCAGCAGCAGCAGCCGCCAGGATACTGCGGTGGCACCAGTCCACGCAGGCCACATCTCCCTCGACGCCTACGCCCACCCGCCAGACCCGGACCTAGCCACCGCCGACGGCACCAACCTCACCGTCCAGTCGTTCTTCATCCTCCCGGCGCACCGGAAGGGCGGGCTGGGTCGGCGCGCAATGGCGCTGGTCGAGGAGCGGGCGCGCCGCGACCCGCGCTGCAGGTACGTGACCCTCAACGCGGTCAGCAAAGCGTACTACGCGGACCCCGGGCGGCGGCGCTGGATCGAGCGCATCCGCGGCGAGGGCGGCCTGCCGGTCGCGGAGTGGTATGAGAGGATGGGGTATGTGCGGTGGAAGACGGAGCCGCGGTATACGGACTGGACGCCGGAGGGGGAGGAGGTGGTTCTCGAGGCGGATTTTATGAGGAAGTTGGTGGTGGGCGTGGGGTTGGGGTAGATGGTGGGCTCTGGGTTGGGTTTAGTGTGCTGTGCTGTGCTGTGTATATGGGGTTTGGGGGATGGAGATAGGATGGCTTGTATATACAAAGGGTTGCTAGATGTTGATAGGGACGTACTGTATATATGTGAACAGGTATCTGGTTATATTGATTTCACATGGGTGAGTGCTGGATTGAGCTCTTGCTGGGTCTGTCTTTACTGAGATATGCTGGGCCTTCACCTTCAAGGCTTTCGATGCTGGGTGCGGTTGTTTGTGTTTTGAGCGTAGTGAGCAGAAACACAGTAGCCTACATGATTAGACGCTTATCTTTGATTGGCTGTTTAAGTACTCTTGAATATCGATGGTCAATATATCAAGTCAGGGCCGGTGACGTACACATTTGTGAGGCTACTTTGATAGCAGCATACTAAGGCTGGTGAAAGTAACACACAAAGATTCTGCTACCTCAACCACAAAGTCTCAGGTGAAGTGAAATCTCACTTAAGTGGGTCTCTACTCTGTCGATGACTTCTCCCCACCTGGAGGAACACACCCTCACCTTTACTTCCTGTCCTCTCCATCGATGGGACAACGCGACCTTGCAACCAAAGTGCAGATTGCAGATCGTTCGCTCACTTGATTGCACACGCTACTCTCTATCATCGCACCATGTCAACTCTCATCGAGCAGCATCCTCCGGGATACTTGAACGAGTACTGCGGTGGTCAACTGATCGGCACTGCGGTTTCGTTCATCGTCTTGGAGCTTGTCTTCGCGGGGGTCCGGTTCTGGGCCCATAAGAGACAGAGAAGAAACTGGGGTGTGGATGACTGGCTCATGGTTCCAGCCCTTCTGGCCAATCTGTGTGTTTGCATCACAGGAATAGGCAAGTATGCCGTTTTCTATCTGGGCTGATCACTGTAAATTTTATGATCTCACTTCTGTTGGCGTTTTCTCTCTTGGAAATAAGAAGCTGGTAGAGTCGAGATTCCGTGATATCTAACGCGTTGCGCAGTGATGATCCCTGTTGCTGGCGTTGGGTATCACATCGACAAGATCTTGATGGAAGCGCCATGGAAACTCGTTCAGTTCCAGAGAGGCATTTTCGCTGGGATCTGGGTCTGGGGCTTGGCGATAGCTCTGCCCAAGCTGGCAATCCTCGCTTTCTACCTTCGCTTCTTCAAGTCTCGGAACGAACGAACTGTCACCTATGTCCTCATGGCTATCATCGCGTCGACCTATGTTGCCATTTCTTTGGCTCACACTTTTGCATGCATACCCGTGGGGTATCAGTTGAACCCATTCAAGCCGGGAACAGGTCAGTGTTTCGATACAAAGGCATTCTATCGTTGGATGTCCTTCCCCAATATCGTCACGGACGTTGTCATGCTGGTCCTGCCTCTCCCCATGGTCTATCGGTTGCACACCTCGTGCCACCAGAAGATCGGGCTCGGGATCATATTTGCGACTGGCGGAATGTAAGTACATATTCCCTTGTTATGCCTTTGCAGCATCGTACAGTTGGTGCTTACCGTTGACTCGGGGGCTAATCTGCCATTCAAACTTCGCTTTCTTAGAGGCATTATTACCTCCTGCTGCCGGTTTGCGATTTTTTACAGCGACACAGAACGTCGGGACGATACTTGGAAGGCGTCGTCTCTGCACATGTGGACTGAGATTGAGCCCGGGGTGTACTTCCTCGCTGCGTGCATGCCGTCCTTTCCACCCCTGATCCAGCTTCTCTGGACTCGGTTCGTCAGGTCCAAGAGAGGTTCAAGTCAGACATATCCCTCCGGCAACAACAAAATCGCCCTCTACACCATCGGAGGAAGTGCCCGGCTCCAGGATTCTGTCCCTCTTACCCCGTCCAACACACATGAGGACTTCCCTCCCTGGAGCGACGATGAAGAGGCAGCCCGTAAGCCTGCGATCCCGGACTACGACGATGGTGGGTTCCGGCATAGTGTCGCGTACGCTGATCTGGCCGGCATCGAAGCCGCTCGGACTGGGAGTCCACGTACTCTTAGAGAAATATGGCCTCCCAGGAGGATCCGTATCAGGGAGACAGTCAGTGTTCGACATGAGGGGTTCGGCACGCTGGACAGTACCTGAAATGTCTCGGAGGCTCCAGTCTGAACTATGGCGGAATCTAGCTGAAAAGTAAGAAGTGTGGGAGGGGAGAAGTGAATTATCAGAAGGGGGATTCAAAAATTGATGTGGCAACCAGTGTATCTTCATGTATTTACACTTGAAGGTTGTGATTCAGATGATGTAACTTACATCAGAGCAGACAAATGATGACTTGTTCATGCGTGACTGGGATACCTGGTCGTTGCATGCAATGGTTCAAAGCACTTTTCAGTAAGAGGAAACTTCATCCTACTGGGCTGCCCTGCTGCCTGAGGCCCCATCCACTTGTTCCCTACGAGGCAACCACCATAACCATCCGTCATCCTCCGTGATTCATCCATCAACTCGAAAAGACGCTTCCTTTTCTCCTTCGACCACTGTCACAATATTGCCCGGCACTTGACCGATCCTGCGGGCTTCCATTGCCTGGCTCACATTTGATCACCAGGTGCGGTGCTGCTTACAGGAGAATCGAGCCCCTGGCCGAAGACTTCGAAATTCAGAACACGGCCATGACTCCTCTCATACTTGACGATCTTCTTCTCGAACCCCCTCTTCCATCTACCAAAGCTTGTCAAATCAACACCTTCGAGTCGGATGTCTCGTCTCGCATGGCAACTCGTACACTACCGTCGTGTAGTTTTCAATCCGTTCATAACCTAGTTGAACTCAAAATACGTACAGTACTTCCTATTAACGCCGCCACGCCATCGGCTGAACAACCGAACACCCAGGCACCTGCATAGAGACAGTGCGGCTATTGAGTGTGGAGTATGACAGCTCTCACGGGCACTCCCGAAAAGGGTAGATATCGGCAGGGGTTCATGCACCGTGTCCTCGGATCGGTGCAGTGGCGGCATCCCTTGCGGGATCCAGACCCTGGCTGAACACTTGCAAAGAACACCAGCAACAGACATTCCAGATTTAGTCAGGGGTAAACCATCCAAATCACTCGCAAAAGGCTAAGTCGATGATCATGGCAGAATCATTGACTTGTTTGGATAGGTCAGATCGGGATCGATGGCCTCGAACATGGGACCTGTCAAATATGCCAGGGGAATGCGAGCATCGAAGAGTTCATCCCTGCAAGAGCATGGACTCTGCATCTGGAGGACCAATGCACATCCCCCTATCCTCCACTGCAATGGCAGATCATGATCACTGCTCCTGGTCATGAGCACACGATAGCCTTCGCTAATTCACGCAGAGTAGACCCATCATACCTACATGTCACAGTTGAGCCCAACCCGAGCTACCTCATGGAAAGAAACGTATAAAGTCGCCGTCAAATCCACAACAAACATCTCTTTCTCATCAGCATCAAGTCAGCTTCTCCTTCCACTCCTTTCTACCAACCTCAATCGCTCACCTCAAACTCCAACTCTTCAAGATGAAGACCTCCGCTCTTTTGTCTCTCCTCGCCGCTGCTGGCATGGTTGCTGCCGCTCCTCTGAATAGTATGTAAACCGCCATACCACCACCACATACCTTCTAGGACAGAGAAACTGACGGTTTTGAAGACATCCCCGCCATCCCTGGCGCCCTTGCCGATGGCGTCAAGACCCCCGACACCCACAGCAGCCTTCCTGACACCCACGCCAGCCTTCCCGACACCCATAGCAGCGTCCCCGACGGGGCACAAATCGTCAACCCCCCAGCGGCCAAGGTCCCTGCCGCCAATGTCCCCGCGGCCAAGGTCCCCGAAGTCGGTCATGCCGCAAGCCGCCGTGGCGCGCCCGTCAACATCGGCGGCGTGTCCGGCGACCATGACATCGACGGCGACAACAACATGATCGCCTACCCTCCCGCCCAAAAGCATGCTCCCGCCCCAGCCCCGGCTCCTGCTCCGGCTCCTGCTCCCGCCCCGGCCCCGGCCCCAGCCCCGGCACCCGCTCCGGCTCCGGCCCCCGCTCCGGCTCCCGCGCCTGCTCCCGCTCCCGCCCCCGCCCCAGCCAGCGAGCTCGACCTCCACCACGACGCCGCGCAGGAGAAGGACCACAACAGCAACTTCAACGTCTACGAGAACCACAACTCCGGCGTCAACGAGCATGAGCACCACGTCGACGACTACGATTACTCCTCCTACGACAACACCAGCAAGGGGGCCTCCGGGTCAACGCAGGACCACGCCGCCGGGCAGGTCAACAACAACTTCCACGTCGAGAACAACTAAGCTTGCCCCAACGGTCTGGAACTGGGACCTCTTCAAGTGGTAGATTATCTTGTTCTTGAGTACTATAGTTGTATTACTTAGTGTTTAATCACCTTTCCTTCGTTTTGACCGCGGGGAAAGGGAAAGGGTGGAGATATTTATGCTGGAGATACTTTTTTTTCCTTATACTCTTGAAAATACCATTTTCATTTCTTGATTATTCTTGAGACTGAATTGGGGAGTAGTGAAGTGAGTGTAGGTATTCATGGTGTGAGAATGTAGCTTGATTACACACTATCTCCAGATCCAAGTGCGCTGTACAGCACAACAAAGCAAAAGTACAAGTATGTCCTTAAAACTCCAAACATCGGGGTATGAATAAGTATGTACAAGAACAGAAACAGAAAGAGAGAGTAAGGAGTGTCTCGAGACAAGGAAAAGAAGACATGATCGGCGAAAGCCAACCCCAAACACCTACCTACGTGACAACCACCCTTTGGCGCACACGGATCCGATTCCTGGGAACATCCGCCGACCCACCCAGACCCGCCGCCTTGGCCGCATACCGACTCTTCCACCCGCACCGGCCCAGCGCCAACGTCTCCAGGGTCTCGGTGCGGCCACCCCAGAGCTTTCCGCGCGACGACGATGCTGATGAGTCAGAGGAGGAGGTGGCGCCCCGCTGCACGGGCGGGATCCAGAAGTGGGTGACGGCGGCGCCGAGGATCATGCAGACGCTGAACAGGATCAGGATCCAGCCGTGGCGGATGGTCGGGCCGTCGCCCTCGCCGGTGCCGAAGTTGTAGTACGCTGAGAACACCTGGACGAGGATGGAGCCGAGCTTGCCGGCGCCGGCGCTAATGCCGTGGCAGGTGGCGCGGTAGCGCGTCGGGAAGATCTCGGCGGGGATGATGTATGTGGTTGCGTTGGGGCCTGTGGGTTTGGGTATTAGCGTGGTGGGTTTGCATTTGGGACGAGTGGTGGGTTCATGTTGTTGGGGAAATGGAAGAGTGGGTGGCTGGGAAGATGGAATGACGACCGAATCCTACCGAAGTTGAAGAAGGTCTGGCCGATGATGTAGAGGGTTATGGCGGAGGCTCCTTCTTGGTGCACGGTGATGTACATGGTGCCGAGGGCGATGAAAAGCGCGGCCAGCGCGAGGAACATGTATTTCTGTAAGGCAGTGCGGTCGAGCTTGTGAATCAGCATGATGAGAAGGATCCCACCGAGGAAACTGCCGCTGTTGAGAATAACGAGTGCGTGGGTGGAGCTGGCGAGGAGCATGTTGTAAACACTGGCACCGGGGCGGTCGTCGGTTTTCCAGTAAGGGGCGGAGGAATCGAGGTGGAGGGAGCCCCAGGTCTTGGCCAGGAACTGCGGACTAGAGAGACTGATCCCGTAGAAGCTGAAATCCAGGAAGAACCAGGCAAGACTGGTGGCAGCGAGAGTACGCCAGTTGCCTTCAATCCAGAAATACTGGCGGATATCCCTGCGAGTCAGGTGCCAGTGGGAGTTCAGAGTGGCAGGTTGCAGGATCTCGACCTGGGAGGGGGAGCGCTGAGTTTCATGATCATCGTCGTCTTCTTCGTCATTCTCCCCAGCGGTGATCGTAGTGAGTGAGATGCCGGGAACTGAGAAGTTGTGCCAGCTTGCAGAGTCCCCGCCGAATGGAGAAGAGCCAGTCAATGTGGATGGGGAGCTGGCGTGAAAGTCGTCGAACAAAGTGGTGGCATCGAACTCAGCCTGAACAGGGTCGTCATCGATCTCGAGCACGAAACGAGGAGACTCCGGGATTACGAAACGAAACAAGGTCGCAATGGCGCCCGGGATGACTCCGATGCCGATAACCCAGCGCCACATTATGTCGACCGTGCGAGTGAGATCCGCGGTGCCTTGCTTGCGACTGATAGTGATAATTATGATGGCGATGATGTTCCCGGCAATCTGTCCAAGAGGCTGCATGAAGAAAACCGAAGCCATCATGCGTGCACGGTGCTTGGTCGGCGCAAACCTGCCCGTCTGTTAGTATGGTCGCACGCAGTAGGCAGAGCTGATAGAACGGTGAGAACACCTACTCAGACGTAATGACCGCGCTCAGTGGATAGTCGGCTCCTACCCCAATCCCAACAATGATTCGCCACCATAGCAACCATGCGTAGACGCTCATGCTGCCGTTCTCGCCCCGGGAGGCCATCACGACCCCCAGGGTGGATGTGATCATGAGAATCAGCTCCAGCCCGTACATCTTTTTCCGTCCGTAACGATCTGCCAAGTACCCAAATAAAACCTGCCCAAAGAGTGTGCCGGCAAGTGTAGCAATATTAATGCAGGTGACATGCATAGACGATAGTTGGTCACGCCAGTAGACATAGGAGATCATCGGGAAGGCCATGTTGCTTGCAAAGAGCTGGAACATTGCCATTAGTGACAATTTACCCTGGGGGCATCGAAAGAAGAGACATACTGTGTAGCCGTCGAGGAAGAAGCCGACACCGGCGACAAAGACGACGATCCATTGGAATGCTTGTCGATCGATGGTCTCATAAACCTGGCGCATCCGAACCTGACGATCCTGTTCGCAAGTAGAGACTCTAGGTCAGCCTCAAGACTTCTTCTCGTAACTGCATTTGAAGCTATACCTGTTCATGATCAAAGTCTTGCGCGCGGTCGGTTTTGTACCACCGCTTGCCCATGGCGATCGATCTCTTGCTGTAGAAGCTGTATCGAATATTAGAAAGATAGAGATATGAGCCCCGATTAGCCAAATGACATAATGAGGCAGTAAGAGCCTAATGCAAAGAGATCTTGCAGGATCGCGGCCCCCAAAGCAGGGAACTGAGGTAGATGAAGAAAAATTCTGACGAGATGTACCTCAAGGGAAGCGATGGCAAAACAGCAAAGACGAGGGGAAACGGAGGAAACCGAAGCTAATGAGAGTGGAAACAATTTACAGGATGCGCTAATTGGATTGGAGGAGTTTGGTGGCGTGGTCGATGGAAGGCCAGGTGAATGGAGGTAAGAAAAGGTCCACAGGCACGCACTACCAGGTACGTAGTCAAGGTTAGTATAATCCATGGTCAAGTTCAGGCCCCGTCGTCTGATGGTGACGAGATCAGTGGGTGAGTGGGTGAGTGGGTGAATGGGGTGAAGGGGAATAAGTTGTGGGTGCCTGAGGTCTGGGGGCGTCTTAGTGTATGCCGCCGCGGGTATAGATTATTACCTAGATTAGATTCTAGTGAAACTGGCGGGTGCTTGGACCAATTCACATTCCCTTAACCCCACGTGCCGCAATTCTAGGGATTGAGAGGTGCGTTTACGACCCACTCCCGGTAAGAAGTCACTCGACTAACTTCCCTTCAATTCCTGTCTCACCACTTCTTCTACTCATACAATCTACTTTCTACCACGTGGGGGATTCTCCGAGTCATGTTCCATGGGGATTCAAAGTTAAGTAGGCAAAAATAGACCAAAAAAAAAGGATCGCTTTCTCTAACGACTGTCGACACGGGTATAAAAATGATAGATGAAATGTCGTGGCAAATGAACAAAACGAAAGACCAGGGGACTAGTCTAGTGCGACCTGGATACGAAACAAAAGAGATCCTTCGACCCACATTATGAGCCTAGCAGCGACTTTATACAGTGGGACACACGTGGTGGCCACCGGCGCCCGAGGCAATCCTCCCCTTTCCCCCTTCTCCTGGAATTATGCAATCGCAAGGCTATCGTCCCCTCTCTTCCTTTCACTTGATGTGGTCGCTCAGAAACTGACAGAACGCTATTCGATCTAGTCCGGGTCATTGGTCAGCCTACCGAGAGGATTCGAACATGCACCACAAGGGAGCATACCTGTATCATCCAGGAACTGGATCTGTAGCGTCTTCATTTGGGTTAGGATATCAAAATTAGGTTGGAGCTGGATTACCACAGGCCTCCCTGGCTTCTTGCCGGGATTAAAACTGTCAATGCAGTTCACTGGGAGAGATTAGCCGGTCAGATCCTGCCGTGGCCGACCGGCCGACCGATCGGCCGGAGTCCCAGCTCACCTGGTACTTTCACGTAGCGCTTAAGGTCTTTCCGCTGGGAGTTGGCAAAAAACAGCATGACTTGCTTGCCATTGGGTCCGCGGAGGATACGGAGGTTCTGACTGATGCACTCCTCTCCACGGCCTTTCGACTTGGCTTCTGCTATTCCGGCAAGAAAGACTAATTTGGATGCTAGGATGATCTCCTGAAATTGAACACAGTCTGAAGACTCAGTCGTCAGTATAAAATCTCCCTCTAGCGGATACCCGCTTTGCGCACCTCTTTCTTCTTCGAATTGGTATGACAGTTGGGTGGTAAACACAGTCTGTGCGGATTGTACGGTCTGCTCTTCCATAAAAGAGATTCGTAGCGAGGGTTCATTGGGACGTTTAGGATGTTCTAAGTGTGGGACGGGGATTTTCGACTCGTTAACTAGAATGAGAGGAAAGTGTAAGCCGGTCTGTAGCCGATATGCCACGGAGGGGTACAGACAAGTATGAATTAATGGGGTTTGCTGGCCAGGGCCACCTCCGAGCTCTAGGCATCTGAGGCTTCCAGTGGTATCCTTGCGTACGTCGATGTAGGTATAACGGAGCTTGAACAGTTTGTTACTCCGCACGAAAGTACTGTCATGAAGTCAATGGAAGGAAGAACACACAGGCAAAAGTAGGGGCCCACCCACATGGTGACGGTATTGTTGAGCGGGATGTGGATGACTTCCTCGTGTAGCGAGTAGCACGAGGCTTCTCTCGATCGCGAGCCTACAGAGGAAGCCGTTCTGCTGAGGGGATACGAAGTAAAAGGCGAGGTGCCCGGACTGATCTGGCCGGATGATTGGGTTGATGAGGACAGAGTACTTTCTCGCCGGGAAAGTGGAAGAGGCCAATCTTCGGAACCGTGTTGAAGGCCGGACAGCCCCATTGCAGAAGGGTTGCAAAGGACCGACAGATATCTCTTCCTCGCAGTGATAGACGCGACGGTCCACTGATTGAGGTGCTGCAAGAGGAACTATGTTACCGAGAGGAGGAAGATCATGCGGATCCCCAGAGGCGGATTGACGTACGGGGAAGGGCGCTGATTTTCACCATCTCGAATGCTCTAGTGAATGGAATGAGTCGTGAGAAGCGCCTCGACGCATGACCAGCGATTCGATCACACAGTCACCCGGATGGCCTGGTGTGAGTGGATTCACCTACAGTATTAATCGGACCCAGAAACATAACCCGCTCCGCCCAGCGACCGATAAGAATGCGTCTCAAAAGTGCCAGTACATGGGATTTAGTGGATGCCAAGCAGCGTTTCTTCCCGGGAACCCAGAGGCGGGGGATAACCTGTCAACGTGCGCAAACAAGTGGCTGCCAGCAAAAGCTTGGGGGGGGGGAGTTGGGTGGGTGGAGCCCGGATGGGGAGAAGGGATCGTGTCTGGACCCATCCGGGCAGTTAAGGTAGTCTGAGTCCCTCGTGGTGAAGGCGCACTCCCGTTCACGCTACAAGATTGGACCTCGGAACCAGGTGCTGAATTCTCAGCCAATGTTTGGATAGTTAGATCATCTTCCACGCATTGCATCATGGTGGAAGGAGTGAGTGAGGTCCTAGTTATCCTGTTTGATGCCCGCCGTATTCTTTCAACCCTGCTCGTAGGTGCCGGGTCATAGTGCCGGTTCTCCAAATCGGAGGTGTTGACTTGCCCACGTTCATCAAGCACCACCACCAGCAGTGATGGGTTAGTTAGCGCTGGAGCATAAATCTTTCGTGCAGTGACCTGCATTGGATCGTGGGTCTGTCAATCAATCGTTAATCAATCGCCCACTCTGCACGGGAACAATCATGGCCCGTCCGAATTCCTGTTGGGTCCATCGAATCGAACGGCCATAGAATGATCGAAAGGCGACATTTGGAGGCTGGGATCAGCGGGCTTACTCAGCCAGTGTCCCCATGCCGAGTCCCTTCTCCCATGGCATAGTTCCAAGTTCCATGGGTGGCCCGAATTTTGCTTCACGTTCGCCTCTAGCCAAAGAGAACCCAAAACAGTGGGATGGGAAGGAAAATCGTATTATTAAGTCTATGTACCTCTATCTGCAACACTCACTCCAGGAGCAAGGCATCCTTGAATAGCAGAATATAACATCGAACAATCGAAAGAAAACATATGCAAAGGCACCAACACCGGCTAGGAAGTATAAAAAAGGTGTGAAAATGTCCGAGGATGGGAGCTTGCGGTATCTATGTGACAGTACAGCGGTCACGCGACGCTGACTTCACTTCGCAGCCGGTGGACGGTATGGTATTGGTGAGGCGACCATTCCAGGGAGCAGTTGGATTTGGGGGTATAGAGCGGGCAATTGCCGAGAATCGAAAACAATATATAACCTAGAACGCGGCCCAGTGGATGGGACACTGGAAGTCAAGTTAGCATATCCGGCCGAAAGTTTGTGACGCCGATTTGCGGGACTCGGCTGCTTGAGACGGGTGCGCATAGCCGGTGATGGGACGCTTGCCACTGAACTTACTTTTTGTGTTTATCAAAGAGGCAACGACGACAGGATTGAGCCGGATACGATATATGACTGGCAGGGAAATACAAGCAGTGCTCTTGTGCAGGTTGCGAAAAGGACGGCCACGACACAACGATGGCGACTTCGGCTGTCGCATGCAAACAATGTGAGCTCCAGTCGGCAAGTCGCGGCTGCGCCGGTCCGTAGAGCAGTCTGCTTTCAAGCCTTTCGATATCGATACCTGCGGACGATCCGTCGGCCTTTATGAGCTGCAATGCGGCACCAAAGCATAGCTTGGACGGAGCGGGGCCCAAGGCGCGCACCACTGCTTCACCAAGCCGGTTCACACCAACGCCGAACAATATCTCTTATCCAGACCTTCCTGTCTTACTCGGGGGTAGCCTATTGACGAGGCTTCTGCGCGATAATTCGGTAGCTCGTCGACACTAATCGCATTTTGTCCATCTTCACGAACGCCTCGCCATCGAGGCATAGGCGGTTGATCAGGGTCTTGAAATGTTTGGGCAGCATGTGGGCCTTGACGAGGCCTAGGATAAGCTGGCGCATTGAACGGAAGTAGAAGTCAACCTTGTCGATGAGGGGGGCTTGCAAGCCTCCAACACTGGCGTTGTCAGAGCGCAGGACTTTGAAGCCGGCATCTGTGAGGGCTTTCTCGAGGCTCTCGGGCGTGGGAGTACCGACGGCGCCGATGAGAGGCTTCACGCGACTCATGAGTTCGGCGTGTTCAGGGTTGGAGGGGTCATAGTCAGGCAGGCTGACCCAATCGAGGCAGGAGAATTTGGCGCCGGGCTTGAGAACGCGGTAGATCTCGCGGAAAAGAGTAGGGAGGTCTTTGCACAAACTCAGGGCCTGGATCTGGTAAAAAGCGTCGAAGCTGGCATCTTCAAAGGGGAGGGGCAGGCTGTTGAAATCCTGGACGACGAAGGAATTGGAGCTGAAGCCAAGCTCCTCGTTGTAGGAGCGTGCCTGAGCAATCTGGTTGGGGTCGATGTTGAGGCCGGTGACTTGCGCGCCCGAGTATTGCGTCATGTGGGCGGCCACCCGCCCGCGCCCGCAGCCCAAATCCAGCACTTTATCGCCCGGCGACAAGCCGATATCCTGCGCAATTGACTCTTCATACAACAGCTGATTCTCCAGCACGGTCGCCTTTTTGCTCATGTACGGCGGAATATACATCTTCTCCACGTCGCCTAACGCACAGAGGTGGTTGAGAACGCCATAGTACGCCTTGAGACAATCGCCAACCTTTTCCTGATAGTTCGGTCCCAGCGTCTCGACCATCTGCTTCTCATCCGACCAGTCCAGGTTGTAGATGACGTAGGAAGCCATAAAGTCATCGACCTGCTTGGGTGTCAAATTGTGAAGGTATCGGAAGGACTTCCAGAATGTCTTCCATCTCTTAGGCGAGGCCGAATTTTCGAGGTCGGGCAGGCTGTCGTGCGCCGCCAGCTTCTGTTTTTCGTTGGCGACGGCATCCAAGGAGGAGCTGCTCTCCGAGCTCCGTCCGGATTCGCGCGATGCCAAGACGGTTTGCGTTTCCATTATATATACTCAACGATGAAGTCACGACTGGGAATCCAACAGTTCACAGCTGCCAAAATCACCTGCGCGCAATCTTCACTCTAGGATTGAGTCTCTGGTAAGAAGGACCAGGGACAATAAAGATTTTGGGGGAAAACGAGAAGAAGAGGGGGGGGGGGGGGGAGGTTTAAGAGGAGTTCAAATAGAACGGTAAGAGACGGCGGTTAGAGCTACTGTCCAAACGATACCATGCCAATTGTGCAGTTCGTCTTGCAAATGGAAAGAGAGCGGGGCTAGGCTTAATTTATAAGCATTGCAACAGCGTGTAATTGAAAAATTTCCAGAAGGCGCCCTGTGACGGGTATCTTCTTTTCGAACAACGGCACTGGCCGGCGCCGGCACCGAAGGGGCGGCAATCCTAATAAGACGGATGGATTTGCCAGATTTGCCAGGTTTGCCAGGTGACTTGCCATGGATACTAGTTGGCGATGGTCAATGTGGATTGCAGTGGTCTTGTCACCAGATCTGGCAACCAGAGTCGGAAGGCTCGGAAGCTGAGGGTGAGGGTCGAAAAGGGTCGAAAGGGTCGAAGAGAGACCAAAGAAGCAGCACGGGAGGAGACGGCAAGACGACGAACCGGAAATGGACAGACAGCGCTCTGGATTCAATGATGAATTTTACGAACTATGGGCTTAACCACCACTCAGATTACAGGACGAATGACTTGCATCCTTGGTGGTCGCTGACCGACTATCTTAGTCTCTAGCTATCTACTTACGACATTTACAGACCAGGTAGTTGTCAGCCCCTCTTCCCAACCGCCAGGGTACTTTAGGGCTGGCTATAAGTTAGTATAAGTACATGTATGATGTCGGAGGTGTGCATTAGTTAGGGTCAAACTACTTCCTTCAAGAGCCTAGTCGGGACTTGCTTATGGGATCGGGCCACCAAATTCAAGCTCCCACCCCGGTCCTTGGTATGAGTCAAAGGGTCTCATTAATTACTCAGTTGTTAGTGCCATTGTCTAGGGCCTTCCTATCACCTCACAGACCTCTTCTTTCCCCTCTTGATCGTCTCGAGTTCTCCTCCCCGAGAAAGTTTGTCGATACTCGAGGTGGACGGATTACTTGTCCGCTGCTGTCGTCGTCACGGACAATTGATGACGAGGGCTTAGTCACATAGTCAAAACATCGAATATCAAAATATTAACTTCCACCGGCACGTTGTTGTCGACTGATTAGCCGGCTACTGGACTAGCTACCTAGGTAGTTAGTTACTGCTCATGAAACCTTGACTAACCTGAAAGATTCTCAGAATTTTTGTGTGCTGTGGTCAGCAATAATGGTCGGCCAGCTGCGGCATTCGGGGCCCGGACCCAGAGCGAGCGTCCATTCGGAACTCCTGCAGCGCCAAGCCGTGTAGTGGTCCTGCCTTCAGCATGAGCTGACCAAGCGTCGTGCCAATCCAATTCAGTCTTGGCGGTCGATGCTTGATCTGTTTGACTGAAGTACTTCTGTCTTCGGAATCGGATGTTGCACAGGCGATCTATCTCCAACAACATCCGCTCTTATACCATTGCTGTGACTGCAGAAGACAGCATTAGCAGGCTCCCCTCTGCACACAAGAAATCTGTTTCAATAGTCCGGGAAGAAATATGGAACGGGACCCTCTTCGGACCTGGGGGTAACGACTAGTTTGCCCTGTAGGGAACCACTGGCTCCGAGATTGGATGGAGGTGATGAGGGCTGAAAATTTTCAAATTTTCACTTAGGAGGGGTTTTGATAATCCATCCCATTCATGATTCATCCCTTCATCCCCTGGCGCGGCTCTGACGGCTCTCGCGTCTCTCGATCAGGCAATTCACCGCGTCTCTCCTTCGGACTTGTAAGCCGAACAATCCGCCGCCCGCCCCACTCGCGTGCTCATTTCCCGTATTTCCGCTTCCACCCATCATCTGGTTGTACTGTACCCTCAACCTGACTCGCCATCACACCAATCTCAAGTTAACGATATACCTTCGGTTTCCCGGCTCATCTCCATGTTAGGATTTGCTTGACAGACTGGGCCATTTTTTTGTTCTACACATAGCTTTGTTATGGATCTATGATTTCGGCTTTAGGGATCATTCTCGTTCCATCGCCATCTCTCAACCGTTGCTCGGATCTCTTCGGAGTCTCGGACGGAGATTATGCTGGGCGAGCGACGCTGCGAAAAAGAAAAAAAAAAGATTCTGCTGTCGATCGTCAACATCCGCCCTCTCGCGACAGATACTGTGAAAGATCACCACCATGTCATCCACCATGCTTAGTGTCTCCTGCGGCGGAGGGCCGGCTGTTCTCGCTCGCTTACCTCTGCGCGCCTGGGGCCTCGTTGTAGTTTCCTTGTCCAGCATGGATTGACGGCTGATGGCCAGATTGACAGTCTACGCATTAACTGTTTGTTTTTACGCTATAGCGCTGTCTCCGTTGTTGATCAGCATGGTAGCGACGTGACGTGGCTGGCCGTGTTGCACACAGATCCTTGCGCCTGCAGGGCACGGGACGGCACCTGTAAGAGGGGGTGGTGGTGGTGGTCCGATCCTGGCTATTGCGCTGGTATCTGATTGGGATTGAACTTGAAGCCGTTACCATCATTTTCGGCATGAATCCACATCCATCACGGTGCGCATTAATAATGCTACCCATCAGTTTATCACACGATGAGTTGGTCTCCACTTTGGTCGGCCTGCAGCCCGCCCATTGCAATCCAGTGCTGCTTCCTGAGTGGTCCGTTGCCTTACTATACCTCTGGGCCAAATCTCCTGGTGGAGTTTCCTTCTTCGCTCGTGGGATCTCTTCATTCATTTTTTTGGGGTTGATTGATTGTGTTTTTTTGCATTTCTTGTGACAAGGTAGGGAAAGGATTGAGAAAAAATATCTTTTTTCTAGTCTGCACGTGACCGACCGGTCTCTTGACCCATTGCCCGTGTTCGAAATAGCGCTATACATCCGTCTTATCCAGGGCAAGAAGCTCAACACCAACAATGGAGGGGTTTTTTACACGAACACACAACCTACAGCATCGAGAAACGTCCAAATAAGCTTACATTTAAAGCTCAGTGCATCCGAACCATCGGCGGCAGCTCTAACCTCCAGTTGGGATGACCAGCGCCTGTTCCCGGGTCCACTTTATTAGCCAGCCAGATATCACTCCAGGTCCCCTTCATCGCATGCACCGGTTGGGTGTGTGTCTAGGGTCTTTTCCCGGGTCGGGTTGAGTGGCAAGACGAGCTCCCCCTTTCACCCCTCCTTCTTCACGCTTACGTTCGGGTCTCTCCAATCATCAAGCACCGTCGGGTCTCGGGTGGTGATGGGGACCCGTCGTTCATAGGTTAGGTTAGGCTGTGGCTCTGGCGGAAGGGAGGGAGGAGGAGGAGGAGGAGGAGGGAGAACAGCTGATCCCGTCCAGCGAGGAGGGTCTCCGACCCGATCCACCGGTGTAGTACACAGTACATGACAGGCGGGTCAGATACGGTGCACAGACAGGTACCAGCACCTCGGGGTCGAGTGGCCGGCAGCAGGCGGCTGGGTTGGGGCTGTTCATGTCCTTGGCTGAGTTTGCTTGGTGTAGTCAGTCCTCCAATAGGCACTGACAGGGAGGAGGACCGTAGTCGATGAGAGACGCCCAGCAACCCGCACATCCGTTCAATGCTAGACCCTGATCCTCCGGACATAGTTCTGGAAGTAGGATGGATTGGCCACATCTTGTATCTGGCTAAGAATGAAGACCCAGTGTCCTGCACGGCCGACGCATGTACATGAACCTGGCGGAGGAGAGTACAAGGAAAGTTTCATCAAGCATGACGGGTGCAGGCTAGAAGTCTCTGAGTAAGATTGACCTCTGAAGGAACAGGCGAAGTAGACACCCACTCGTACGCAGCATGCATTCCCCGCCCACTGTCTGTTCTAGTGGTTTGGGTCTCAATCCCAACACAGTGGCACATCTCACTTCATCGGCCCAGAGCTAGCCTGCCTGCCCTTCCTAAGTACTGTACTGTAGTCACTTCCGTGTATTTCGAGGGGCGCCCTTCCTCTCTGCACTGGCAGTGCCAGTGTTGGAAGCCCGGGGGCTAAATCCACGCATAAATCTTTCCCTTTCTCCCCCCTCCTTCCCTCTCTTTATCTCTTTATTAAGATCTTTCTTCACATCCCCAATCGAGACCGATGTCTCCCCAACCTGAATCAGACAAGAAACATCTCACCTCCATCCGAGCTTCCGCTCCCATCTACTCCCTGTAGATTCACGTGCATCTTCCCCCTATCCACAAGTTCTACCCAACCTACAACGTCCACGAGGTACTATACCCAACCCGACAAACCACCATCCCCCCCGCCATCAACTCCAACAGTCACCTGTCCTGTCTTCCGAGTATCTCATCACCTCCTATCATCCAGCATGACACCATAGCCATATCCTCGAGTGTATCCCCGCATGCAAGCTCCAATCAGATTTCCAATCTTTGACCATCACCATCACTAGCCCCATTTCCGGATACCGCAATCACTCTCCCCTACACAAAGAAGAACCGACACTACTATATTGGAGGCAAACCGACGATCAAGAGGATGATTTGTTCGCGAACACCGATCTTTAATGTTCCAGCTTATGCGAACCAGCGCCAGCAAAAACAGGCATCAAGCAGGTTCTAAGGTATCTCCAGTGGGGCTGCGGTATGAACTGGAACACACACGGCATCTGCAGCGAAACGCCGGCCTTGGGTTCGTATTGGTGTTGTGTTTCTTGTCAAGGGAATGATTGCCCTGCCGTGGAAGAGCTGGGGAAGAACGGGCCCTGGAAATGACTACCTAATCATCTAACTCGGATCGGGGTGTTGACCATGATTATCGTAGGATGTAGTTCTTCCTTCGGAGTCTTAGCGGAGGGATAGGAACTATTCGTGAACATCAAGACAGTGCTGGACACCTGCAGGATGGCATTATGAACTTACTTCGAGTATGAGACGCCAATTTGGGCATAGGAGATGCTTACTGATAGTCAGATTGTGGGGTGGCTACCTACTAGTACTGAGCTACAGTTGACTGTTGGTAGCACCCACTACACTACACCTTACGACCTAAAGCCGGCATCCATACGTATCTTCTATCATTTGAAGAAAGAACAAGGCAAGTCTTGATAGTCCAAAAGGTATCCTGCAATCGATACCGGCTCCTACAGCAAGCAAACTGACCCGTCCACGTGATCCTTGGTCGAATCGATGACCGCCTATCAGACTAAAGATTATCTAAATGCCAGAATCAACTCTATCCTCACGCATATTCTCAACCCAAGAAGTCTTCCCGGGTGATCCCACTCTGGTCACACATATTGCGAAAGACGCCCCCGGCCTCCCACAGCCGCAGGGGCGTGTCCATCTCCGCGATCTGTCCCTGGCCCATCACGCAGATCCGGTCGTACTGCAAGATCGTCCGCAGGCGATGCGCGATGCACAGCAAGGTCTTGCCCTCGAACCCGTGCGCCATCGTCTCCTGCACCTTCTGATCCGTCTCGAAGTCCACGGACGAGGTCGCCTCGTCGCAGACGATCACCCGCGAGTCGCGCACGAGAGCGCGCGCCAGCGCCATCAGCTGTCTTTGGCCGAGCGAGAAGTTCAGTCCGTCCTCTTCTACCACGGTGTCGAGATGGAGGCGTTTCTGCACGGGCGTACCCGTGTCGGTGAGTGCGGGGGTGGTGGTCCCTTCATCGGAGCTCTTGTCCACGGCTTCCTGGTCGACCAAGTGCGCTTTGCGAAGCGCGGACCAGAGCTCGAGGTCAGTGTGTTCGTTGAATGGATCCAGATTCGAGCGGATGGTGCCCTTGAATAACGTCGGATCCTGTGGGATGATCGACAGCCGCGTGCGGAGATCGTGAAGCCCGACGGTGGCGATATCAACCCCGTCGATGTGGATCTTGCCCCCCGACAGTTCGGTCAGTCGGAACAGAGCGGACATGATGCTAGACTTGCCCGCCCCCGTGCGACCCACGATCCCAATGCGTTCTCCGCCTCGGATTTCCATGGAGAGCCCCCTGAGCACCAGAGGGAGCCCGACTCGGTAGCGCATCTGCACGTCTTCGAATGTGATGCGACCGACAGAAGGCCACTCCTTTCCGACGTCCGTCAGGTGAAGAGGAGCCTCCTCTTCCAGCTGCGTGCCGTAGTGATTTACACGCTCGGCAGCGTTCATATTGTTATCCACATCG